CCCTCCAGGGGTATCCGCTTGTCCCGTCACCTTTCAGACCATGGCCGTCAGTTTCTCCCGTCATATTTATCGTCAAAGCTGCCTGCTTGCCCCGTCAACGCTCCCGCCAAGGCCGCCATTTTGCCCCCCATCAACTTTCCCAACAAGAGCCACCAGTTTGCCGTCAACTCTTCAATCATGGCCTCCAAGAGCTTGCTTCGTCAACTCTCCTGTCAGGGCGGTCAGCATGCCCCGTCAATTCTCCCGCCAGGGCGGCAATTTTCCCCGTAAATTCTCCTACCAGTGCCGCTAGCTTGCCATATCTTTCCCGCTTGGGCCTCAAGCATGCCCCATAAACTCATTTTAACGCCGCCAGCTTGCCCCCCGTCAACTCTTAGGCCTGCCAGCTTGCCCCCCGTCAACTCCTCTTAGGCCTGCCAGCTTGTCCCCGTCAACTCTTAGGCCTGCCAGCTTGCCCCCCGTCAACTCCTCTTAGGCCTGCCAGCTTGCCCCCCGTCAACTTCTCTTAGGCCTGCCAGGTTGCCCCGTCATGGAGAATATCTCGTGTCTCCATCTCCCGCCATGGCTGTCAGCTTGCCCCATCAACCTTCCCGCCAGGGCCGCCAATTTGCCCCATCAACTTTCCCGCCAGAGCCACCAGTTTGTCGGTAACTCCTATCAAAATCGCTACGAGCTTGCATTGCCACGACAGCAATTTTGCCCGTCAATTTTCCTGACAGAGCCGTCAGGTTGCTCCATTTTTCCTGCCAGGGTGGCAAGCTTGCCCCGTCAACTCCAGCTTGCCCAGTTGTCGAGGGGCACCAGCTTCTCTTGTCGAGGGCACCAGCTTGCCCCGTCTCACGCATGACCTCTCCTCTCTTCTTTATATAGGCCCCCCCACGGCGCTCCGCGCGCTGCGCCGCGGAACGCGCTGTGCAACTGTCTTTCTCTTCCATCAGAAATTCCTCCGCATTCCTACATAATGCAGCGGTCATTTGAACATAATTTTTTCAATAAATATTTCCAATATTTTTTATTTTTCCTTTAGGAAATTCCGACCGCCCCTCGCGGTCACCTGTCCCTCAATAGAATTCTTGGTGACTCGGATACTTTTGATATTGTTCGCCTTATGCGTTTTTGTTCTCGTATTGGCATCCTTGGTGATATTTAGCGCCCTCTGATTATTCCGCACATTTGATGGTGCTACATAGCCTTCCCGGTTTGGTGCCTTCTTTTGATACTCATCCCAACACAATGAAGACTTCTCTCCCTCAGTTTAGGGTACTCATCCCAAGACAATGAAGACATTTCCCTCAGTGTAGGGTACTCATCCCAACACAATGAAAACTCTCCCTCAGTGTAGGGTACTTATCCCAAGACTGAAGACCTTTCTCTCAGTGTAGGGTACTTATCCCAAGACTGAAGACCTTTCTCTCAGTGTAGGGTACTTATCCCAAGACAGTAAAGATTCCTGTTGACCAGACCACACACTAGAAAGTGAAGGGACGACGACGTTTCGGTCCGTCCTGGACCGAAAAAACGTGATTTTATTCAAATAAATCTTGCTTTACTAACCTGCTTACATTTTTGGAACCAGTTATTCAGACAAGGGACTTCTATTGGACGTATTCTACATGGACTTCTCTAAATCTTTTGACAAGGCACCACATAAAAGACTGGCAAGGAAATTACAAGCACAAGAACTAATGGAAAAATAATAGAATGGATTAAACAATGGGTAAAATGAAGTAAGCAAAGGGTTGTCCTAAATAGAAACGAATCTGGTTGGAGAAATATAAAAGTGGGATACTGCAAGGCTCCATATTGGGGCCCACCCTCTTTGTCATATATATATCAATGACATAGATGAGTAGACGATGAGTCACAACAACGTGGCTGAAGATATGATGACCACACATCAGAAAATGATGTAAATGTCGACGTTTCGGTCCGTCCTGGATACGACTTACGAAGAAATCCACAAGGGCCGTGACGAGGATTCGAACCTCCGTCCGGGAGCATCCCAGACACTGCCTTAATCGAGTGAGCTACGACAGGGTTAAAAAGGTTGAAACCGAAGTTTTGTTCATTTGATGCATCACGTTAGTGTGATCTCTATGTGTACGACTTACGACTTGATAATGGTCCGGGACGGACCGAAATGGGGATTGAGCTTCGGCTCTTTGGTCCCTCCTCGCAGCTCTCAATCTACTGATGCACAGGTTCCTGGGCTTATTGAGCTTGAGTGTGTCCTAGCTCGCATTCACAAAGTTTACAACTGGAGTGCTTACAGTTGGAAGATTCATGGCCTGCAGTTACCAACTATAATTAAGCATATCTCAGTATATATATATATATACACTGAGAGATGTTCCGCGGGCCATCATGTGAGATGGGGATATTAGATGAACTTATAGCTAGTTTTTGTTATCTACACTGTAATCTTTCATATAGGATAGTGTAGCAGCAGATTGCTGTGTATACCTAACCTTGTTAATACAAAAAGGGGGTAGATTCTCGGTGTATTAGTTATACTTTTTATTTTTGGTCCTAAATTATGTTAAAGATTAAAGTATACTTGCTGGTTGTTCAGTAAATGATTGTAGTGACCTTAATATCCCTCCAGAGATTGATAGACTTTATGCTCAACACTAAAAAAAACAAAAATTACAAATTAAAATACCACACGGGTGAAGGCAGCATATATCATCGGCAAATATATAAGTTTACTAAGAAATAATTGATGCATTTCATAATGTGGGAACTTCATGTCAGATTAGCTATTGAATTCCGAGTAGTTTTTCATTACAATACAAATTAACGACAATAATATAAAGAAAATTTGGGAGGGAAGGCTATGTAAATTATTATTTATACGTTCTTCTGAATACTCATTTCACTCATACCTGACGCCACGAACTCCAGCTGGCCGCTACTGTCTAAAAAAAAAGTAGTATACTACATATTTAGATTAAATACTACATATTTCAATTAAACATTGAAAGATTACAGTGTAAATAAAAAAATTAAAGATTACACAGTGTAGATCAAAAATTAAAGACTACACAGTGTATATAAGAAATTAAAGAATACACAGATTAAAATTAAAGAATACACAGATTAAAATTAAAGATTACACAGATTAAAATTAAAGATTACAGAGTTCAGATCAATAATCATTCTGCCCGAAACGCTTTGCGTAATAGTGGCTTTAGGCATTGTATGTACTAGCTCTATCTATAAATTCATCAATTTTTGTATCACCCCTTGTATGTATGTATTTTACCTAAATAAACATTTGAATTGTTTGAATGTGCATAAGGAATATTTGAAGTAGGCGCCAGAGTGGGTAGTTGTGATGGTGGCCGCTTGGCGTTGCTGCGCTCCTTCCTCCACTGGCCGAGTGGCCTCACGCTGGTACGTGTCCCTCTCTCTTGCATTATCTCTAAACATCCACCCCAGCGCTGGCCATACCTCCCCGCTGGCACTACCAGGCGGCGCTGTGGTACCCAGGCCGTGTATCTAGGCTGGCTGAGGGGCGCCGAGGTTTATATTAACCGGGCTGGAGAGGGATAATAATCTTGTGTTTACATGTGAGGGTTGTTGGGTGGCCGGTGTTGACCTGCGGCTGGTTCTTATTTGCAGAGATCAAGATGGTGCGGTACAGCGCCCAGCCCGAGAACACCACCAAGAGCTGTAAAGCCAAGGGCTCCAACCTGAGATGCAGCTTCAAGGTGAGTTTGTGTTTCTTGGGGTGGTAGGGTGAGTAAGGGCTGTGAGTACCTGAGTAAAAGAGCTTTGGCGTGTCTGTGGTAACTACGGTAATTACCACCAGGTAGTTTGGTAGAAATCGTTTAGGGACTCGTTTAAGGACCCCAAAATTTGACTTATCAAAGGGAATTGCTTTGTTCTAGGCCTAGGGTATAGTGGGCCACGTGTGTACACCTGGCCATAGTCCCGGTGTGTGTGTGGCGGTGGGACTAAACCTGGCCTCAAGTTTATTATAATATCTAGGGGTCTTGGCAGTGCAGTCTGGCTCGTTCTCGACCCGCAATCGAAAATCTGTGGTTTGTATCCCGAGCGTGACCAATGTGGTTGGGCACATTTCCTAGCACCTAATGCCTCTGTTGACCTAACAGTAAGTAGGTACTCGGGAGTTAGTTTGTTCTGGGGTTGCATCATGGGGGGGGACCTCGATATAAGCCCAATGTGTGTGCATGCACTCTGGCTGCCTGTCCCCCGACAACATGAATTATTATAACATAATAGTCTATAGTAGTCAATATAGCCTATATGAGGCCTTACCTGGCCTGTGTGCCCCTTAACAAGACCCCAGTCTTAACACTTTTGCACTCATGGCGTTTAGTTACCAATTTTTTTCTTTAAGTCCTCTCTTGTTACTCGTGTATGAGTCGCAAAAATAAAATATTTATAAAAATAATTTTTCATCCGATCGACTTTGGGATAGTTTCAAGATGAGCGCATTTAAATTGCGCACAATTTGATACCAAAATAAAAGATGTAACACGAAACTTATGGCAGAACACTTGAAAGATTATGAATACGTTTTTTGTTAAAATATTTAATTCTATTTATTGTGCTATTATTATGGGACTAGTTTTAAATTGTGCCCCTTTAGATTGCGAACAATTTGATACCGAAATGAAAGATGTAAAACGAAAATTTGTCAATTGTATAAATATATAGATATAAATAATTGAGGAGATGAGCATCCAAAATTAAAATGTTAAAATTCTATTTATTGTGCTATTATTATGGGACTAGTTTTAAAATGTGCTATTATTATGGGACTAGTTTTAAAATGTGCTATTATTATGGGACTAGTTTTAAAATGCCTTTATATTGCGAACATTGATACCAAAATGAAAGACGTAACAAGACAATTGGTGTTATCAAACTGAATGGGTATACACAGTTTCAAATGTAGATAAAGAGCCCAGTAGGCTCAGGAATCTGTAAATCAGTTGACGGTTGAGAGGTTGAGCTCAACCCCCGCAACCACAACTAGGCGAGTACATTAGGCTGCGACGTGCAAATTGGTGCTCGTTCACGGGTAACTTTAGGCTTTGCTGCGGGGATTTACACCAGGCTTTTGGACATTATATGCATATACACTTGCAGGGAATTTAATTGCGAACACACTGCTACCAAAACGAACGGCGTAGCACGAGAATTAGGGTGAGAAAACTGAAACAAGTATACACATTTTACTGATTTTGTGCACACACGGGTTACTTTTGCCGACTTTAGGCTTTGCTGTGGGGAGTCATGCCAGGCTTTTGGACATTATATGCATATGTACACCTGTAGGGAATTCTATTGTAAACACAATAATGCCAAAACGAACGATGGAGCCCGAGTATTAACACTTTCGCGCGCCCTGGGATGGTAAAAAAAAAAAGCGGTATGTGCGCGCGGCGCTTTTGCCACGCAAGCGTAAAAACAAAAATGTGTATACTCTTTTTTTTACTCTCCTGACCTTAGTTCTCGAGCTACGTATTTCATTTTGGTACCAACGTGTTCGCAATAAAATTCTCTAGAAGAACATCAGTAAAAAAAGTCACGAAACGTATAGGGATACCAGCACCAAATAAGTAACTACGAATATGACTCGCCGTGAGCGCCCAACAGCAACAAAATGTTTTTACTCTTGGGATTGTTATCACCTCCACACTTGTCCTACAGCGTTAATTTTGGTATCGATGGACTCGCAATGAAATTCCCAACACGGTGATATGAATATAAACGTAGAATAATGATTGCGGCCCACCCGCAAGAGTGTGGGAAGTGGTGAAATTGTTACCCGGTATCGGTGACGGGACGGCACATGTGTGATACGGCGCTTTGAAAGTTTATACTTATTTCACTCTCCTGACATTATTATTCTATGTACGTCATTCATTTTTATGTCAGTGTTCGCAATAGAATGTTCTATGAGCCCGTATGTAAAAAAGATCAACAAAGCGTAAGATAGAATAGCGCCAAATATAAAACAACGCTGGAACATATCAGTGAGCGTCAAACACACCTACCTTGAGGTTACTTTGAGGTGCTTCCGGGGCTTAGTGTCCCCGCGGCCCGGTCGTCGACCAGGCCTCCTGGTTGCTGGACTGATCAACCAGGCTGTTAGACGCGGCTGCTCGCAGCCTGACGTATGAGTCACAGCCTGGTTGATCAGGTATCCTTTGGAGGTGCTTATCCAGTTCTCTCTTGAACACTGTGAGGGGTCGGGCAGTTATGCCCCTTATGTGCACACGAAATGTTTTTACTTTTGTTATGTTTGTCAAGTTTATACTTGTTGCACAGTTATTTTTGGTTGTACATTGATCGGAATAAAATTCCCTAAACAGACATATGCATATAATACATATGGGGGGAATCATTACCAGTATAAACGGCTAAAGTCACCCACCTGCAACCCGTTTGGGACACTCGTGCAGACACACGCTACACCCAAAAAAAAATCTATGAAGGTTCGAGTCTACTTATGGCAGTTTAGGTGATAATGTTCATTCTGGTATCAAAATACTCTTTTCAGTTTGTAGTTCATGCGATTTTCAGAATCGACTGAATCGCTGGAGGTTCAACATTTGAGTCGGTCATCTGACAAAACCGTCTCGTCAAATGGCAGTGTGCCAGACATCTCTGGTTCTGATTCGGTTGCTTCTTCAGCTTGAGGTGTTGAAGTGAACAAGGGCTGCCTCACACCAGATGGTCCAGGAGTTTGCATGGCGTCAGCATAGGCAGGACCTGCGTCATCATTTATGTCTGGAGCGTGCCGCAAGTGTTGAGATACTGTTGCTGTTTGAGGCCAATCTTCCGGGTCCCAGCACAATAGGGCCCAATTTGCCACCTCGTGGAACTGTAGCAATGTTAGCTTTTTTTGATCAGTTGTATTTGTACAAAACAAAGGCATTATGCAAAGCCATTTGCAGGAAATAAAACGTTATCTTTTAGGTCCACTTGCGAGTTTTCCGGGTAAAATGGTAATACCATTTGATCGAAGTGGTCCACACCTTTCATGAACTTATTGTACCATGTAGCCTAGTGGTGAGAAAGAGAACGTCATGGCGCGTCGTTTGAAGCAAACCCCAATGAAATCGGATTAAAATTGAATTTTATACAAATATTTTAAGAGGACATAATTTTATGTCCACCTCGCGGAAGCGGTGAGGCAAAACAGGACAGGGCGGAGTCCTCATCCGCAGAAAGTGTTAAGGTGAGAAAACAAACGATTATACACATTTCGTTGTCACCACGCGCTTGCCCGCACGCTCACCAGCACGCCGGGGGCATGACCTCTTAAGTTTGCGGCGTGCATGCCGGGAGGGCGAAAATGTTATGCCCATATGTTACGGCCCTCTCGGGTCGCAACCGGGTTCTTTCTCCGATGATGTTAGAGGTAGGGTATCCGGCCCCAAGCTAGTAGTGGCTTTCAAGGGATGTGATCCGTAACGCAAGAAAAATAAAAGGGGAAGGGAAATAAAGTCAAAAACTTAATAATATAATTAACACCGTCACCATAAATAATATAAAGATTATCACAAGGGGGAGGAACAAACACTATAATGTACAACGTTGTCTTCTTCGGAAGACTTTGGACGTTCACGGTGCTCACGATGCTAAGCTCTTGGTGCTCTTGTGGCCTCACTTATGAATCCTTCGATCCTCTCGAGTCTACCCTGGCCACAGGCCAGCCAAATCACAGTCCCACTGGGGGCACCGTCGTGGAGGCCATCAACCACAAGTCCAGCCGGTAGCTGGCAGGTTCCAATCAGCGACGCTGGTTAGGCCACTCCAAGATCGATACTAAGGTCGCGAACCCTAGTCAGGAGCCTCGTGTGATCCCTCAGACCACTCTCCTTGCCACAACACCCCAGTGGTTAAGCGTCTCCACCAGTCAGTCCCGGGTATGACAATCCCTCAACTGCCACTTCACAGGCAGGCTAACACCACAGTGTTCATCCGGGGGGGCGACTCACAGCTGCTGCAGCAAACACTTGGAGACAAGACGACCGCCTTGGGTAGACTGATCCAACTTCCATTACAGCAGTCCCAGGTCGACTCTGTAATCAGACACGTCATCAGTAACAGGGACACACTAGGGCACATCACTTACCGGCTCAGACCCAAACGCCCACCTATCCACTCCATAGATGGCGTTGCTGTCTGAGCGCCACCTCACCAGAGGTCAGCAGCGGCTGTGTTATGAGCTGATCAGGACGGGAAACTAGCCCTTGTGGCTGGTATTTCCTGTCCTCACTTGATGGCGCCGTCCATTTGGAGGGGATTTCGGGAGCTGACCCACAGATGGCGTGGTCGTCACTGCTCCGTGCTCGGACACTGGACTCGGGTCCGTAACACCATAGTGAGAACCTCTTAGTTGCGTGAAAAGCATATTGCACTTGGCGTAGCTTTTTTAAGGCTGCCCCATTGTGTTATTCTCTTATTTCAACGATCAAAAACAAAATTAGTTTCGTTAGTTTTGATAGCTTTTGAGAGTTTTATGCCTGCCTTGGTTTACCTTGGTAGCTCACTATTTCCGAAAACTGGATGGTGTTGAGGCAGTTGGACCTGGCATATATCTTATTCTTTTAGCATTTAATCTTTAGTTCTACAAATCAAATATACTGGGATTTGATTTTTGAAGTTTTTAACAATTCATCTTATTTTTACAGCATTATCTTGCTAATGTTGATCCCCATTTAGATTATGGCATACAGTTTTGGTCACTATACAATAAATTGGATATTATTTCACTTTTTGGGTACAGAGGAGGAATGTTGGCTCCAAAATTGGAACCTTCCCTTGGTGATTTGAAGTTTAATTTACATTCTCTAAATGCAATCTTCTTGAGGTTATCTTGAGCTGATTTCGAGGCTTAGTGCCCCTGTGGCCTGGTCCTCGACCAGGCCTACTTATTTTTTTTATATTTTTTTGAAAGATATAAGAGTTATTACATTCTTGTACAGCCACTAGTACGCGTAGTGTTTCAGGCAGGTCCCTGGAATACGATCCCCGCCGCGAAGAATCGTTGTTACAACCAAGTACACATTTTACTGTTGAGTTAAACAGAGGCTACAGTTAAGGATTTGCGCCGAGTAAATCCTCCCCGGCCAGGATATGAACCCATGACAAAGCGCTCGCGGAACGCCAGGCGAGTGTCTTCCCACTACACCACGGAGACTTTTTTACATAGAGGGGCCTCGTAGCCTGGTGGATAGCGCGCAGGATTCGTAATTCTGTTGCGCGGGTTCGATTCCCGCACGAGGCAGAAACAAATGGGCAAAGTTTCTTTCACCCTGAATGCCCCTGTTACCTAGCAGTAAATAGGTACCTGGGAGTTAGTCAGCTGTCACGGGCTGCTTCCTGGGGGTGGAGGCCTGGTCGAGGACCGGGCCGCGGGGACACTAAAGCCCCGAAATCATCTCAAGATAACCTCAAGATAACATATGCAGGAAGCAGCCAGTAGTAGCTGTCGAACTCCCAGGAACCCATTTACTGCTAGGTGAATGGGAGCATCAGGGTGAAAGAAATGGTGCCTATTTGTCAAAAATTTTAAGTTTTGTCAAATTTCAAAATCAAAAAAGTTTTGATTTTTTCACATTTTTTAATTTTTCAGTTAATGTTAATTCATTAATTTCTGCAGCACTTTGGTGTTACATGAAACAGGTGAGCAGTGCAGGGGTTAAAGAATGCTTAATAGAAAAGAACAATGCACATTTTTGTGGCTAGAGAATTCTCTTATGCTCTTTATTTCACAGCCAAGTTTTATCTAAAATGTGTGCTTAATTTCAGAACACGTGTGAAACTGCCAATGCCATCAAAAAGATGACATTGGCTCGTTCTGTGCGTTATCTCAAGAATGTAATTGCCAAGAAAGAGTGTGTTCCTTTCCGTGTCTATAATGGTGGCGTCGGGCGATGTGCACAGGTAAGATAGAAATTATCACCTATTCAATATATTTTCTCATTTGGTTAGACAATTTTACGATCTTAACAATTTAAAAATTTAAAATTTACAACTAAAATTTTATATATTATAAATATTTAGTATTATGGTTTGGCTAGAACCTGGATACATCCTTCATGAATTATTGTATTTAGTAAACAAGTACAGTGATTAAGCATCCTTTATTTGCATAATCAATAACACTGCTGTAGTTATCTTGCTTATTTGCTCCTTTTTTCCAGGCTAAAGCTTGGGGTTTATCCCAAGGTAGGTGGCCAAAGAAGAGTGCCCGCTTCCTTCTTGATCTGCTGAAGAATGCGGAGAGTAATGCCCAATATAAGGTAATTTTAATCCATAACTGTTTGTGTTCACATTTTCCTCTAATTTTCATTAGTTTAGCCCTTGAGTTGATTTGTTGATTCATGGGGTAATGCGGTCATTGTTGTATGACGATTTAAACCATTGTTGTCTGGCTTCTACACATACGATGCAAATATGGATATAATAGCACACTGTAGATGTAAATAAAGGAAAAGTGATAAAACACTGAAACCTCCAAAGATGAAACTGGAAGTGTTGGCAAAATCAAGCACAGAGTGCTGATACGTTCCAGATGCAGCCTAGCAGAGCGCCTTTACCATTTGTTCTCGATTTTGCTGACATTTCCCGGTTTATCCTCAGATGTTTCACCGATTGTTTCTCGTTCTTACCGCTGTTGCTGGCTCGACTTCAATTTTCGTTTTGTGTTTTGGGTAATATTGCTCTATAGGATTTTGATGCATTAGGCTAGACCAGTTTGTTTTAATTTGGTAAAAGTCTGGCAGATGACAAGATCATCCAATGCAGGAAGAGAGTTAAAGGAATAGATAAATATTTGGCTTATATTGTGCTTGTAGTGTTGGGTAGGATACAAAATATTGATGAATGTTGAAATCACATTGAATACAGAGACAGCTTAATAAAAATGTCTTGGCACAGGACACTTCTATTCAATTGGGTAAAGAAAATTGTCATTGGTGCCCTAAGTTAACCAAAGTAATTTTATTCCACTATTAAGAGTTAAATTTTAATACAGGGTCTAGAGGTTGATCATCTTGTGATCGAGCACATCATGGTACAGCGAGCTCGCCAGATGCGCCGCCGCACTTACCGTGCTCATGGTCGTATCAATCCATTCATGTCTTCTCCTTGCCACATTGAAGTTATCCTAGCAGAGAAGGAGCAGGTTGTGGCTAAGGCCCAAGACGAGCCTGTTAAGAAGAAGGTTTCAAAGAAGAAACTTGCTCGCCAAAAGCTTATGGCTGCCAGAGAATAATTTGTAATGTAATAAAAATGGAAAATAAATTGGTTTGATTATCCCATTTGCTCTATTGACATGTGAATGTTTTAAATTATTATAGTGTTTGAAAGATAGTTTCATCTCTTTATATTTTGAAACTTAATACAGTATATATCTAAAGCATAGAGGGATAAAAAAAAATGAATGTGCACATTTTAATTTTTTTCAAGTTGCAGGTGGATAGTCTATCTTAAGCATACCAGAAGACAAATATTTGAAATCTTAAACAGTTTGTGACTAGAAAGGTGAGTGTACAGTATTTGAGTATATATTTGTCAGAAATTTACTAAAAAAAAAAAAAATCCTTGTTGGACTTATTAGCATAAACCAATTTTAATATCTGCAAAATTAGTAAATGTTGGAAAAGTAGGTCAAATATGCATTTGGTACTTGTGTTAAATAAAATGCATAATGAATTTGGGAAATGTTTTATCAATATTACTTTTAAGTTTTGAATTTAAAAATTCTATATTTGACATCTTAATGCATTCTTTCGAAACAATACCAATCCTTAAAACCAAAGTGTATTTGCACAAACTAATTATAAATTATATTTAGAAATGGCAAGACTGCCCCAAGTTGTTTATGCTAATTTTACTTTGAAGTACTTCATCGTGGAGGGTTACTCTTGTGACTTAACTTTCCCCAGAAAGGCGACTGCCAGCATTTGTTTATTCCCATTTGGGAAGTCGGAGAGGTATCTTCGTGTTGAATGATGCCTATATAGAATCTTGAGGACTTGACTTACAGGGGCACGTGTTTCTCCCTCGCAATTGGCAGACTGGGCCTTATTGCAAGTGGGTGATGGTGGTAGTGTTTTTGGTTAACGGAATAATGTCTTGCTTATTTTTTTTATTTGCCTTGTTCCACTTATGTCTAATTTTTGAAATCTCCTGATTTTTAGAATAAAAATAATTTCCTGCTTTCCTAATATCACGTGTCCCTCGATCGTTGTTGGTTAAACGATGCCTTGACATTGCTAGCTTCTTCGTCTTGCTCTTGTGTTCCTGAGTGATATTGAGGACATTTTGCATATCTTGTGAATTTGCAAAATAAGTTTTCCTAGCTTGGGGCCTTACGGTAATTACAAAAGTTATTTAGGTTTGCTTTATATTAAGAAATAATATCGCATAGTTCAACTGACTTGTTTGAAGATAATAGTTTACTGAGCATGGTAAATTATTTATCACGTGAATGCTACTATAATCTTTTGCTTGAATATTTTACCTTCTTTACAGGTCGTTTGTGTTTGAAATTAAGGAAACACGATATTGGAGCATACAATTGTAAGTACCATGCAAAGCTTTTTCTCTTGTTAACACCTGCATTAAGGTTGAATTGAGTTTAAATATTGCAAGATGGTTAGCCATCACTAGTGGAGCGCACTGCCTACTAATGTAAATTTTGCATGCCTTAGGGTGGATGTGTAGACTCAAAGCTTCAATCAATAAGTATAAGTCCAGATATTTCTTTAAGATTTCATTTTTTAATTTACAAAGAGGGTGTTCTTTATATGCAGTAATATCATTTTTTTTTTAAGAGAGTGGATAAAAAGCATTGTATAATGATTTAAGTAACTTATCTGTATCAATAAGATATCGGGCCATTGTGTGAAAGTGTATAGATGACCTATCCTCTGGAAATGTTAGTTTTTGTAACTATTGGGTTGAAAGTGTGTGTGAATGATGTGTTGGACCAGCAGATAGAATTTTGTCCTGAAAAAATAAGCTAAAAACCAAACTTAAATAGTTGTAAGCTTAGTATAGCACACCCTGTACTATATTAGGCCTAGGATTACTGGGAGAGGTTAGCTTGTATTTGTGAGGCTGATAAGTGTTTTGGTAATTCAGTAAAACAAAATTCTCCCGTCTGTTGGTCCATCACGTCACATTGGTACTTTCAATGAAATGGTTACTGAAAGTAATTTTTTTAAGAGGATGGGATGTGTAGAATATATTTATCAGTACTAATAGTTGATCATGCATGGCACTGAAATGTGAGATAATTACATGGGTTTATCATTAAGCAATTTGTATTTACTTGTAATCACTTGCAGATTGTGGCTGAACTGGAGGATGAGCAAAAGTTTTCAATGGTATTAGATGAAGAGATACAGGACATGCTGGGTCACCTGGGTTTTGATAGCTATTGGCCTTAGTTGCTCACAGCTACAACGTTGTCGATCAAGCTGATAGCAGGAAAGCTTCATCCCAGTACATGATGCGGAAGGAGCCCTCAAACCCAGCCATAGGTAAGATAGTTTGTCTTAAAAACAAAAGTAATTTAATGTTCATATGGGTACAAAAGTTAATAATTTCTATATCAACCTTATAATCAACATAAATTGGACAAGATAATTGAAAGTGAGACAAAAACACATTGATGGTAATAAAGATCACATTGCCAGCATTATCTTAGCCATTATGACTGATTACCTAACCTTAAATGGGTACTTTTAAATTCCTATATTCGTACATTTTCTTTTGCTGTACTTTTTTTTTTTAATTAAAGAAATGATGTTTGCATAGTTCAACTGAATTGTTTGAAGATACAATTTTACTGATTATAGTTTTACACTGTATTGCACTGTATTGCTGCTATAATCTCTTAATAAATTGTTTGAAAATGATTTCAGATTGCTTGTTTCCTGCTAAAGAACCTAACAGTGATACTGGAGCATACAATTGTAAGTACAATATATAGTTCGGTTTTTATTCAGTTAAATCTTGCATTATGGTTTGCCAGGATATTGTATTTGTGTAAATAAAAATAAATATTTTGTCCAAATATTCGCTTATATATCGTGAGTAGTTTTAAAAACTGTTTCTAATGTATTCATCCTTGCACACTTTTCTTCTGACAGCTAATATATTTACCCACCACCTCTATAACCTTTTGCCAAACCACCTTTATAACCTACTTTTTTTTTGTTGCGTCTTTCATTATTCTGGATTACTAATACTGCTTCCTGAATACAATAATATTTGTGATGAATTAATCTTCTTTCCCCATCCTAAATTATTTGAGGAGAGTGAAGATACTGAATTTAAAAATACATTAGTACATTACCTGTTGTTGCCACTGGATATAGGATTTTTTTTTTTTTTTTTTTTCAGATGGTGTCCATGCTAGTCAATTACGGCTGATAGTTGATGGTAAGTACCTTTTAACACTGTTCTGACCTTCCTGCAATCTTCGTGTCCTTGTCAGTGATGCCCAAAATATTAATTCTAAATTTGCAGTTTTAGTTCTTCAGTTATAGCTATAAACTTCGTCAGAATGTTTGCAAATACCAGAGTATAGATGCCACACAAAGCTGTAAAATTCATTATGCCTGATGGAACGACTGTTGCATATTGAGTTGCTACGAGTACTTGTATAGGATGACTAATACAATGACTAAAACAGACCATTGGTTTGTGAATGTTGATCAAGCATGGCATTGAAATGAGAGATAATTACATGGTTTATAATTAAGCAATTTGTGTTGATTTGTAATAACTGCAGATTCTGGCTGAACTGGAGGATGAGCAAAAGTTTTCAATGGTATTGAAGATGTACAGGATATGCTGGGTCACCTAAGTTTTGATGGCTATTGGCCTTAGTCACTCAAAAGTACAACCTGGTTGATAAAGTTGATAGCAGGAAAGCTTCACCTCTGTACAGGATGTGGAAATAGCCATCAAACCCAGCCATAGGTAAAATAGTTTGTCCTAAAAACAAAAGAGCTATTTTAAGTTTTGTACCTGTATAAACATATTACTATATCAACCTTATTACCAACATAAATTTGACAACATAATTGAAAGCGAAACAAATTTTGAAAAACACATTCATGTTAATAAGGATCACACTGCCAGCAATAGCTTAGCCATTATGACTGATTACCGTACCTTAAATGGCTACTTTTTAAATGTTGTGTTCTGAAGCAGCGCACAACAAAAAATTGCATAAAATTGCATGTACATTATAGTATTTGGCAAGGATTTATGGCTTAGGGTGTTGATAGGTTACTTGATTATTGTACTGTTTGCAGAATACTAAATATTTAGTGAAGAATTTTATCACATAAAGAGTACTTTTAAATTACTATATTAGTACTTTTTTTTAAATTAAAGAAATGATGTTTGCATAGTTCAACTGAATTGTTTGAAGATACAATTTTACTGATTATAGCCCTATACTGTATTGCAAGCTGTGCTGCCATAATCTTTTGCTGAAACCTGAAAATGATTTCAGGTGGCTTGTTTCCTGTTAAAGAACCCGACAGCAATTCTGCAGCATAAAATTGTAAGTACGATATACTGTTTTTATTCAGTTAAGCCGATAGATTTAACTTTCCAAACCACCTCTATAACCTTCAGGGTTTTTGTTTGTTGTGCCTTTCATTATTCTAGAATACTAATACTGCTTCCTGGAGACAGTAATATATTTGTGATGAATTAATCTTCTTTCCCCATCCTAAATTATTTGAGGAGAGTGAAGATACTGAATTTAAAAATACTTAGTACATTTTTCTGTTGTTGACTCTGGATATAGGATTTGGTTTTCTTTTTCAGACGAGGTGTGCATGCTAGTCATTACGGCTGATAGTTGATGGTAAGTACCTTTTAACACTGTTCTGACCTTCCACCAATCTTGGTGTCCTTGGCAGCGATGTCCAAGAAATTTATTTTCAATTTGCAGTTTTAGTTTTTCAGTTATAGCTGTAAACTGTCAAAATATTTGCAAATGCATTTACCAGAGCATAGATGCCACACTAAGCCGTAAAATAGATTTATGCATGATGGAACGACGGTTGCCATTGGTCTGTGAATGTTGATCATGCATGGCACTGAAATGAGATAATTACATGGGTTTATCATTAAGCAATTTGTATTTACTTGTAATCACTTTTGCAGATTGTGGCTGAACTGGAGGATGAGCAAAAGTTTTCAATGGTATTAGATGAAGAGATACAGGACATGCTGGGTCACCTGGGTTTTGATAGCTATTGGCCTTAGTCACTCGGCTACAACCTTGTCGATCAAGCTAATAGCAGGAAAGCTTCATACCACTACAGGATGTGGAAGGAACCCCCAAACCCAACCATAGGTAAGATACAGTTTGTCCTAAAAACAAAAAAGCAATAAAAGTTTTGTACCTATATAAATGTTAATAATTTCTATATCCTTATTACTAACATAATTAGACAAATGAAAGCAAGACATTTTAAAAACTCACTCATGGTAATTGGCTCCCACTGCCAGCAATACCTTAGCCATTATGACTGATTACCTAACCTTAAATGGGTACTTTTTAAATGTTTGTGTTCTGAAGCTGCGCACAACAAGGAATCGCATAATATTGCATGTACAGTTTTAGTACTTGGCAAGGATTTATGGCTTAGGGTGTTGATAGGTTACTTGATTATTGTAATGTTTGCAGAATACTAAATATTTTGTGATGAATTTTATCAAGTATATAGAGTACATTTAAATTACTATATTCGTACACTTTCTTTTGCTGTCCTTTTTTTTTTAAATTAAAGAAATGATGTTTGCAGAGTTCCAACTGAATTGTTTGAAGATACAATATTACTGATTATAGTCCTATACTGTATTGCAAGCTGTGCTGCCATCATCTTTTGCTGAAATATCTGAAAATGATTTCAGGTGGCTTGTTTACTGTTAAAGAACCCGACTGATTCTGAAGCATACAATTGTAAGTACAATATACAGTTCAGTTTTTATTCGGTTAAATTTTGCATTAAGGATTGCCAGGAAATTGTGTATTTATAAATATAATGTCTTAATATTTGCCGATTAGCAAATTAATATTTGCTGATTTAGCAGTCTTAATAGACTGATGATAGTGTATTAAGGTGAAATTCACCTATTCTCTAGGCGAGTCTTAATAGATGTTTCTAATGTATTCATTCCTGCACACTTCTTCTGACAGCTGATATATTTAACACTTGCCAAACCACCTCCATCCTTCATCATGGTTTTCGTTTGTCGTGCCTTTCATTATTCTGGATTACTAATACTGGTTCCTGGAGACACTAATATATTTGTGATGAATTAATCTTCTTTCCCCATCCTAAATTATTTGAGGAGAGTGAAGATACTGAATTTAAAAATACATTATAATACATTTACCTGTTGTTGCCACTGGATATAGGATTTGATTTTCTTTTTCAGACGAGGTGTTTCAGATGATTATGGCTGATAGTAGTTGGTAAGTACCTTTTTAACACTGTTCTGACTTTTGCAGCAATCTTAGTGTCCTTGTCTTGTCCTACTTGTAACAGGATGAATATTACCATGACTAAAGCAGACCATTGGTTTGTAAATGTTGATCGATCATGCATGGTTCTGAAGTGCCTGATGTGATAATTAAAAGGTTTGCAATGGGAAGTGCTGTTCATTAGTATTCACTTGCAGATTGTGGCTAGACTATGGAAAAGGATATTCAACCTGAAGATCTTCCAGCAAATGTGTGAAATATTGGGTAAACCAAAAACTTGGTGAAGCAGCACGGAACCAGTTAACAAATGTGAGGATTGACAATAAATTTAAATTACATGTGCACTATATATCTTGGCAAGGATTTGTCTTGCATTTATTGAAAGATTGCCCATTGTATTGAATATAGCATTAAGGGGCATGAGTTCCAGATTTCCAAAAAAATGCATTAAATGAAAACTAATTTGATTTCAATCTTTTTTGACTAGTTTTATATGAAAAGGGTCCAAATCTCTGCATCGTAGCATAAATAGGAAGGGAGAAAAAAAATATTGAAGTAGGTGTCAAAAATTTTCCAAAATGGTCAAAAAACTATTATCAAATAAGTGTCAACTGAAATCGTGTGTGTATCACAATAGCATATTAAAAAAAATAGAAGCTATTCCATTCATTGTCCCTCATTGAATATTTTTTCTGATGACATAATCTTCTTTCCCCATCCTAAGTTATTTGAGGAGAGTGAAGATACTGAATTTAAAGATGCATTAAGGTCTTTACCCATTGTTGCCACTGGTTATAATATTTGCTTGTGTTTTTCAGGTGAGGCATCCATGCTACTCTTTTTTTGAGGCTAATTGTTGCTGGTAAGTACTTTTAGTACAACTTGAGGAAATAGGCATGAACTTGAGAATGTAATGAAGTACTATAACTACTTGTAACAGGATGAGTATTACCATGACTAAAGCAGACCATTGGTTTGTAAATGTTGATCGATCATGCATGGTTCTGAAGTGCCTGATGTGATAATTAAAAGGTTTGCAATGGGAAGTGCTGTTCATTAGTATTCACTTGCAGATTGTGGCTAGACTATGGAAAAGGATATTCAACCTGAAGATCTTCCAGCAAATGTGTGAAATATTGGGTAAACCAAAAACTTGGTGAAGCAGCACGGAACCAGTTAACAAATGTGAGGATTGACAATAAATTTAAATTACATGTGCACTATTTATCTTGGCAAGGATTTGTCTTGCATTTATTGAAAGATTGCCCATTGTATTAATTATAGCATTAAGGGGCATGAGTTCCAGATTTCCAAAAAAATGCATTAAATGAAAACTAATTTGATTTCAATCTTTTTTGACTAGTTTTATATGAAAAGGGTCCAAATCTCTGCATCGTAGCATAAATAGGAAGGGAGAAAAAAAATATTGAAGTAGGTGTCAAAAATTTTCCAAAATGGTCAAAAAACTATTATCAAATAAGTGTCAACTGAAATCGTGTGTGTATCACAATAGCATATTAAAAAAAATAGAAGCTATTCCATTCATTGTCCCTCATTGAATATTTTTTCTGATGAAATAATCTTCTTTCCCCATCCTAAGTTATTTGAGGAGAGTGAAGATACTGAATTTAAAGATGCATTAAGGTCTTTACCCATTGTTGCCACTGGTTATAATATTTGCTTGTGTTTTTCAGGTGAGGCATCCATGCTACTCTTTTTTTGAGGCTAATTGTTGCTGGTAAGTACTTTTAGTACAACTTGAGGAAATAGGCATGAACTTGAGAATGTAATGAAGTACTATAACTACTTGTAACAGGATGAGTATTACCATGACTAAAGCAGACCATTGGTTTGTAAATGTTGATCGATCATGCATGGTTCTGAAGTGCCTGATGTGATAATTAAAAGGTTTGCAATGGGAAGTGCTGTTCATTAGTATTCACTTGCAGATTGTGGCTAGACTATGGAAAAGGATATTCAACCTGAAGATCTTCCAGCAAATGTGTGAAATATTGGGTAAACCAAAAACTTGGTGAAGCAGCACGGAACCAGTTAACAAATGTGAGGATTGACAATAAATTTAAATTACATGTGCACTATATATCTTGGCAAGGATTTGTCTTGCATTTATTGAAAGATTGCCCATTGTATTGAATATAGCATTAAGGGGCATGAGTTCCAGATTTCCAAAAAAATGCATTAAATGAAAACTAATTTGATTTCAATCTTTTTTACTAGTTTTATATGAAAAGGGTCCAAATCTCTGCATCGTAGCATAAATAGGAAGGGAGAAAAAAAATATTGAAGTAGGTGTCAAAAATTTTCCAAAATGGTCAAAAAACTATTATCAAATAAGTGTCAACTGAAATCGTGTGTGTATCACAATAGCATATTAAAAAAAATAGAAGCTATTCCATTCATTGTCCCTCATTGAATATTTTTTCTGATGACATAATCTTCTTTCCCCATCCTAAGTTATTTGAGGAGAGTGAAGATACTGAATTTAAAGATGCATTAAGGTCTTTACCCATTGTTGCCACTGGTTATAATATTTGCTTGTGTTTTTCAGGTGAGGCATCCATGCTACTCTTTTTTTGAGGCTAATTGTTGCTGGTAAGTACTTTTAGTACAACTTGAGGAAATAGGCATGAACTTGAGAATGTAATGAAGTACTATAACTACTTGTAACAGGATGAGTATTACCATGACTAAAGCAGACCATTGGTTTGTAAATGTTGATCGATCATGCATGGTTCTGAAGTGCCTGATGTGATAATTAAAAGGTTTGCAATGGGAAGTGCTGTTCATTAGTATTCACTTGCAGATTGTGGCTAGACTATGGAAAAGGATATTCAACCTGAAGATCTTCCAGCAAATGTGTGAAATATTGGGTAAACCAAAAACTTGGTGAAGCAGCACGGAACCAGTTAACAAATGTGAGGATTGACAATAAATTTAAATTACATGTGCACTATTTATCTTGGCAAGGATTTGTCTTGCATTTATTGAAAGATTGCCCATTGTATTAATTATAGCATTAAGGGGCATGAGTTCCAGATTTCCAAAAAAATGCATTAAATGAAAACTAATTTGATTTCAATCTTTTTTGACTAGTTTTATATGAAAAGGGTCCAAATCTCTGCATCGTAGCATAAATAGGAAGGGAGAAAAAAAATATTGAAGTAGGTGTCAAAAATTTTCCAAAATGGTCAAAAAACTATTATCAAATAAGTGTCAACTGAAATCGTGTGTGTATCACAATAGCATATTAAAAAAAATAGAAGCTATTCCATTCATTGTCCCTCATTGAATATTTTTTCTGATGAAATAATCTTCTTTCCCCATCCTAAGTTATTTGAGGAGAGTGAAGATACTGAATTTAAAGATGCATTAAGGTCTTTACCCATTGTTGCCACTGGTTATAATATTTGCTTGTGTTTTTCAGGTGAGGCATCCATGCTACTCTTTTTTTGAGGCTAATTGTTGCTGGTAAGTACTTTTAGTACAACTTGAGGAAATAGGCATGAACTTGAGAATGTAATGAAGTACTATAACTACTTGTAACAGGATGAGTATTACCATGACTAAAGCAGACCATTGGTTTGTAAATGTTGATCGATCATGCATGGTTCTGAAGTGCCTGATGTGATAATTAAAAGGTTTGCAATGGGAAGTGCTGTTCATTAGTATTCACTTGCAGATTGTGGCTAGACTATGGAAAAGGATATTCAACCTGAAGATCTTCCAGCAAATGTGTGAAATATTGGGTAAACCAAAAACTTGGTGAAGCAGCACGGAACCAGTTAACAAATGTGAGGATTGACAATAAATTTAAATTACATGTGCACTATATATCTTGGCAAGGATTTGTCTTGCATTTATTGAAAGATTGCCCATTGTATTGAATATAGCATTAAGGGGCATGAGTTCCAGATTTCCAAAAAAATGCATTAAATGAAAACTAATTTGATTTCAATCTTTTTTACTAGTTTTATATGAAAAGGGTCCAAATCTCTGCATCGTAGCATAAATAGGAAGGGAGAAAAAAAATATTGAAGTAGGTGTCAAAAATTTTCCAAAATGGTCAAAAAACTATTATCAAATAAGTGTCAACTGAAATCGTGTGTGTATCACAATAGCATATTAAAAAAAATAGAAGCTATTCCATTCATTGTCCCTCATTGAATATTTTTTCTGATGACATAATCTTCTTTCCCCATCCTAAGTTATTTGAGGAGAGTGAAGATACTGAATTTAAAGATGCATTAAGGTCTTTACCCATTGTTGCCACTGGTTATAATATTTGCTTGTGTTTTTCAGGTGAGGCATCCATGCTACTCTTTTTTTGAGGCTAATTGTTGCTGGTAAGTACTTTTAGTACAACTTGAGGAAATAGGCATGAACTTGAGAATGTAATGAAGTACTATAACTACTTGTAACAGGATGAGTATTACCATGACTAAAGCAGACCATTGGTTTGTAAATGTTGATCGATCATGCATGGTTCTGAAGTGCCTGATGTGATAATTAAAAGGTTTGCAATGGGAAGTGCTGTTCATTAGTATTCACTTGCAGATTGTGGCTAGACTATGGAAAAGGATATTCAACCTGAAGATCTTCCAGCAAATGTGTGAAATATTGGGTAAACCAAAAACTTGGTGAAGCAGCACGGAACCAGTTAACAAATGTGAGGATTGACAATAAATTTAAATTACATGTGCACTATTTATCTTGGCAAGGATTTGTCTTGCATTTATTGAAAGATTGCCCATTGTATTAATTATAGCATTAAGGGGCATGAGTTCCAGATTTCCAAAAAAATGCATTAAATGAAAACTAATTTGATTTCAATCTTTTTTGACTAGTTTTATATGAAAAGGGTCCAAATCTCTGCATCGTAGCATAAATAGGAAGGGAGAAAAAAAATATTGAAGTAGGTGTCAAAAATTTTCCAAAATGGTCAAAAAACTATTATCAAATAAGTGTCAACTGAAATCGTGTGTGTATCACAATAGCATATTAAAAAAAATAGAAGCTATTCCATTCATTGTCCCTCATTGAATATTTTTTCTGATGAAATAATCTTCTTTCCCCATCCTAAGTTATTTGAGGAGAGTGAAGATACTGAATTTAAAGATGCATTAAGGTCTTTACCCATTGTTGCCACTGGTTATAATATTTGCTTGTGTTTTTCAGGTGAGGCATCCATGCTACTCTTTTTTTGAGGCTAATTGTTGCTGGTAAGTACTTTTAGTACAACTTGAGGAAATAGGCATGAACTTGAGAATGTAATGAAGTACTATAACTACTTGTAACAGGATGAGTATTACCATGACTAAAGCAGACCATTGGTTTGTAAATGTTGATCGATCATGCATGGTTCTGAAGTGCCTGATGTGATAATTAAAAGGTTTGCAATGGGAAGTGCTGTTCATTAGTATTCACTTGCAGATTGTGGCTAGACTATGGAAAAGGATATTCAACCTGAAGATCTTCCAGCAAATGTGTGAAATATTGGGTAAACCAAAAACTTGGTGAAGCAGCACGGAACCAGTTAACAAATGTGAGGATTGACAATAAATTTAAATTACATGTGCACTATATATCTTGGCAAGGATTTGTCTTGCATTTATTGAAAGATTGCCCATTGTATTGAATATAGCATTAAGGGGCATGAGTTCCAGATTTCCAAAAAAATGCATTAAATGAAAACTAATTTGATTTCAATCTTTTTTACTAGTTTTATATGAAAAGGGTCCAAATCTCTGCATCGTAGCATAAATAGGAAGGGAGAAAAAAAATATTGAAGTAGGTGTCAAAAATTTTCCAAAATGGTCAAAAAACTATTATCAAATAAGTGTCAACTGAAATCGTGTGTGTATCACAATAGCATATTAAAAAAAATAGAAGCTATTCCATTCATTGTCCCTCATTGAATATTTTTTCTGATGACATAATCTTCTTTCCCCATCCTAAGTTATTTGAGGAGAGTGAAGATACTGAATTTAAAGATGCATTAAGGTCTTTACCCATTGTTGCCACTGGTTATAATATTTGCTTGTGTTTTTCAGGTGAGGCATCCATGCTACTCTTTTTTTGAGGCTAATTGTTGCTGGTAAGTACTTTTAGTACAACTTGAGGAAATAGGCATGAACTTGAGAATGTAATGAAGTACTATAACTACTTGTAACAGGATGAGTATTACCATGACTAAAGCAGACCATTGGTTTGTAAATGTTGATCGATCATGCATGGTTCTGAAGTGCCTGATGTGATAATTAAAAGGTTTGCAATGGGAAGTGCTGTTCATTAGTATTCACTTGCAGATTGTGGCTAGACTATGGAAAAGGATATTCAACCTGAAGATCTTCCAGCAAATGTGTGAAATATTGGGTAAACCAAAAACTTGGTGAAGCAGCACGGAACCAGTTAACAAATGTGAGGATTGACAATAAATTTAAATTACATGTGCACTATTTATCTTGGCAAGGATTTGTCTTGCATTTATTGAAAGATTGCCCATTGTATTAATTATAGCATTAAGGGGCATGAGTTCCAGATTTCCAAAAAAATGCATTAAATGAAAACTAATTTGATTTCAATCTTTTTTGACTAGTTTTATATGAAAAGGGTCCAAATCTCTGCATCGTAGCATAAATAGGAAGGGAGAAAAAAAATATTGAAGTAGGTGTCAAAAATTTTCCAAAATGGTCAAAAAACTATTATCAAATAAGTGTCAACTGAAATCGTGTGTGTATCACAATAGCATATTAAAAAAAATAGAAGCTATTCCATTCATTGTCCCTCATTGAATATTTTTTCTGATGAAATAATCTTCTTTCCCCATCCTAAGTTATTTGAGGAGAGTGAAGATACTGAATTTAAAGATGCATTAAGGTCTTTACCCATTGTTGCCACTGGTTATAATATTTGCTTGTGTTTTTCAGGTGAGGCATCCATGCTACTCTTTTTTTGAGGCTAATTGTTGCTGGTAAGTACTTTTAGTACAACTTGAGGAAATAGGCATGAACTTGAGAATGTAATGAAGTACTATAACTACTTGTAACAGGATGAGTATTACCATGACTAAAGCAGACCATTGGTTTGTAAATGTTGATCGATCATGCATGGTTCTGAAGTGCCTGATGTGATAATTAAAAGGTTTGCAATGGGAAGTGCTGTTCATTAGTATTCACTTGCAGATTGTGGCTAGACTATGGAAAAGGATATTCAACCTGAAGATCTTCCAGCAAATGTGTGAAATATTGGGTAAACCAAAAACTTGGTGAAGCAGCACGGAACCAGTTAACAAATGTGAGGATTGACAATAAATTTAAATTACATGTGCACTATATATCTTGGCAAGGATTTGTCTTGCATTTATTGAAAGATTGCCCATTGTATTGAATATAGCATTAAGGGGCATGAGTTCCAGATTTCCAAAAAAATGCATTAAATGAAAACTAATTTGATTTCAATCTTTTTTACTAGTTTTATATGAAAAGGGTCCAAATCTCTGCATCGTAGCATAAATAGGAAGGGAGAAAAAAAATATTGAAGTAGGTGTCAAAAATTTTCCAAAATGGTCAAAAAACTATTATCAAATAAGTGTCAACTGAAATCGTGTGTGTATCACAATAGCATATTAAAAAAATAGAAGCTATTCCATTCATTGTCCCTCATTGAATATTTTTTCTGATGACATAATCTTCTTTCCCCATCCTAAGTTATTTGAGGAGAGTGAAGATACTGAATTTAAAGATGCATTAAGGTCTTTACCCATTGTTGCCACTGGTTATAATATTTGCTTGTGTTTTTCAGGTGAGGCATCCATGCTACTCTTTTTTTGAGGCTAATTGTTGCTGGTAAGTACTTTTAGTACAACTTGAGGAAATAGGCATGAACTTGAGAATGTAATGAAGTACTATAACTACTTGTAACAGGATGAGTATTACCATGACTAAAGCAGACCATTGGTTTGTAAATGTTGATCGATCATGCATGGTTCTGAAGTGCCTGATGTGATAATTAAAAGGTTTGCAATGGGAAGTGCTGTTCATTAGTATTCACTTGCAGATTGTGGCTAGACTATGGAAAAGGATATTCAACCTGAAGATCTTCCAGCAAATGTGTGAAATATTGGGTAAACCAAAAACTTGGTGAAGCAGCACGGAACCAGTTAACAAATGTGAGGATTGACAATAAATTTAAATTACATGTGCACTATTTATCTTGGCAAGGATTTGTCTTGCATTTATTGAAAGATTGCCCATTGTATTAATTATAGCATTAAGGGGCATGAGTTCCAGATTTCCAAAAAAATGCATTAAATGAAAACTAATTTGATTTCAATCTTTTTTGACTAGTTTTATATGAAAAGGGTCCAAATCTCTGCATCGTAGCATAAATAGGAAGGGAGAAAAAAAATATTGAAGTAGGTGTCAAAAATTTTCCAAAATGGTCAAAAAACTATTATCAAATAAGTGTCAACTGAAATCGTGTGTGTATCACAATAGCATATTAAAAAAAATAGAAGCTATTCCATTCATTGTCCCTCATTGAATATTTTTTCTGATGAAATAATCTTCTTTCCCCATCCTAAGTTATTTGAGGAGAGTGAAGATACTGAATTTAAAGATGCATTAAGGTCTTTACCCATTGTTGCCACTGGTTATAATATTTGCTTGTGTTTTTCAGGTGAGGCATCCATGCTACTCTTTTTTTGAGGCTAATTGTTGCTGGTAAGTACTTTTAGTACAACTTGAGGAAATAGGCATGAACTTGAGAATGTAATGAAGTACTATAACTACTTGTAACAGGATGAGTATTACCATGACTAAAGCAGACCATTGGTTTGTAAATGTTGATCGATCATGCATGGTTCTGAAGTGCCTGATGTGATAATTAAAAGGTTTGCAATGGGAAGTGCTGTTCATTAGTATTCACTTGCAGATTGTGGCTAGACTATGGAAAAGGATATTCAACCTGAAGATCTTCCAGCAAATGTGTGAAATATTGGGTAAACCAAAAACTTGGTGAAGCAGCACGGAACCAGTTAACAAATGTGAGGATTGACAATAAATTTAAATTACATGTGCACTATATATCTTGGCAAGGATTTGTCTTGCATTTATTGAAAGATTGCCCATTGTATTGAATATAGCATTAAGGGGCATGAGTTCCAGATTTCCAAAAAAATGCATTAAATGAAAACTAATTTGATTTCAATCTTTTTTGACTAGTTTTATATGAAAAGGGTCCAAGTCTCTGCATCGTAGCATAAATAGCAAGGGAGAAAAAAAATATTGAAGGTGTCAAAAATTTTCCAAAATGGTCAAAAAACTATTATCAAATAAGTGTCAACTGAAATCGTGTGTGTATCACAATAGCATATATTAAAAAAAATAGAAGCTAATTTTTTCCCCCAATTTTATTTTTCTTATTTGTTTATCGAACGATTTGCATGATACTTGTACACCTGACTGCACTAAAGCCTACATGTAAGGGTGCCAATTTTGGAGGAAATTGGTTGACGTCAACCTCGGCCACAGATGGCAGTACCTTAGACTAATATTTTAAAGATTTATTTTGCAAGCAACATAAACGACTTCAAACTTTCAATTTTATTCAATTTACATGAAACTTGCATCTTATATGTAAAGTTTGTCTCTAAAATCTGTTAGACGCATGTTTTCTTAAGTTCATTTATTGATTTTATAAATAGCAATAAACCTGATATATTTACATAATTTTTTGGGGAACTATGACTATTTGTATTAGGGAAACTAAAGATGTTTTGGAAAATCCCCTCCAACACAACCTTTATTATATGCTATTGTGTCAGAAAAGTGTCAGAATGATTAATCTGAAAAGGGTGAAAGGTTTGAACTCGAAAATGTGTAATATTCGTTGAAAAAAAAAATTAAATCTCCCTTTCTATTTAGGCTGCAGTACTGAAATTTGGAACAATTGCAACCCTTTTCATATACAGCTAGTCAAAGTATTGGTTGATATTGAACAACTTTTAGAAAACTGAACTCATGCCCCCTTAACTTTATAGTTGAGGCAGTTTTAAATTTGACCAATTTCTTAGTTTTTATTTTGTACTAAAATGATGTTTTGCATAGTTCAACTGAGTTGTTTGAAGACAAAATTTTACTGAATATATTAATTTATTGCATGCATGTACTACAATAATCTTTTCCTAAAATATTAAATTTATTTCAGGTAGCTGATGTTGGGCATTCATTCATGCTTATACTGGAGCATTCAGTTGTAAGTGCCATGCATAGTTTTTCTTATTTGAAATACTTAAGAATTGCTAAGTTGTAATGTCTCCAAAAATTCATGACACAAATACATATTGGTAAGTAACTTTGTGTATATGAAGCTAAACCTGCATTTCTGCATTTTTCCCATCAACTGTTGATCACTAACAAACCAGATATAATATTACACTACAATTACTGGTATTGCCTTTTGCCATTGTATATTTTTCCATTCATTGTCCCTCATTGAATATTTTTTCTGATGACATAATCTTCTTTCCCCATCCTAAGTTATTTGAGGAGAGTGAAGATACTGAATTTAAAGATGCATTAAGGTCTTTACCCATTGTTGCCACTGGTTATAAAAATATTTGCTTGTGTTTTTCAGGTGAGGCATCCATGCTACTCTTTTTGAGGCTAATTGTTGCTGGTAAGTACTTTTAGTACAACTTGAGGAAATAGGCATGAACTTGAGAATGTAATGAAGTACAGTACTATAACTACTTGTAACAGGATGAATATTACCATGACTAAAGCAGACCATTGGTTTGTAAATGTTGATCGATCATGCATGGTTCTGAAGTGCATGATGTGGTGATTAAATGGTTTGCAATGGGAAGTGCTGTTCATTAGTATTCACTTGCAGATTGTGGCTAGACTATGGAAAAGGATATTCAACCTGAAGATCTTCCAGGAAATGTGTAGGGTAAACCAAAAACTTGGTGAAACAGCGAGGAACCAGTTAACAAATGTGAGGATGGACAATAAATTTAAATTACACTACTATATAAACTGCACTATATATTTTGGCAAGGATCTGTCTTGCATTTATTGAAAGATTGCCCATTGTATTGAATATAACATTAAGGGGCATGAGTTCCAGATTTCCAAAAAAATACATTAAATGAAAACTAATTCGATTTCAATCTTTTTTGACTAGTTAGTACTGTAAATACTTTTAATACGATGAATATCACTATGACTAAAGAGACCATTGGTTTGTGAAGGTTGTCAATGAAATGTAAATCCCTTGGTTTTCACAAGTAGTGGATTCAGTAATTTGCATTTATAAATGGCATGGACAATTTTGGGGACAGGCAGCTAGTTTGTATATTTGCATTGGATCAGCTCATTTACTAAGAGATGATGTTCCATAGTTCAACTGAATTCTTGCGTATATAATATATTAATGGTATGCACACAATTTGAAAAGCAGTGCATACTGCATATTTCTATTGAACAATCTTGCTCAATAGAAAACTAGTGTATTTAAATTGCATTCTATCTTTCTATGTCCTTGGTGTACAATTAAGTTCTGAAAGTTCAAATTTCTAAATATTATGTTTGTGATGTAATCTTTCTTGCAAATATAGTTGAAGCTGAAGAATAAAATGCATAAGGATTCCTCTGCTCCTCTACATAGGTCAGAGAACTACTGAGATTCTGTGACAAATTCTGTCAGCAGATTGCAGAACCAACTAGGAACGAACATATGCTGGACCCGATATTCACGAACAATGATGAGCTAATCGACACATTATGGTCTCAGACCACAAGCTCATTGGAGTGCAAACTAACATTAATAATGTTAGAAGTGAGAAGGGTTATTCAATAAATATAATTTTAATAATAAAACGATAGACTGGGAGAGAATAAACAGGGAATTACAATCAATGGGAAAATGTTCTAAGACAAAAATCCTACACAAGGAATAGAAAAACTTCTGAAGCATATGAAAGTCTCCTTTGTTCTTGTTCCTTTGAGGAAAGCCAGAAAGGTTCGATGTAAAAAGGGAACGCAGACGACATTACAAAGGAAGGTAGAACTAAACAAATGCTTAAGCAGACACGACTTTCCATACAAAGAAGGAATAATTTAAACAAGGAGATTGAAGAAATCGAACAGATTGAAGCATTCGTATCAGACTGAAGAAAGGCAACTGGAACAGAAAGCAATTCAAGAAAAAGAAAAATCCAAAATATTTTTTCATGCTAAATCAAAAGCAAAAATAACTGCCAGTATTGGAACCATTGGTATTAGTGAAGGTTCATACTGAGGACGACAAAGAAATTGGCAAAATTCTATGTTTAGCACTCCGATAAACTGCATGATCTTTCAACCACTCCATGAAGGATCTGGACAACTTCATATCCAAACACCTGTAAATATAACGTAATATCAATCCGAGAGTAACAGATTTGTTAAGAAATTGACAATATGCACTCTGCCCCGGTTCCAGACTCTTGGAATTCAATATTCATAAAGAAATGCAAAGTGCCAGTAGCACAGGCACTCAGTATAGTGTGGAGGAAGAGCTTTGACACTGGAGATACCAGATGTGCTGAAAGCAGCAGACAGCCCCTCTACACAAGGGACAGCAAAGAATTGTAGACCAGTTGCACGAACGTCCAACATAATAATGAGTATTTGAGTGATCAGGAGTCAGGTCACTAGATTCATGGAAACAAATCCAAAAAGCACGAAAGCACTCGAACCTGTACATCTTTTCTCAATCTTTGGCGGCTTTGTTTCCAATTATTAAACAGTTGATGAGCTCAGGAGCACCAGGAGACTTAGAATTTCCTGTCTAACGGAACAGATTAACAGTTAATCAAATAGTGTCCAAGCACAGTTTAAAGCTCTGTACCTCAAGGTACAGTCCTTGCACCATTGCTGTTCCTTATTCTCATATTGGATATAGACAAAAATACAGTACAAGTGCAAAACCTTGTTCACCATCTCGCCCCAGCCCAGACACCAAACCAACCTCCAAGGGCAGCCTTTCACAAGCAACCCCTCTGGTGGGTGGAACGATACCAACAGCAACACTGTTGGTTTCACTTTGTATGTACAAAGCTTGGTGAGGCCATATTCTCTGTTGTTGCTTGTATTAGGGGGAAACTGTCCAGTGCCCCACATTTTTATCATGGTGGTGGTTTTAACCTTAGCTTGGGTTGATCTAGTATCCTATGACCTCTTTGCCTCTAAGGAGACCAGATTTTGCTTCTGATCTCCATTAGGTGAGAGGCTTGTAGTTAACCAGGCAGCCACAGAGGACAGACCTCCCAATAATTATGTACACACCAATCATTATGGTTTATACATGGTATTGCTCATGTGTGCAAAGTTTCCAGACATTTCAATGTTGCTCATGAGCAACAATAAATCTGTGCTGCTGTATGGATAAGTCATTCCAAATGTTACAATAAATGCATATACAGTAATTCAGACACAATGTTATCAGTGGTCAATCCCCCAAAAGTTGGAATAGAAGTGAATTTCCTCAAATTCATGCACAGTGTAATTATCAGCCTTGGTCAAAGTGCATTCTGGTGATGCACTGTCACCATCAGTCTCCTGTGCCTGCTAAACACCCCCCCCCCCTCCCTCTAAAATACACTTTTACCCTCACTCTGTATACTATGATGATTGATATATTATTAATGGCCTAACTCTTCAATAAAGCCACCTATATATTTAGTATGACTTTGAGGGTAGGAATGCTTCTCAGAACCAAATCTCTCACTTGCACTGGTTTCTTTCACTGTTCATAAATGTTCCAATATATTTTGTATCTTTTTGCTCCATTATGTATACAATACTATTAACAATTCCAGCATGAAATACTATGGTAGAATACAAACCCCCAAAAATTACAATTAGCAAATTGTGGGGGGATATGTGGCAAGCAGGGGTGACTTGTGAAGAGTGTGGTCATGCAGTATGCAACATGAATGTTTTAGCTACTAAAGAAAACAGACGAAGTTAAATTCCTATGGATTCCATCACATGTTGGCATCTCACAGCATGACACTGTTGACATGCTTGTAACGACAGCCTGTAGATATCCAGTAGTAGAAATTTATATGGATGCTTCATTAGCAGTGACAAAGATAATTCTTAAACAAATATCTAATGAAAATCTTAATACCTAATAGGTACACACAGACCTGAAAGCTGTAGCATTAAACATTATGATAAATATCGTGAGGAGACATTCACATATGAAACTAATACGACTGGAATATAGATGTATCTGGCAGCTTTCTCAAAACCTAAATGTTGAATACACAATGTGTCAACTTTGTGAAAGAGAAAACATGCACTACCTTGAACATTATATTGTAGAATGTCCCATATTGACTTGACTTTTGCGCTCTTGGGCCGAGGTATGCTGAACTCTTGTAAATACAATATGAATACTGGAACACTTGATGTATTGGATTTTGGATTGACTATGTAATGCATCAGTTATACAATGTATGTGATATAACTATAACCTGAGCTTGTAAAAGTATCTTAATCACCTTCAGTGGTTAAGTGCTTAATAACACACTAGTTTCTATAGCAGCTATCTTACCTTGTCAAAGTAGGAGAGATATAAATGTTTGTGTATACAGCACGTGCAAGTTAGTCAGAATTGCATTTCACCTTTGTAATCGCACATTAATGACACTTATGTAAAAAGACACCTCAATCACTATGTATGACATAATTTTGTGTATTTGTTTGTTGGCTAGATCAACAATCTACCACAAATTATTCAATAAATCACTGAACTATATGTTTAACAGATCTCTAACCCTGTCCATGGAGGACAGAAGAAAATGTATATATGCTGATTAGCATTGTAAATGTGCAGCCACGTCTGTGGTAGAAAATAATAATAATAAAAAGTATGCACCACAATCAATGGTTATTTAATATTTCACTAATACTGTACAAGTTGAGTCATTTCACACAGTATGTTGGTCCTTACCATTTGAGGTAATTTCACGCGAGGTGACCTTGCCTTATGCTAAGCTGATAATTGCAGGGGGTTGGCTGTGTTTGTTCCATCAAACAAGCTGGTGTCTAGATGTGGTAGGAAGATAGCTCGAGGTTATCTCCTGGTTCCCTTTTAAATACTCGAGGAGTTATACATTGAGAGAGAGGATTCTTCGCTCCACCAAAAGATCTAGCGAGAGCAGGGCATTCTTTATCAGCCTGTTTGGGCCGACTGTCAACTACACACTTCCCCCCTCTTTCTAACCAATTTACTCAAAAGACTATGAGTTCAATTGTAAAACAATGTATTCTGTTTTCCCCAAATTATATGTTGTGTAATTTTCTAGGAGTAGTCAGCCATGTTGCTCTCAATTTCCTATACAATGACTGATTCGGTATTAATACTGGTATCAATTATGGTAAAGTCATGAAATATAATTATCCATCATGAATATACAGTACATAATAAATGAATAATCTCTTTAAAATATTTTTAATTATCCTAAATCTGATAACCAAAGATTGTTGATCCATTTCTTGACTGATGAAAGCTAGAGTGGAAAGCACCCTGAAGATTACTTACTCAAGATTTCGTAACTTTCTGCTTTAAATGGTTGTAATTACTTATTAGCATCAATTAATACTGTTGAAGAGATGAGTTCCATTCCTTGTCTTATAAATATTCTGAGTGGATGGTGGCAATCCTTCCTATCTATTTACACTTTTATCTAATTCATGCTAGTCCTTCTTTAAAACTCTTTCCACTATCTTCCTCTACCTCCTCTGTCACCCCTTCATCCCATATTCTCTTTCTAAACTTTCTTTCGCCAGACTAATCTCCCTTCTTCCAACATCTGTTCATCATTTTATTTGTATTTTCCAAAAAAAGTTACAAGTACCCCATATTTGCTCTACATGCCAATGACACACTATTAAATAATTTTGAGTCAAAAGGAACTGAAAAGTAAGCAATTGATTTAAGATTTGAGCTCGGAGCAATCAAATGAAAAAGCAGCAGCTAACACAAAATTGCATTATTAGAATATGTGTTAAATACTGCCCATAAAATGCACAGACAGTAGATATATACAATACTTGGGAGGTAATTACTTTAATGACAAGGATAAATAAAAAAAAATCCAATATTCAAATTATCTCCATCAAATACATGTACAGGAAGTTGGCAAGAGGCTGGTTTTAATAACTCTGGTGTAAAAGAATATCCACTATAACTATTTAACATGACAAATGTTCTAAATTTTAACCTGATGTTATATAATGCTAACACTTTATACATACTTAATAACTATTAATGACCCTCTATATCAGTCTCTTGCAAATTAGTTCTCATGTGAACAGTGTTTTTAATGAGACCCAGTTGGCTCAGCGGACTATAGTAATATAGCTAACATCTTCAATTAAAATATTACTATAAAAAATAAGTTCATTTGATAATTCAAATTAAAAGAAACTTACACATGAAGTGACCAAATCTTCTAACAGTATTTCTATCCCCAAATTCCTGGAGAGAAAAAGAACAAAACAAGATATAGGCAAATGGATTTTAAATTTGATAACAAATATATATATTATATATATATAATAACTTATGCTGCCTATTAATAATTAAATATGTAAATTTTGAATGAAATGAAATGCCGTTTACTGGTAGAGACCTCAGCAGTTTCCTCGAGCTAAGTGCCGATTCAGCCAAGTGTTACGGAGATGTGCTAGACCTCTGAGAGACACCTTTACTTATTAATTTAAGTCACGACCACAATTTTACACTCTCTGAGGAGAGATAAGCTTGAGGATCAGAGATCAAAGCCCAAAACCACAACAGGCCACACAATGGAGAACAAGTCCTGGGAACTACCCAAAAGTGAGGACTCAAAAGTGGTCACCTCATAGAGGAGGAACTATAACCCCAAAGAGCAAGTTAGGGGCAAGGATAATGGAAGGTGACTACAATGAAAGGGAACTCTGGCCCAGAGCAAAAAAGAAAAAAAAGAAAGCTAGGGCACATACAATGTGGGTAACATAAACCATACTTGTGAAGGAGAAAGGAAATAATAACAAAGCAATGGCTCCTGACAGAACTAATATTCTAGGGATAGCAAACACCACCTAGCTTATGCAGGTGCCTGTAATAGGTTTCTTGCCCCACAATGTTGTGGCCAGCCAGGCGAGTGAGGGGTCAGATACATTAAGTCTCAGGTGGCCTAGTCTCCAAAGTGGTGGCAGTCAGGTACAACAGAATTTGAGTGTTTATCCTGCTGCAACAATTATTTGCCTCATTACCACAGGGTACCTAATTTTCCTCAAGCAGCTGCTTGGTTTTTTGTGCTTATGGTTTCTTGTGTTTTTCCTTAGTTTTAGGGTTGATTTCTGATTCTCAAGCATGTTAATTGTCAAAACATGCCAACCTAGGAAGACAACTGTGTAATGTAGCACCCCTGATCCCCATACTTCTCCAAACTAAAATCAAGCTAGATTTTTGTGCTGGCATACAGCAGGCACATTAAATAATTAATGCAAGGGTGGGTCTGAGAGGTCTGGTGTATTTCACTAACTCTTAGCTGCACCAGTGTCTAACTCTGGCAGCTATTGACAAGGCCTTCCCAGAAAAAAAAAAGATCTCCTTTAGTTATTTTGTATATTCTGAATCAGCTTCTTCAAACTTCGTCAATTCCACACAGCATGCAGAAATATGGAGATATTGGCTCTTTGTATATTAAATTATAAATCTTCATGCTCATTCCCAAATTCTATAAATCAAAGGATTAAAAATACAGGTAATTTTAACTTCTCTTTTTTGTTTTCTACAAAATGTACCACCATATCCTCTCTTTCATTGATGTCTGATAACATCTTCACACACAGTGAATAAACTGCTAAAAAATTACATACCTTTCACAAAATAACAAAAAATGATTTAAATACAATATTAAGATTGTTAAAATTGTGAATAACTGAACACACATCATGCTATGCAATATCTCATATTATCATAACTTGCAAGAATTATATATGTATTCCAGGTCTGATGAGATCCAATGCTGAAAACAAGAAAGTGAAAGACCCTAATCAAAGTCTGTCCAAACATCTTGGATAATGAACACTGGAGTAGTCACATGCCAAATCCAATTCTTCATATTCCTTGTACTCTCAGGTGCTGCAATTTTTACATTGAAACAACTATTCCAAACTATCATTCATATCAAAACTTTATAATTACTTTAATTCAAACTGATGAGGAAATGCTCCTGGAATTCACATACAAACCAAATCTCACAGGCTGGATATCTACACCACTTTGCAAAAGAATATTACAAAATATTCCACCCAATAGCTAAAAAAATCCTTCCTTGTTCAAAATTCTGTTCATATATTTGGACTGTTAAGATTCTGAATATGCTGCACCTGTGGAAAATGTTAGAATATATTTCATCAACACCATAAAGGGAAAGGCAGATATTTAAGATATGACCATATTCTGTATCCCTGTTAATGACTCAGATTTGGTACCTAATGCTCTCCCAAGAAGAAGAGATGAAAACAAATATGGGGAGAAAACTTACATGTTTACAAGTCTTCCATATCTCCTTCCTCTCCATCCCCTACATCTCCACCGAGCAGCTCTTTCTCTAACTCTTCATCTATCTCCTCCTCTTCTTCATTAGCACTGCTTTCTTTTGGAGCAGGAGATGGCGCCTCCTCCGTTTCCATGTATTCTCCTAAAACATTTCCAGAATCTTCTTTATTATCCTCCTCTGTAATTCTATTTTCTTCAATGTTTTCTTCTGTTTCGTCTTCCTCCACAGGATTATCTTCACTTGTTTTTTCTTCAATGTTATTTTCTTCGTTTGTGTCATGATTATCCTCGCCATCTTCCTCTAATTGGGCAGCATTCTCCATTATGTTTTGCAATTCATTATGGTTTTCAAAGTTTTCATCTGCAAGAGGATCATGATCATATTCATTTTCAGAATTATTTGATGGTGGATGGTCACTCAGCTCTCCCATTTCTACACTTGGAACAATTTCTGGAATTTCATCTACACCCGAGTCACTTTTACCTTTGTCTCCTCCTATTGATCCAGATTCACTAGATTTCTTGCCTTTACGGGGTGATTTGTTCTTTTGCCTTCTCTTCTTTCCACGAGGGTTATAATCTACATCATCTTTATCATCACAGTCAATATCCAGGTCGTCCTCAAAGATCTCCTCTTCTTGCATATCCTCAATTTCTCCTATCTGACACTCGAGATATTTAGTCATATCTTCTCCATCGTCATCAGAATCCAAGTGACTATCATTTTCCATATCAGATTCGCTGTCCACCATACTACCCTGCGGTCTTAATCCTGATGCATTTCGTCTACAAGTAATAGATATGTTGTAGTTCTTGAGTCTTTTCAACGTATCTTGAACCGATGCCTCGGCTCCATATTCTTGCTCGTGATCTTTACGATAATACATTGATGGTCTGGCATTTGGTCTCTTGGCTTGGGGTTGATTGGCCATAGGCCTACTTGGCCGTTTAGCGCCACGATTTACTTGTACTGTTGTGCCCATTAACTGAAATTGGTGTGGCAGCTTGGGTGGACACTTGGGCATATCAGGCGGGTCTAAAATGACACAGTCATCATCATCATCTACATTATCACTACCATAATGTGTAATAGCATTCCGACTATTTACTGTATTGCCTGGTCTCATATTATGGCTAATTTTTGGCATTTCAGATGATTTAGCATTTTTATAGCCTCCTTTTCCAGAGAATGGCATAACTTTATCCCTCGGTGGCAAGTTATTTGGTGTGACCTCCACACCCTGCCGCCTCAGTATGGCGTGTGCTTGTTCCCTTGAATAAACACTGATTGTAAAATCTTCACATCTTAGCCCCATTGACTTGAGCGTTTCTTTTACGTCAGAACGTGTGGCAGTCTTTCCTCCCTGCCCAGCACCACACTGATTACCACCATGAGCCCCCGACCCTGCATTATGCCCAGACCCAGCATTAGGCCCACCAGCATTAGGACCAGACCCAGCATTAGGTCCTTGATTTGCCATGTCCTTGTCTTTCTGCCCAGCATTTTGTCCTTGTTTCAGAGACTGGCCAGATGCATTTGATGGAGTAGTACGCTTATAACGAGAAAACAACGCTAGTCTCTTCCGACCGTGGGCAGATGCGGAATCTTCGTCGTCATCATCAGGGAGCCCAGGGAGGTATGGGTAAGTTGACATATCTAGTAATACAGTTGGGTACCTAATGTAACCTGTTGGTAGGGAGAAATATTTTCTGAATTAAAATATGATTCTTTTGATCTCATTACATTAGAATTGTCATTATCAAAATAATAAAAAGTGTTAATAAATAAAAGATGAAGTTTTATCACGTATCACCTACGATTTATTCAATCAATAATGATCTTTACTGGATAGACACGTCTTATTGTAAGACACATACAATTTAATGTTTTAATGTACACTGTTATGGCAATGTAATTGTAAAGCAAAATAGTAAATTAAATTCTATCTTAAAATATTAAATTGCTGTACTGTAAATAAGTATAAATTCTAAGCCAACCATGCTAGATGTACCATTAACAAGAAATGGCATTTATATACCCAAGTGTAAAAGTATGGAAAATATGGCTGATTTGTAAATTTAAAATAAGGGTTAAACATTATACAAGTACAGATACTCTATATACTGCACTAAATAAAAGGGTGAATATTTAATCAAATTAAATCTTATCAATTGCTTCAGCAAGGCTACCAAAGACTAAACACTTTATACCTGGAGAGGGTGTGAGGTATAAAAATGGAGTAGAGCAGGCCACAAATGGATGACACGCTGCTTCAAAAGGAGTAAACCGTCGATCTGCAAAACAAAACATACACCATTACCAAACATATTACTGTCATATTGGAAAATACTACCTGTTTACATACCATATTAATAAAGTGTAGTAATGTACGGACATTTCGAATACACGTGTTTCTCATGTATCTGGACCTCCATATATTGGATCTCTCAAAAATCCCAAAGAAAAATATTATGAATCAAAATCCTGAGCAAGCTAGCAAGGATCCATACCTGACAGTCCTGGCTGCATCAACATAAACTTAAAAGTAAAATGTCATCAAATGCCTCTCTGCTAGAGCCCCAGTGGCTCTCTGAAGCTATGTCGCTGAGATAGGGCACATCAGTAGCGAGAGCTCGGTTTAGCTTAACCAAAGCCAGAACCCAGTCCCTTCACAAAGGCACAGGGAGCAAGTGATAATTTCCCACCCCATCAGGAATAATATTCAGACAATCAGCAAAGCTTTACAAATAACTGTAAGGTTCACAAAAATTGAAGCCTTGACATCTCCAAACAACTCTGTAAACGATTCAAACAGAACAAATGATTTACTCAAAATTAGCTCGAACCCATTAATATTAATTGCCACAATCAGTGGACCATCCCAGCCAACAGCAGGCTTCCCTGATCACTTCTGAAGCTTATGACAGCCTACTGAAGAACCAACAAACCTGGAGCGAAAGGAGGGAATCCAGGACCCAATGGGCCTCTACCAGAAAGTGTGTTTCATTATATTTAATGCTGGGTTTCTGGGGGAGTCCCCAGAGAACAAAAACACTGGATTTGCCGGAGAAAACAAGAGGCAGCAGTTACCAAGACAAAGGAGAGAATCCAGGCTGGGAAACATGGCTCAAAGTTACACACGATCAATTGGAATATTAACAAAATACTAGACTGTCAGAACTTTGTTAGTGTATCAATGAATAATGAAACATTTTACTCTTCTAAAGTATGTTTTACTCTTCTAAAAATATAATACTGTGTGCATTTTAGTGACAGGAAAATATTTGAGCATTCCAATGTTCTATGCATTTTATTACATAAATTTCTCAAATGACACACCATTGAATATCATTATTGTAAAAACCATACAAAAAAGAAATCATTAACATTGTAATAAATACCTAAAAATGAATGCTTTTGAGTTGTAATGTCATCACAGAATTTCTGTGCTTTACATTGTTTAAAACAAAGAAGAGTAATGGGAGATATGAATGAAGCACAGTATACAGATGGATGAATGGTGGGAATATGAATTGTGCTAAATATAACACAAAATAATAAATATAAATGACAAAAGTTTAGATATGGAAAAAAACCTGGGTACATACTGATTTGGAAAGAGGGTTATTGATTTATATAAAAATTTGCTAGATAATCTAAAAAGTCAGATCATTGGATGGTTTTAAGCACAGGTTAAACAAATATGAGTGGCTGAGGTTGGATATATATATATCCAGTGGATATATATATATATCCAACCTCAGTATATATATCCATGTAACTGCTTATATGGGTCAAAAGATCTTTGACAATTTTATCTGTTCTGTATTTCTTACTGCTCTCTTCTACATCCTTAGTGAAACTGCAAGTATGTTTTAAATATATTTGTAGCTGGGGAAAGGGGCAGAAGTACTTAATAATAATATTCATATAACAATCTTTGAGACATCTATGTATTACTACCCTATTTTTCATGTACTGTAGAAGCTTAAGTTCACTTTGTGAACTCTCACATACAGAAGTTTCCCTCGAACTCATCCATCACAGACAGTTAAGGCTGACTCTTATATGCAACTCTGAAATAAACTTAATCATCAAAGCACATCTGCAGTGACTGCTTAATTGTTTTCAATAACCCTGGCACTTATATCATAAGTCAAATTATAAAAACAATTGTTTTATACTGAACTATACTGTACTACAAATCTGAGAGTAAAGATATTTATGGTGTACAATAGTGATAGGTACTAACCTGGTAAATAGGTAAGAAGTCTCTCTACAAGCATGAGGAACATTGAGTCTTTACAATCATTTAATCGCTTGCGGAGATTTTCCAAACGCTGATATCGAGACATGGGACGACCTACAAAATCTGAAAACTGCTCGGCATATTCCCCATCATTAAATTCCCGAGGAAATGGGCCTAACAGTGCAGTGATCTGTTTAAAAGAAAAAGAAAAATATTAAACACAAATAATTAACTAAATACAGTACAAAAGTCATATTGAACATTCATAACTTAAAAGATAATAATAATACTGTATTATTATATACCTGTTGATGATTATTCTAGTTCTATTGTAGCCTGGCCTGGGGCAAATTTTTTTGTATTGTAACTGAATAGCTCTAGCACTTTAATTAACATACTCCTTTCTAAAAAAAAAAAATGCAATAATAAAATGTATTGAGAAAATTTAAGTATCTCACCTTATTTAAAATTTCCTTCTTGGATTTGCCCATGAAAAGTGGTTCACCTAGGTAACACTCCGCAAGGAGGCACCCTAAACTCCACATATCAACCTGTTGAATGAACACAAAGTCAACTGTATAATTTTATCCAATACGCACCCATTAAATAGATCAGTTGAATACATGTATTTACTATTCTGCCATATCTATTACAATGACAAATAGAGACAAAATTCTGATCCCGGGAGGTACACAAGACATCTGAGGAGCGGCTTTTGAACAACAAGAGAAGGAAAAGGCTTCTGGTATACCTGCAAGTGTTAAATCATTGCTCCTCCATATTTTTCCATTCATACATCATGTTAATGTGATTTCTTTGTGCAAGTGTTGATACATTGGGGTGATATGGTGGACATAATGCTAGATACATGGCAGGGGGTGAGGTACAAGATGATTGGAATAAGGCAATTGTGGGCGCTCTAAGGAAAAGACAATAGGGAACAATGAGAGAACTATAAATGGATTATTTCCCTTAGTACCTCAGGAATGATATTTGCAAGGGAGCATATTAAGAGAATAAGAGAGGTAACATATGTAGGATATGGAAGGCACATAGTTCGTTTAGGAAGGAGAGGGGTGGTTGTACACACCAGAATTTGATTGAGAATAGGTGTTGGAAATTTTCAAGCGGTAAGGGAGAGTTATATACTGCCTTTAAGGATTTAGAAAAAAGTGTATGACTGGATTGTCCATGAAGTATTGAGGGAGGTTTTAAAGATCTATGAGATGGGAGGGATTTTATTAATAACAGTAAAGTCCTCATAAATTAATAGAAGAGTATGTGTGAGAGCAGGGGAAAACAGGAGAGGATTTTAATATTGGCAAGGGCATAAGACTGGCATGCATAACGTCCCTGACTGTTTATATACACAGAATATGGGCAGGTTAGTCTACAACAGTTGCTTGACACCAAAGGTGACTACCAAGGTGACGATGAACCCACTTCAATAATACCAGATGATGACGAGCAGAGTAGTAGATCAAGCCAGTGAAATACATCGGGCTGATCCACTAAAGCAGGTAGAGCCACAGGAAAATGTCCATGTTTGGACACTGAGTGAGAAATGCTGGAAACTAACCCTGGGCCAGCCACCAAGGGGCTGCAAGGACTATCCTTCTGGAGGGTGATCACAGAACCTGGAGCAACAACTGAACCAGGAATAAAAGGAAAAAACACCTACACCTCAACTAGCCCAATCAAAAGTCATCCACCTCAAAGGCTCAGTGACTGGAGGATTAAGTTATGAGGATAGGCTGAAGGAATAAAATCTCACAACCTTGGAGAACAAAAGAAATAAAGAGATATGATAACAACATACAAGATACTGAGGGGAATAGACAAAATGGACAAGGACAGCCTCTTTAAGTTGAGACAAAGTAGGACAAGAAGACACAACTGGAAGCTGGAATAGAATACGAGTCAAAGGAATGTAAGGAAATACTCGTACCCTGTACGGGTGGTCAACAAGTGGAATGCACTAAGAGAAGAAGTTGTGGAAGCCGCCTCCATTCATAACTTTAAGGAAAGTGTCAACAAAGATATTTTATTAGAATAGTAAAGCTTTAATGCAACGGGTACAACAAAGCTAGTAGGCAGGGCATAAAAAGCTAGACCTCAATTTCCCGTAATCACTGGTAGGTATGTACCGGAGAATAGAGTGATGTAGGAGGGAAGGCACCGGTTCCACTCTGACGTGATGAGGTCCACCCCAGGGCGACCAAATGTCTGCAAAACCAACATAAGGACAGTTCATCAACGGTTCACTCCATGGAATGGAACAGATAACCCCATCCGTGAGAATGGTCGACACACCCCACACGTAAACTGTACAGAGAACCAAACCCAGAGAATCCAGAAGGTGAGCTACACGAAGCATCCAACTCCATAGGGCAATGGACGGAAGTGATCCCCCAAGGTTCAGGCAACAAACCACAGAGGAACAGTTGGAGCAGAGCTGGAGAATAGAACCAGGAGAAAGCTGCATGCCTCACAGCTGCAAACTTGTGCACCATATTTTGTGCCCTTAGAAATGGACCCAAACACCAACCCTGGGCAGCCTAATAGGCGCCAGTCATGATTCCCAATCCAGAGCCAACGAAAGGTGGGCTCAGGATTGGGGAGTGGCAAAATGGGCAGAACCAGAAAAAACATCTTAACTCCCAGTCAAACCATGCCCAGCAGGAAACCATACAGGCAAAGAACAGGAGCAAGCAGAATGGGGGAAGTGGCCATAAGACCAACCAGTCAACAGCCAAACAGACCGCCTATAAAATCAAGGGGCTTGAGCTCAAAAACGCAACATCAGCCAAGAAAAGGAATAGGCAGCAGTAGTGGCCAAGGAAACATAAAACAACAACAGCCACAGGAGAGAGAGAAGCAAAAAAATAAGGTGAATAAAGGGTGAACGATCAATTAAAAAATCACAAACCCAAAACAGCATCACAACAGGCTGCACGAGTTTCAAAACACAAAAGAAACTCCAAGTGGGTGATGGTCCCCGAGGACTGCCATAACACGGGGACTCCAGACATAACAAGCAACTACAAGAAGCTGCAGCAGTGTAACAAACAATAGGCCGGAGTTGAAGGACTCCAATCAGGCTTCCCCCCAAAAAGAAGGGGGGTTCAGCAAGCCAAGAGGAATAGGGAACTACATATCACAGCCATGAACCAAAGCAGAGCTAAACCTGAACAAGGCTAGTGCCAACACGGAAGTGATGAATGAAACCTGCTGAAAGTATGTCCAGTGTCAAATGGCAAACAGGATCAAAATCCAGGGAAAGGGAGGAGGAAGCCACCAAGAAAAAATGTAAATAGAACCAAAAAATGGTTCTATTTAAGCACCCTTGGGGCAAAAGACCTTCCACAGTAGGAACAAAACCAAGAAGGGTAGAAGCGCTCCCACGAACCCATTTCAGGCCCCACCCTGAAGTGGGGAGGGGAGCCAGTCGGCCGAGCGGACAGCACGCTGGACTTGTGATCCTGTGGTCCTGGGTTCGATCCCAGGCGCCGGCGAGAAACAATGGGCAGAGTTTCTTTCACCCTATGCCCCTGTTACCTAGCAGTAAAATAGGTACCTGGGTGTTAGTCAGCTGTCACGGGCTGCTTCCTGGGGGTGGAGGCCTGGTCGAGGACCGGGCCGCGGGGACACTAAACAGCCCCGAAATCATCTCAAGATAACCTCAAGATAACCCTTGCAAGCCAGCCAAGATGGCCCTGAGGTAAGAGCCGCAGTTCATGCCCAATGTCCAGGACAGACTGTGAACACCTAAGGAGGAGGAGTTGAGCAAGAGATCAGTTGCAAAGGCAAAAACACTGCACACCATAATGGGAAAAGACAGCTTCACTGCCTCCACTTTAGAACTGTATGTAACCACCCCTCAGAGAAAGCCAAGCAAAAAATGCTGACAGACCAAACAAAGGGCAAAGCCAGCAGGAGAGGAAAAGGAGACAAGGATGAAGCCCAGGTGTAGTCCACCAAACACCAGAAAAGCTACAAGGGCCAACTCCAGGTCATCCACACAAGCACCAAGCTGTGAACTCTGAACACAGAAAAACCAAACTCGCATGGCGGAAGCTGCTTGGCAAGCTTCAGAAGCAGCAACCTGCAGAACAGAGGGAAAAGCATACATTGCAGGAGCCCCTGTCATCTATGTCATAGACCCAACAGACTGCAAGGTGGAAGCAAAGAAAATGATCGCCAGCCTGGAGCAATCTCAGCAAGATAGCTTCAGGGAGCCAACAAGGGGCTCACCCCAAAAAATTTGAAAACTCAAATATTTAATTTATATATAATCAATAAATACAATACCTCTAAACTGAATTTCATTCCAAAAATAACTTCAGGTGCCCTGTAGAGTAGAGTCTGCAGCTCAAAGTCAGAATAATACAGGGAGAGTTCTTCATCTGTATTCCGTAGAGCATTGCCGAAGTCCACTACCATCAGTGACGCCAAGTCTTCCTCTGGAAAAATATATTGATAAGTAGAGCACATTTCTGGCATTATTTGGGGATGTGCTCCCTAACAACTCACATACTTGTGGTGTCGTGTGGGGATGTGCTCCCCAACACCTCACACACTCCTTGTGTCATGGGTGTTCCTAAATAACTCACACATTCCTGGTTATATTATGCTTCCTAACAACTCTCACATTCCTGGTGTTATGTGGGGCTGTTCCTTAACAACTCTCACACATCTGGTGTTACAGGGGGATGTGCGCCCTAACTCATACACTCCTGGTGTAGGAGTAGCATTTGGATTTTTTTTGGTGAATTTGGAATTTTTTGTTGGTGGCAAAATCGACAAGATCTAATGCAACATACAGTATATATATATATATGGTTGTAATGATGCATACCTTATGTTGAAAAAGTATTGAGGAATACAATAGTATTGATTAGTATTATTAGATTAGTATTAGTACCAAGATGGGGAATGGTTACTGAAGGCCTGAGGAAGCAAATGTGAACCCTGTGAATGTGTAGGAGTTTAGAATCTTACGATATCTCCCCGATTGCCAAAAGGCATCATGCTCACCACTGGTTGAGTACCTTAAGTGCAAGGGTTAAACGGTAGAAAACGTAACAACAGCGCACAAATCTTACCACTTCTTAAAAGTATATTTTCTGGCTTAAGATCAGCATGAATGACATTCTGTTTATAGAGGAAACCCAGGACGGTGAGGAGCTTGACAGTTAAGTCACGGATGTGCGGCAGGGCTGTAGCTTCTCTGATATCCCGCTGATCGTAGTGAGTGTAAAGTGGTGTTGGGCTCAGGTACTCAAACACCAGGCAGTAGTGAGGACCATACAAAAACTGATTCTGCAAAACAAAGAAACACAAATCAAACTCTATTATTCATGGTGCTTTTAAAGTGATGTAATACAGCAATAAACAGACTGTATAATATACTCAAACTCCAAGCAGGAAAATCATACACACATATGATGAGCTGTCTTCACCCTGACTGATAATTAGAATGAAAATGTTTTGAGCATAAATTAAACCTTGTAGATTTAAAAAAAAAAAATAGTCAATTCTGGGTCTTGGGCAACAATTAGCCCCTCACTACTGTACAATATACTTCACTTATAGTATTTAGTTTATTTTGAAAAAACACAAAAGAGTTTGTGAAAACTATTTTCCTGTGAGAAAAGAGGCCTTTGCAGCTCCCTGAAGCTATTTTGCTGAGATGGCTCCCAACTTCTAGACTGTTGAGTCAAGGAGGTCTGTTTGGCCTACTGGGGACCAGAGTCAGAGCCTGGCTTCATAGAGGTGTAGGGAGCAGGTGACAATCTGCCATCTCACCGGTAAAGTCAGTGAACCAATAATGACTACTGGGTTCAAAGAGATCCAAGTCTTAAAACCGCCAAATGAACTCCCCAAAAATGTAAATAAGTGATTGAATCTCTCGAAACAAGCATCCACTCATTTGCCCTACGCCTCCCACTAGAGTGGGGAAGAGGTGGGCCATACACCTGTCGACGATTCTGAGGATCAACATCTTTGTGGCCCAGTCTCTGACCAACCAGACTCTTCAATGCAGCTGCTCACAGCCTGGTTGATCAGGTATTATTTGAAGGTGCTTTTTAAGTTCTCTTTTGAACATTGCAAGAGGTCAGCCTGTTATACCCCATATGTGTCGAGGGCAAATATTGAAAAGTCTTGGCGCCTTTGATGTTGATTGAATTGTCTCAGTGAGCCTATTGCACCTCTGCCTTTCAATGGAGCAGTTTTACACATCATGCCTGCCCTTGTTCTCATGTGGTGTTATTTCTGTGTGCATATTTGGAACCAGTCCTAGTACTTTCCAAGTTTTCAAAGTATTTTCCATCTAGTATTTTCCCACTCTAGGACGGAGGTGGGGAACCAATGGCAAGCATGCCAATCGTAATACACATAACTATTTAGCTGTCATACATACACAATTATTGGTCATCTAAACAAAGTTCTTTAAGAATGCTTTCAGGCATATTATTCTCCATTGGCACTCAAGAGTATGTTTCAGAAAATTATTGCCAATTTAACCACATGCTCTCGAAAAGGTTCCCCTACCTCTGCTCTTGGGAATATAGGTTGTACAGGTATTACAATTTTATATCATAATTTTATACTCTATTAACCATTAAGTTTTAAACAAATTATTAACATTTCTTTATTCTGCCAATGCAACCCTGTTTTTTCATACATTTTCCATAATTAATTTTAAAATTACATTTATTTGGTGAAGTATTAGAACTCTATCACCTACTTTTACTTACTGACAATACTAATTAGTAAACATTTACAGCAACATACCAGAAGTCTAGCAAAAGGAACGTGCAACCAGGGGTCAGCTCGGTGTAGTTCCAACAGAATATCGGCCTCTTGAGATCCAATGGGTTTATAAACACGATGCAGCACCTTGATTGCCAGTGGTCGGCTTTTGTGAAATGTGTCCTGTAATTAAATGAGCATAGGTAGTTTACGTCTTATGGTGAACTTTACAAAGCAATAAATTTGAAGAAAGTCACTTACTGTGCATTACCTACATGATAAATATTCTAATTTGAACCATAAAAACTTTGCCAGACAAATTTTGGTAAACCTTGACTCTTAACTGACTTTTAACACTTTCGCTGCCCAATGCCGCATATTGCGTCACAAAACCATAATACGGAGTATGCCCGATGACGCAAACAGGTGTCAATAATTTAAAAATTTGTAGAAATTCCATTTATTGCCAACTACTATGGGACTTGTTTTAAAATGTGCACCAACTTCTGCCCATTCTCTGTATACCCCATGTGGCATCCTGACCCTGCCGTGTGGGCGCCCACCCACGCTGGAGGCTCACTCTTCTCGTGACCTTGCTCGAGACAGCCGCAGCCTCCCCTCGAGTCAAAAAGTTTCCCCCATTCTGGTTATTTTATCTTAGGTATTTGTTGTTACTGGCTTAATAATCACTACAAATTGACATCCAGATGGATTCTGATCAAGAACAGAGCCAATCCATGATGAAAGCAGTGAAAGAAACACATATGAGGGAAAAGTTATTGAGTTTTCGTAGAAAGTATAAAAAGTGAGACTTATATGTTCTAATATGCAAATATCCCTTTACAGCATTCTATTGCGAACATTTTGATACCAAATTGAAAGAAGCAGCATGAAAATTAAGGTCAGAAAGCTGAAAAAGAGAATAAATATTTTTGTGTGGTGGTGAACTCATGGTCTACCTTGCAGTGCACGACAGGTCTAAAGTACGTAAACGAAAGTGAGACATATGTTCTTATATGCACATATTCATTTAGAGCATTCTATTACAAACAATTTGATACCAAATTAAACGACGTAGCACGAAAATTGAGGTCAGAAACATGAAAAGAGTATAAACATTTGTGAAAGGTGGAGAGTTAGCGCGTACCGCTTGGCCTATCTTGAGGTGCACGGCAGGTCGCTCACCGGGGCAGCGAAAGTGTTCAAACCAAGATCTACAAGGAGAGTCCAAGCTAATACAATTTTGTTTTGTTTAATACGGTCACCACATACATGATTGTGACGGGAAACAGCAAATTGAAAAGAGGAAGTTTGTAAAAGATGCAACACTGAAAACTAATCCTGTTATTCTACTAAAGATATTTGAATTAATCCCAGGACACAACCTCTTTACTTGGAAGGTCTTTTAATTTTCATCCTCTCATGCAACCACTCACTCTTACCAGGACTTTGATGATTATGGCTGATTGTCCTCTAGCCAGGACCTGAGTATACTTAAATCGCCCCGCAAGAAGTGGCATTTCTTTCTCCGGAGAAAACTCTCCTTCTTCATCTGTGTATGGGGTGGTCTCTGTCAAACAAAGAAACAAATAATTAGACTTAAAATATAACAAAAATGAGGAAGAATGCTTTAAATAGTGCAGAAGAAACTAGATATCAACAGAGAAACATGATGGATGGACATCATCAACAGCTGTACCACATACACCCCATTTTCATGAGGTGGAGAGGTACTTGAAAAACACAATACAGGAAAAGATGGTTAAAAATACAGTATACTTGGAGTATACCGTATACCTGGAGTGGGTTCTGAAAGTTCTTTTACTCCCCAAACCCAGCCTGGGGCCAGGTTTGACTGGTGATAACTTGATTCATGATATGAACACCTGTTATATGAACACTTATCCGTCCAACCACGAACGAGTCTAACCAACCCTCAATGACCTGATACAGTGTCAGGAAAAAATCCTAACCTGTAAGATCCGACTCCAAAAGCAGGAGAGAGACCGACCAACTTCACCACAGGCTGAGGGAAACAACCTGAAAAGCTCATGAAACATGGGACCTGGAGCTGGCAAAATGAGCCAGATTACCCCCCCCCCCATGGTGGTGTCAAGGGTGTGAACCACAAAAAGGTTGGAATGAACCAAAAAAAGAACCATCCTTCTAGGATGCATAGTTGCAATGTTGAGCTGAGGAGGAACTCGCCTGGGCACCTGACAGCTAAGTGGCCAGTGCTTCAGATTCGTAGTCCTGAGGTTCCAGGTTCGATCCCCGGTGGAGGCGGAGACAAATGGGCAAAATGTTTCTTTCACCCTGATGCCCCTGTTACCTAGCAGTAAATAGGTACCTGGGAATTAGACAGCTGCTACGGGCTGCTTCCCGGGAAGTGAGTAACAAAAAGGAGGCCTGGTCGAGGACCGGGCCGCAGGGACGCTAAGCCCCAAAATCATCTCAAGATAACCTCAGAAGATAACTTATGTCAGAAAGTGCAAGGGCCCGAGAATCAGACTCACATGAGGACCTACCTCGACCAACAAGAAGCGAGGTCACCACCTTACCAGGTTGCCTCCAAGTCAGGGTAAGACTGCAAGAAAGCAGCAAATGATTAATGGGGTAGAAAGGGAAGGATGCTGCAGACAAAACCTGAGCAATGACAACCTCAGAGAAAGAGATGTGAAAAAGAGGTGGATGAAAGGGCAAGCGACCAACCCAAATGTATCACAACCTCTAGACATGTGGATGCAGGCCACCACCACCTCCCAAAGGAGAGGGCATGCATTTTGAGCAAGGCTGCCAAGGCCAGAACAGCAGGCCTCAAGGCCTCCACACCTGGAGCAAAACCCAGTGATGCCATGTTCTCATGGTAATGGCTCATAGATCATGTCCATGAGTATCTAAACATGCAAGACCACCATAAAGTGCAAACACACCCTGTATTCTCCTCAGTAAGGGCACCAGACAACACAGACAGCTGCACATGGAGCTGCCACTTCCCTAAATATTATGGGAGCACTGGAGCAAACAGACAGTTCTCGAGATAAGCAAAAGAAGTGTCGCCCAGAAACACCTGAAAGGCAGAATTCACCTTCTGCTAATCAAGTGTGCAGGTTTGGCAAAACCCGCTTCCAAGCCCCTAAGGAAAAGAGATTATCATCCCGCTAGGAAGAACCCAGAGCTTCCAATTCCAGCCAATAAGCTGAGACAAGACTCTTACTCAAAAGATGCCAGTTCATCAGGGAAAGGAGGTCCAAATTCTGCAGGAGGTACTGAAACAAGTCTATGTGAAGCACCCAAGGCACAACGCAATAAGATGGAAACATCTATAAATATGATGATTTTGAGGCATTTTATGCGAAATGTTCCTCCAGTTATCTCTAATGCATTACTGACTTTCTGGATGCTTTCCCAGTGGGGGTGGCAAACTGTCACTCATTCCCTGTGTCTCTGTGAGGTAAGGGAAGGCAGAGGGGGGGGGGGGTGAAACAGGTTCTGGCTCTGGTTCTCGGTAGGCCAAACATCTTCCAAAACTGATGTAACTTTTTAGTATGGAGCTATCTCGTCAAGATAACTTCAGGAAGTCACCAGGTGGCTTCCCATTTAAAGTGCAGTAATAAGTACTAACTTGGTTACAAAATGCAAGTTCATTACAGTACATGTTTATACCTTAATTAATCTGTCCAATAGAAAACTTATTTTATATACAGTATTAAAATTTTGAAATAAGATATTGTGTCAATGTATATACTGATCCAGTAACTATAAAACTACCCACGACGACTACTTGAGGTTATCTTGAGATGATTTCGGGGCTTTTTTTTAGTGTCCCCGCGGCCCGGTCCTCAACCAGGCCTCCACCCCCAGGAAGCAGCCTGTGACAGCTGACTAACACCCAGGTACCTATTTACTGCTAGGTAACAGGGGCATAGGGTGAAAGAAACTCTGCCCATTGTTTCTCGCCGGCGCCTGGGATCGAACCCAGGACCACAGGATCACAAGTCCCACGTGCTGTCCGCTCGGCCGACCGACTCCCTACCACCCTACCCCTACTCCCTACTACTACCAGGTGTCAGCAATTACAAGTTAAAAAGAAAAGAAAAAGACGTGTGAACATTTTTTGTATAAATTCATTGAATAATTAGTTTGTATTAGTCCTTTAAATTGGATTCTCATCATCAGATATTCATATTGTGTTTTTTATATTTCTTAGGTAAATAATTAACTGTAAACTTATCTAAACTAACTCAACTATAAATGCACTAAAACAGACATTTATGAATAAAATACAGTATTTGAATTTGAACGAGGCCCAGTCCACCCAAGCACGCAGGGAAGATAGGACCCAAGGGCAGGTATAGGGCTGAACCGGGATTTCACACACGAAAGACTATTTCCACCACTTGCGGGCTATTCATGCCAGTGCCACCTCTTGGGTAGCATAATCTTCATCAATCAATCAGTTTCCATCAACTCGGCATCCTGTTTATGATCATGGCTTTCTTGGTTACTCTATTAGCCAACTCCCAATGGTGGGAAAGCTATGGAACCCAAGAAAACACAGGTATTTACCCTAGGAAATGGCAAGAAGCAGAGAGACTCCAAGAGTGCAGCAAACAAGAGGCATCACACAGATGACACCCGAGATAAAACAACACACAACATGGCAGGTCAAAAAAGAAAAAAAAAAGAAAAAAATTGCAAAGCCCCAGTACCAGATCTTGAAGGAAGACATTGCAGTGAGGAGGAGGAGGAGCAAGGTTGGCATATTTCTGCAGGTCGGGGGCATAGAGCTTAACACGTGACTCTCAGATCTTCAGCACCAGCCACAGCAACTGGTAAAGACGAGCCTTAGAACAGGGGGGGTGTCAAGATTTCCATGATTAATCTTCGCAAAGACGATTTTATTTTCTTCCTTGACTCAAAATGAGGCTAAACAAGAAGCAATTTTTTTAGTACAGTATATGAATTTTTTTTTTTTACAGCTGTACGCTTAAACATAATGTTAATATTATTTTTAAATGGAGAAAATAATACATCCTCTGAAATAAATTTGTTAACATAAAACGTGATACAAGTATAACACAATTCCAGTTCATGAGCAACATTTAATGATCTGGCAAAACTTTCCATATACTGTACTATAACTTTCAGGAAGACGAATATTTTGAGCAGATGGCCACAGACAAGAACGTACTGCATAGAAAGGATGGGAATATTTATTATTTGCAGGCACAGTATATGTATTATCCTGCACTGGCCTTAAGCCTTCTGCTGCCCCACCAGTGTGGTCTATAATGACGACCAGGTGGGGTGTGGTCCCGAAGACCAGGTGGGGCGTGGTCCCGACGACCAGGTGGGGGCGTGGTCCCGACGACCAGGTGGGGGCGTGGTCCCGACGACCAGGTGGGGGCGTGGTCCCGACGACCAGGTGGGGGATGGTCCTGACGACCAGGTGGGGGATGGTCCTGATGACCAGGTGGGCACGGTCTTGACGACCACGTCTGATATAGTCCTAAAGACCAAGCCTGTCATGTATCTCAGAAAAAGATATGAATTTTTCCTCCGGTCCTCTTGTTCGAGGAAGGGGTTAACTCACAAACATGAACAAGTGGAACAAAAAATATATACAGTATAGGATTAAATATGAAAAGGAATGCAAGACCAAAAATACAGAGGGCAATATAAACCACCAAATGGCAGTACTGTAGTATACATGTTTGCTAATAAACCTTCAAACAAAGAGATGGCAGCCATCTTACACCTCCCATGGCAGGTGTTGCAAGGACAACTTAATCAAACCAGTCTGCAACCTGGGTTTTATATTTCATGTGTATTTTCATATATAACATCCTATATTTAGAATCTTCAAAAATAGTTCTCACCTTCTTCTTCTTCTTCATTATCTAAGTCATCCTCTTCACTTCTGGAAACATTTTCCTTACCTTCTTCTTCCTCCTCTTCAGCTTCCTTTATAGGAGCCCCTCCTCCCTCATCATCTTTCTTTTCATTTTGGCTACTTTCTTCCTTTTTATCTTCTGCATTCTCTCCTTCACCACTATCATCTTTCTTAGAATTATCTACTAAACTATTGTCTTCTTCTTTTGCACTTTCTTCTGGTGTTACTTTCTCAGTTTCTTCATTTTCTGCATTTTCTGCACATTCTTCATCTTCTGCATGTCCGTTCTTAGTTTCTGCGGCAGCGGCTTCCTCTTCGTCTACTTTGGAATCTTCTTTATATTTTTCACTATCGTGGTATGGTATTATTACCTCATCTATACCTTCTTTCTTAGTTTGCTTTACTTCCTCATAAAGATTACTTAAACCTCCAGTTATGTGAGCAAGCATGTGATGTCTTGGAGGTCTTATTAGTGGTAAGTCATCTGTCGACAGTCTGAAATAATACAAAGAATGGTTACTTATAACCGACTTGTGACACATCGGATAAACATCTCTAACTTAATAGAGCACAAGAGCTTATTGAAGGTATAGACTATGTGCTACACTGTACAATTACTGTAGTATCAGTAGACCCCTGATGTCGTAAGGTGCAATTTAATGCAATCCACATTGCAAGCAGGGTAGAAACTAGAACATTATTATGTCTAATGCAAAAATTGTGCACGTTTGTGCCGAGGCAAATCACCAGTAGTTCTGTATTATACAAAGAATTAAAGTGCATCAAACTTAAAATGAAAACCAATCATGCAATTTTGCTTTGATTACGCTTGATAGCATCCATGCAGCTCGAACCCTTTAAGTAGCGTGCACACATACAAAATTCACCAAATATTCAATGAGAGCAATATTAATCCTTAAACTGCTCAGCAAAAGGGGCAGGGAAGCGAAAAATATTTGAATTACATAAAAATTACTTAAAAATGTTAAGTAAATATCCAACTTATTGGCTTCAGTGTCGTGAAGCTTTCATCAAAATATTTTCAGAAATTGATTTTAGACAAATTTTTTAAAAAACATTTTATTGATAAAGAAAACAGTTCCTATTACACACACAGATCACAATAGCGTGATGCATCAAATGAACAAATCCACAAGGGCCGTGACGAGGATTCGAACCTACATCCGAGAGCATCCCAGACGCTGCCTTAATTGACTGAGCTACGACATAGTAAAAGAATTGAAACCAGAAGTTCTACTGAACTTACTTGGATCCTGCAGCCTCTCTGAAACACAAGCCAGGGTTTTACACAATTCCCCCAAGGTAGAGGAGGTAGAACGGCCTATTGACATAGCTCGAGTGCATGGGGGGAATTGTGTAAAATCCTGGTTTGTGTCTCGGAGAGGCTGCAGGATGCAAGTAAGTTCAATAGAACTTCTGGTTTTAATTCTTTTACCATGTCGTAGCTCAGTCGATTAAGGCAGCGTCTGGGATGCTCTCGGACGTGGGTTCAAATCCTCGTCACAGCCCTTGTGGATTTGTTCAACAGCTCCTATTAACTGGAACTGATGGATAATGCAGTAATAAAGAGATGCAAGCACCTGTCCAATGCACAAAGAAGAATAGTAGTAAGAAGTATCCACAAAGTGGATATGCAGCTGGTGCCTTTATAGCATTGCTGAGTAATACATAACAACACAAATAATATCGAGTAAGTATGTTATTATACTCTATTTTGTTATATATCATATAAATACATTGCCCAATGTTAATATCTGTTAATTTCATCAATGTCCAATTTTTTTTTGGGGGGGAGGGAGGGGGAGGAATATTTTTTTAGATATACCTGTATGTACCTGTATATCAAATTTCTTTTTGCTGGTTAAATATTTAATGAGTCTAATAACGTAAAGTTATTTGATTCCTAAAATGTTTAGAGATCTATTGGCCTAATATGCATAAAGTGTATTTTTTTAATCTCATTATTTCTATAGGTACTGCAACTATAATATAATTAAAGTGGAGGTATCCATTGCAAGCTTCACAGTATTATCAGTGTTTAATCCAAGGTTATAATGCTAATTAAAAGTGAAGTGTAAAGTAGTGTGAAGAATATGTATTGAAATGTTCAGTACTGTACTTAAGGAAGTGTTCTCATCTTCTAAGTGGTTCAATGTCACAAAAGTTGTCAAGTGCCTTAGCACTTCTATAGTTTTTCTTTAAAGTTATTCCCAATTTAATATTATCAAGGTACTGTACAGTAATATTTTCCCAGGGAGTTTTCTTTAAAATTTACAATGCTGCAGTGTATAATAGTCCTAGATTACTATGTTTAGTGTTCAGTTTACGTTACATCAAGACTAAACCACACACCATAAAATGAGGAGACAACAATGTTAAGGTCCATCCTGGACCATTATCAAGTCGATTGTTGTTGAAATTTCGTCGTCTCCTCATTTTCTAGTGAGTAGTTTAGTCTTTATATGTTAAGGCACGTTATTGTGACTCATCGTCTGCTTATATCAAGAACTTACAATTAAATGCCCAGTTTCCTTCTACCCCCCCCCCCTCCCCCTCTCCCTTTACAGCCAGTTACTTTCCGAGAAAATTGCATTTTAAGCTCACTAAAATAACCAGACCTATAGGTTGCCAGTTTCCTTTTTCAGTGTTCATTTTATCTAATAAAGTACTAATAGAGCACTTATATTTTTCAAAGAACATATGTAAACCTAATAAGTGATCATAGTACCAACCACAACGTTCTCCACTAACTTTTTATATGGAACCAATGAACAATATTTGATTAATTTATGCATCATTAATGCATTAATACACAAAATAGCATTGCATATCACAAAGCATTGTACACACTGTGTACAATGCTGAGTTGATTGACAGTTGAAGGCAGGACCAAAGAGCCAGAGCTCAACCCCTGCAAACACAACTAGGTGAATACTGTTTTAGCCTTATATAAATGCTTTTGTGTCAAATACATATATAACATTAACTCAGATAATGTTATCACACATCATTCTGTATCCAAATATCACAATGATCACACAGGATATGTATCCAAATATCACAGCAGTGAACCTAATAAAAACAATCATCTCACCAATTAGAGTGTAGGGGATGGGAACTATAGGGGTAAGTGCCAAGCCCTTACGACCATATACCACTTGGAAGGGGTCAGGATAAGGATTAAGGTTGGGACAAGGGTACAGGAATGGTGCCCAACCACTTGGACGGTCGGGGATTGAACGTCAACCTGTATGAAGCGAGACCGTCGCTCTACCGTCCAGTCTAAGTGGTAGATTATACATTAAATAAATTAAGCTTTTATAATGAATTAAGCTTTTTATAATAAATTAAGCTTTTAAGATATATAATGTACTATTGGCCTATTAACATAAACTTCAATTGGATCGATTATGTGCTTTTTATTAAACAAAATTGTGCTTATATGAAGTAAGGCTGAAATGCCAGTCTCAAAACAAACAAATTGTGACATTCAATAGCAAATATTTAAAATACATGGCCACAGAATTGCCTACTTGTATTTGATAGTATTGTAGGAATAGGTTTCAATATATACTGTAATTCACAGTACAGTACAGTATACCTGGCATATACATATCTAGATAAGACTTAATACCCTTAAGATTGCAGATATATTGGCTACAGACCAACTGAGACATAAGACAAAGGGGTACGGCACTATTGGATACAGGTCCACAGGTTGCTGCAAAATCTATATACTGTACATGGTACTGTTTGACACGCAATGCATTTGGCTGCATTTCGCAAACACTGCAAAACAGTGATTACTAACTGTGTAATACAACTGGTGACAATGTGCCTACTGTTTCAGTGTACATTTTTTTAATTCTTCAAGTGCAGTTATCCTCAAACATTGATCCACAGGAAAATGTGGTTATCATCATATGTTGATTTTAGTTATTATGCTATTGTTTTAATTGCTTACTAAGCGATGAGGTTAATGTGTACCAGTAGCCTGTGATTATTGTCAAATCACAATTAGTCCTTTCCTATCAGTGTTTGAATCTATTTCTAGACAAAATAGCAGCAATGGACTGTGTTACACATCACATCCCTTGAGCTATAACAGGAACAGATTTGTCTGCAATATTGGTGTACATATTACATTGTAGGCCTATACACAGTACTCAAACACTGCCTTTGTCAGCAGTGTGTTCTTAAATTGAGCTACACTGTATAAGGTACAGCAAAGTGAAACAACAAACATCGCGGCACTAAATTGCTTCACCTCGAGATCATGTACCCAATGACCCGGCTTCCTCTACACATCCACATAACTGAGAGAAACAAGATTTTTTTTCAATTTTCGTTATTACCTATAATGGATGCAAATGCAACATTTTAGAGGAAGTTATTATTGCTATATTTTTTTTCTTTTAGTGACCCTTTTATGACAGTCACACACCTGGGGGTAAATGCTTATTTCCTAAATAACTTACTTGGAATCAGTGCAATACAGTATTTTAATTTAAGTGATAAGTGCCCTTGAATATTTTGATCTAGTTAAATATTAATTAAATTAAAACACAAGCCCACATTGCAGAAATAATGTTGATTTTAATAGGTAATAAGATTGTTTGATAAACAAAAGTTGCTTCTTTCGTTATTCTTATCATATTTAAGTTATACAAATGTTATTAATAAAAATGGATCAGAGGGTATAACAAGGGGGAATACCGACATGGAATGAAACATATCCACACAAAATAGAACATGAAATTATTAATTACTGGAAATGTGACAGACATGTAATTTCTTGGTCGTTTTAAATTAAGCTCATATATACTGTATAATATATACAGTATATATGAGCTATCTTGCATAGGCCAATAAGCCTTCTGTAGTTTCTTTAATATGTTGCCATCATTCAAATATTTCAGCAATACAGTATCTTAATACCAATATGTATATCCAGTACACAAGTATATACAAGGTACTTGAGTTAGTAAACAACAAAACTAGCATTGCAACACAACATTGCTAAGATTTTAACCTTACAGAATATATGAATAAACAATCTGTGTAACATTAAGTTTGAATTTCAAACTAGAGTGTATTGGGACCAGTGCAGAAGGCAACACGCAACAATTCCCTTACTATGATGACCACTACCTCATCTTTAGGTGTAAACTGACTACCTACGCTAACTACTTGATGAATTAATTAAAATATGAGCATTAATTAACCCCTGAATCAGAGCTACCCTGAGCTCGTTAGTGGGAAAGAAACTCCAGAGTCGGTCTAATATAACCCCAATTAGGCGCTCCCTGCAAGGTATTAGTTAATCATTCCTAGCTATTTAAGAAGGAAAACCTCTCAAGTTATTCATTATGAGTGGAGATGGTGTTAGTAAAGCGTGGAGAGGAAGTGAGAGGCGGCGAGGAGAGGCGTGAGGGGGAGTGAGGTAGTGAGGGAGCTGTGCCATGGCCGCTGTGGCTTGGCGCGCACAAATGATGCTACTGACGCCTCCCTGGCCACGGTCGCCGCCCCCGCCCTCACACTTACTTCACCCAGCGGTGGAACCCTCCGTGGCCCATACTGCCTCTCGAGTCCTGCCCTGTCGACATTTTGTGTGACGAATGAGATAAAAATAACAGCCAAACTCCCCTGCCGTGGGAAGCTTAGTGCTTCTATTGTTTACAAACCGACTACCGCGACAAAACACTGTCGACCGGCGCCTCTTCCCGCTGGATTTCACCTATTCCTCTTTTTTTAACAAAATATAATTCGCTTAATATACTTTGTATAGCGAGACGATCCTTAAAGCTATGCAAATTTAAGTTTTTTATTCCTTCCTCTCGGTAGTACTAGATTTAAATCTTGAGGAGTGGACAAAGATGCTCTCGCGGCATGTGGCTTTGGCATGTTGATGGGCAGGTTTTTTTGTATTATTATTTACAAGCTTAGGTATACACAGCAATGTGTTCCTACCTTATTCTATATGATATGATAGATTACACATTGTAGATAAAAAAAACTAGCTATAAGTTCATCTAATATTCCTATCTCACAGGATGGTTAGGCATAGATGGATGCTGGAGAGAAGGTACAAATCCATGGAGAATAAACGCACTATTTCAGCTGTCATTATCTCATACCACTGACATTTCTTCCTGTCATTCATAACATTAAAGACCTTGAAGGGATCATTGGTGCTCCCTAACATTATTGTACCTTCAACCAAAGAGAAAGCTACTTTTTTTATTAATCATTAATATATTATGTACTATATGTATTTTACAATTAATCCCAGGAATGTGCAGGTTCAAATTGTGAATGAATGAACTGGCATATTTCATTTCAAACGTCCACACATTATAGCATGAATTACAGTATCAGCCATCTTTTGACATGTTACAATTTGCAGACACAGGCAATACCTTTTTATTTATTTATCTATATTTACCTCAATTTACCTGAGGGCCACTACTCTCTAGTGGCCTCAACGAGGACAGGAAGCCGGCGGCTTCTCATAGGTTCCCCCATTTGTCCTGATGATTTTATCAAGCTGTATTTTGAAATTCACCAATGTTTTAGCATTTACGACTTCAGCGGGTAGGTGGTTCCATGGATTTATAACCCTCTGGATGAAAAAAGTATCTCCTGTTTTCTGTCCTACATTGTGGTTTATTAAGTATAAAACTTTTTGTCCTTGACTTTTTAAATAAATAATAAATAAATATGTTTATTCAGGTAAGGTATATACATACAAGTGATGTTACATTAATGGATTGATATATAGATAGAGCTAGTACATACAATGCCTAAAGCCACTATTACGCAATGCGTTTCGGGCAAAGTGAATCAGTATCCTCAGTATCAGTATCAAAGTGAATCAGTATCCTCAAAATGTTCGATGAGATGAGCCCTATCATGTCTGGTTTGCAGTGCTGTTAGTCCTGGACTTTCAACTGTTCCTGGTATGAGAGTCGACTTAATTCTGGAGGGATTTTTGGTTGCCAGGTGTTGAATTTTCTGCAAAGTAGATATGTCTTTCTGCAGATGAGGTCTCCATGCTTGGATACATTAATCAGAATAGGGACGCGCCGGATTTGAATACACCATTGAATCAGAGTTGAATACAGGGTTGAAGCACCATACAATTGAATACTTCCTTCATTTTCTTGAAGTCAATGTTGCAAAGACTAAACTAACCTAATAACCTTCCTAGGCCTAATTCACGATATCTGAGGCCTCATATAGTACATATGAGTACTATACTAGGCCGAGGAATATTTATGTTTTGTTTTCAGCTGAATTTTTTCCGGACTATAAAGTGAATAGTACAAAGTTCTACTGTCTAATTGCTTAATACGTCAATATTTATACTAAGGTGCACATAATTACAAAAAATACTATCTACTAGACGATGGGTTGGACAGAGCTTACTCAAGTCCTTAATGATCTTATTGTATATTTTTGTTTGTCCCATTAAACTTAAATTATACTATTATTCTCTATGTTATGTTATATTCCAGTCGCTTTTCTAAATTACTCCATTGTATTTCCACTCTGACATTAATGTACTGTTGCTGGAACTATACTGACTCCATAATGCAATAGTCTATGCCTGTCATCATTATCACCTTTGTATTGTATTTATTTGTTATTTTTCCTCCAATATTCTCAATTTTGTTACCTTTTGGTATTGATTTAACTTAATGAGGGAATTGTCTAACTGCCAGGGCTTAACTTTATCCTTGACTACCTAACCACGCGTGTAAGTGAATTTATGCCGGTTCTATACCATTGAGACGAACATACTATAGAACGAGGGCCTAACAAGAGCGAAATAAGGCTGCTTATTAATGATATGAGTTGTTTTGTTACTAACGCTTCAAAAAAAACAAATCCCAGTATCCTTAATAATAATAATAATAATAATAATAATTTTTATTTAGGCAAAGGTACATACATAAAGAGATTTTACAAAGTTTGTTGGCTTTATAGATAGAGCTAGTACATACAATGCATAAAGCCACTATTACGCAAAGCGTTTCGGGCAGGAAAAAACACTACTGACTAAAGCTTAAAACTAATGGGTAAAAAGAAAAATATGCGTTGAGTACAAATAAAAATAGGGGTAAAAGAGGGGGGAACATTGTTGAAAAAACAGCACAAATACAATTACAGATTATTACAGAAAATTACATTAAAACAGCGTTGATTTGAAAAACAAAAAAAAACAAAAAACATACATGGGTTGACAATAGAGGGGTAAGGTAGGTTACAGGGAATTTATTAGGTATAGCTTCGTTTTTAACTTAAACTGGTTGAGAGAGGTACTGTCTTTAACATGGTTGGGAAGGTCATTCCACATTCTGGGCCCCTTGATTTGTAGAGCATTTCTGGTTTGATTAAGTCGTACTTTAGGAATATCAAAACTGTATTTATTTCTGGTGTGGTGCTCATGGGTTCTGTTACAACCTTCTATGAAGCTTTTGAGATCAGGATTGGCATTACAGTTTAGCGTTTTATATATGTATAATACACATGAGAGAATGTGCAGTGACTTAATGTCTAACATATTCAGGGATTTGAGTAGGGGTACCGAGTGATGTCTGGGGCCAGAATTGGATATTGTCCTAATAGCAGCTTTGTGTTGAGTAATTAGACGCTAAACGAACTAGAGGGTTCAGCAGTTCCTGAACTGATTATGTGCCTCTGTAATCCTTTACACCACCACCCACGGGATGGGTATGGGGTGCATAATAAAGAAAGAAATTGAATTGAACTCTTTACTCCTATTCCAACATTCATGTATGGATTTTTTGGCTTAAAATTATGACACTGATCTTTTTCACATTCCGATTTTTTATCGTGTATATTTTTTATATATATAAATGATAATATTATTATATTTTTTGTTATTATTACCTAACGCAGTTACTGTAATAAAATGTATGTATCATTAGCTCTGTAGCCCCTCATATAGTTTAAAGTCCACATAAAATATGTCTTTCTCTATAATCGAATTTCTTAGCGTTCAAGCACATTTAGGTAAAAAATAAAAATATTTTATACATATATATATAAATATAATTAAATTTATCCAAACATAATATACACATAATCTAATATTATTCATTATAACCAACACACATACATGCGAAAATAAAATTGTCGATTATCGAAGCTTTAATTTATATTGTGACCAACAAGTCGTTTTATAAATTATAAAATGGTTTAAATAACTGGGGCCCAGGAGCTAGAATTTAAATACTGTGAGCCAGAGCCATAGATGAGTAGATCAGGGAGGAGGAGGCTGGAGTAAGGGTGGGAGGCGAGCGGGGTGTGGCACCACTGGCCACTAGTAAACACGCCAGCATGGTGGAGGTGGTCGACCAGGTTGTTCCAAACACCAAGAGAAAACGCTTCAATAAAAACAAGAAGAAAGCATGGAGAAAACGAACAAATATAACCGATGTGGAGGACAAATTAGAGGAAGAGAGGAGAGAGGAGAGATACGGGTATGGATACATAAAACTTGACTTAAAGTTGGTGACATTAAGGTCCACAAGTCTCCTTGCTCCCACTAGTGGGTGACGTTTATTAAATAATTTAATAATTACTGGGTTTTGAAACAAGTATATAAATTACTTGTTTATTTATATACTTGTATCGAGGTCCCCGCCCGTCCCCCTCCAAGGTCAAACTACTGACTCTTCCTTAGGATGCAACCCCCTCAACAATTGCCTAACTCCTGGGTAGCAATTTATTAGGTGAACAGATGCAGTAGGTGAAAGGAAACACACCCAATCATTTCTTTGTGATAATCCAACCCAGGATTCCTGATTTTGAGTTGAACTAAGCAAACTGCACCACAATTTGCAAAGGATGTAAGCAATCTGCAGCAGGCAGACCTGGAAACTTAAATAAAATATGATCGTAGTTGTTTTCTAGGTATTGTTGCCCTGTTATTTCAACAGACTGATCAAATTAAAGATTTGACCAAAACAATAGTGTGGAGGCTGTTTCTACCTTTGCATTGACCTATTTCAGTACTAGAAATGCTAATTTCATTCACCAGGGCTCTAGGAGACTTGAACCCTGGACCCCACACATGTGAGGCAGACACACTATCCACTCAGCCATGAGTAGTCTTAATAAGTTGTCAACTTCCCCTGACTACTACTGAAGCTCAGAGGAATTAGTGATCCACGTCCACATCATATAAATTGTCATTTACACTTCTGTGGTAATATTAGTAGTCAGGGTCATCATGACAATAGATCCTACTATTTTTAAACCTTAGCTGCAATACCTATTGATTTTTTCAACTTTATCCTCACATAGAGTTGAAAAGCAGCTGAAAAGATGCATCAAACACCTCTATTACTGGGCCATCTTAACTCATTTAAAATGAGATGGAGATGAGAGGAGAGGAGAGAGGTATCATGTAATATGTACATGGAAGATAATCATTTGGCTCTCAAATATGCACAATAAAAGTAGCTTACTGGAGTGAAAGGTAGGAAATAGTGCCATTGAAGATTAGTGGTACCTTAGGTACACTCAGAGAACACCAGACATAAGAGGCCCATTGTTCTTCAGCCTTATTCCACTAGTACAGTACCGTATGAGAAATATTGCTGGAACAAAAGTAGACATTTTCAAGAGGCAATTGGACTAATATAAATAGCGCTTACAGTAACTACGAAAGACCTATATTTGCTAAAGGGCAAAGGGAAAAGATGCAAAGGGACCAGGGTTATCGAGATGATTCTGGGGCTTAGTGTCTCTGCAGCCCAGTCTTTGACCAGGCCTCTTTTTTTTTTTTTGTTGCACATCCCCAGGAGCACCCTGTAGCAGCTGTCTAACTCCCAGTTCTGATATTGATAGTCTTTCTATTTCTCATATTTAAAGGTATACAATGGCGTGTTGGTAGCTGAATTCATTATTTTTGTATTTGGCAGAGGTCCCCTGGAAGAAAAATCGAGCAATGAGTTACTGTTCCTGGATGTTGGAGATGAAGCTGCTGACCGGGAAGTTCAAGATGAAATGGGAATTAAAGATGAAGGTAGGCTTATTTTCTCTAATGCATTTTATTTTCTCATTATGTACTCATATGCAGTGTACTGTACTGTATGTTCAATTTAAGGATTGATGTCGGGCTGTGCTCTGCTTGTTATTTATAATTGTTATTACCGATTGTGGTAAATTGTTGGTAGCATCGAGTCATTTGTGGGAAATATAGCCAATAGCTGCAGTACATTACTTTTACCCAATGGTGATCACAGTATGCCAGTAACTATTTATTGTGGAACATCATTATATCAGCGATGGCAACAAACACGCTTAAGAATTAGATAAGAAAATTTAATTGTGTTTTACATGCCATACTGTGGGTCATCTTGGTCATACGGTGGGCAGCAGATTATTGTTGTAATGAATGCGGTGTCTGCTCCACCAAGCTGATATTCCACAGTAAATTTGAACTGAATTTAGATTTTGGGAATGGAAAAGTAGATGGGCCTGATTTGAATAAAAGATCATATGGCTAGTTTTTATTTTGATTTGTTCAGTTAGGACCTAATATTGGCCCAAATCTTCTTAAATATGATAAAGAAAATCTTGATCTAAATAAAGAGTTTTGGCTGTGGGAAAGTCAACGGGCATGTTTTGGAAATAATCACATTGGCGATAAGGTCATTTGGTGGCTCAGACGAGGTGCCAGAATAACTTTTATTATTGTGAAAATAGTTGAGACCATGTTTCTAAATATTAAATGGAATAAAAATCTCATGATATTTTATAGAAAACATGAAGCAGAGGAAAAGGTTTGAAAGGCAATTAGGCTTGGTTAACTTAAGCTGTGTAATGGTCATGATGAAACCTTTGAAAAATATGTTTTTTTTTTACTGTTTGCATGGGAAATACTTGGGATGATGATGTATATTTTGCATGATCAGGTTCCACTGGTAGGTAGATTCATTGTGTAATAGGTTAAAATTAAGAGTTTGCTCTTTAAATTTTGCTCATAAAGCATAGAAAATTAATAGTATCACTTTTAATAATGTACGAATGAGTTATTACTGATTTTCCAAAATGGATGCAATGTGCACTGTACTGGTGTTAAAACTGGCTGTTGCCACAGCGAACCCCAATAGTGTTAGTCGCTACACTTGTTACACAGAGTGGTGATTGCGGTACAGTATTTTCAGTAGCGGCCATCTATTGTTTATAACTGAGCAGTAAGCAGGGCATTTCAGGAACCAAGTAATAGTCTCAAAACTTATTGCTATTTCCAGTATTGTAGTTCAATAAATCAGTTGTTATATCAAGCATATACTGAATTCACTGAATTTGGTTTTTTGTTTAGTTATAACATTTTTTTGGCAAGTAATATTAAATTTGTGCATTATTATATAGTTTTAATTTAATGTTAACACTTTTTAATGTAGTCTATAATAAATGTTCAGATGTCATCTTGGAATACACTCTGGATAAAGTACCCGGAGATTCGGGGGGTTCTGGAAAAAAGATTGTCGAGTTGAAGCCAAGTACTGGGAAACGTCGAATAAAGTCTTTGAAGTCCCACCAATTCCTTAATGGCTTACAAGGAGCCAGGGCACCCCGCAAGCCAAGGTATGTATGACAGTAGTTGTAAAACTTGAAAATTTAGTGTTGGAAAGTAATCAAGTTGTATTGATTGCATCAGAATTCAATGTTGCACACACTAGTAAATTATAATGCAATGTTGGCTTCATTTTGTTAGAAAATTTTATTATTAAATATTTCAGAATAATATGTTAATATATACTGTACTTTATTTGTATTTAAATGAAACGATTTTTATTTAGTTTATATATATATAGATACAGTATTAAAGTTGGGTAAATATTTTAGCTAAACACTAATTGACATAAGTTTAATTTCAGAGCAAAACGGGAAGTATTAGCTATAGCAATGAAGAAAAAGCAGCAGTTAGAAGCAAAAGGTCCAACAGTAGCTAAGAAGTTTAAACAGGCCGTGAAACAAATTGAAGCGGCTAAAGAGGAGGCCTCTAACAGACCCAAGTCTATAATAAAAAATAAGTTCACCTTGGATTTGTGGTCAGAAGGAGGTACGATGGTTTAGAATGTAAATTCTTGTTTATCTATTTGCAGTTTGTTTTTGTCTTTGATGTCTTATTCCATCTAGGAACTTTCCCTTCTTTATTGGGGAATGCAGTGAAAAATCTATTTTGTTGCAATATATGTAGGAATTTTATTTATACTGTATTTTTTATATAGAAATTGATTTTTTGTGTAAATTACAGCAGTTTTTGTAATTTTTGGTATGCAAAGTGTGAAGATCTGTAGTTACAGTACAGTACTGTACAAGATCAGCAGTTATAGTACTGTACAAAAAGATCAGCAGTTACACTATAGTACTGTACAAGATGATCAGCAGTTACACTACAGTACTGTACAAGAAGATCAGCAGTTACACTACAGTACTGTACAAGAAGATCAGCAGTTACACTACAGTACTGTACAAGAAGATCAGCAGTTACACTACAGTACTGTACAAGAAGATCAGCAGTTACACTACAGTACTATACAAGAAGATCAGCAGTTACACTACAGTACTGTACAAGAAGATCAGCAGTTACACTACAGTACTGTACAAGAAGATCTGCAGTTACAGTACTGTACAAGAAGATCAGCAGTTACACTACAGTACTGTACAAGAAGATCTGCAGTTACAGTACTGTACAAGAAGATCAGCAGTTACAGTACTGTACAAGAAGATCTGCAGTTACTAAGTGCCTAACAACTGGGTACCTATTTATTGCTTAGTGTATAGATGCTTCAGGTGAAGGAAAATGTACTGAACCACTTGTCTTACTGCAGAAATTTAATGAGGTCTCCTCAGTTGTAAACCAATGAAGCAAACCACTGCGTTTCAGAAACCTGACAGATTTGTCTGATGGATGTAAACTGCCATTTATAAAACACTTGCCATCCTTGTGTGCAGAGTGGAATAAAATAAATTCTGATACAGGCTAAGCTGTAGATGCCAGTAGTTTTACTGATGCATCAAAAATATAAATGCAATAAGAGAAATTCTGGTAGAAACATGAACAGAACAACATAGAACACTAATGTAAAACTTCAGTGTGGTCTATGTTCAGTAAAGATAATACAGGAATCATTCGTTTAAAAAGTGGAATTTTAGTAAAGAAAGTGTAGGACACAACCTGATTGATGCTGTAATGTGTGTTTCTTGAGTTATCTTGAGATGATTTCAGGGTTCAATCCCTGAAATCATCTCAATCAATCGAGTTTCAATCAATCGAGTTCAATCCCCTTCACCGGGGATTGAACTCGGAACCTTAGGACTACGAATCCCAAGCGCTGTCAACTTAGCTGTCAGGCCCTGAACAGAATTTGAATTGACCAGAGTTTGGTGAACCACTGGCTGAAAAAAATTTGTATCACTTGACTAAATCTATATATGTAAATTCCTGTAACACTATCAATATTTAGTAATGGTAATTTCTTCTCGCAGGCATAATAACATAGGATAAAAACCTGTGTGATTAGACGCTGAGATGTATGTCTCATCCTAATCACACATTCAGACTTTGATAAAGCACTCAGGAGAGTGCAAAAGACTTGGTGTAAATTCCTTACATAAATTTCACATATACACAAGTGTGGTTTTTATACTACTAATATTCTTTTAAAGAGTTCTTGTTTTTTGTGTTAATATGCATGATTTGTGTTTCAGGTGATGATGTTACCCAAGAATGCAAGAAGAAAGGTCTTGAAGAGTCTTTCATTAAGGATATATCTTTCTACTACAGAGCACAGAGAAAACTGCGACCAGTTAAGGTCCCCAAGAATAGATATGTTAAACCGTCTAAACTTAAACCTGTGTTGCTTCCAGAAGCAGGTATAGTATATTCAAATTATTGTTAGTGCTTATGGTTAGTTATACTTTATAGTTCAGTCAATGCACATGTATGTTTTACTTGAACAGAACTCAAGTTCAACAGAATTCCAAATGCAACAGAAGGATTAGAGTTTGGTATAACTTGATTAACCAGTTTAGGTGTTCAGATGAATAACGGGAAATTTTGATATGATGATTCACAAGGTAATGTGGCTATCATCATACATTGATTTTAGATACTGTGAACTTGTAATGTATGAATCATCATACATTAGATTTTAGATTTAGATTTTAGGTATTGTTTTTTACTAATGATGCTAATATCGGTATAATAGCTCTATATGGGTGTAGTGGAGCTTGCCCCAGACTACTGAAAAAGTCCTGCTATCGTTTCATGGTTGCTTGCTATGCAAGTGCAGTTGTCATCACAGATGTCACTATACCAGTGCGGTAATTGTCATGGAAAAAAATTGCATTATAATTTCGTGGTATGTTATCTTCATGTTTAACAAATTTGTTATCTTTTTATTCTAGCATTGTTGAGGCAGTTGATAGTGGTAAGGATTGCGATGTTGTATACCTTGACTTTAGCAAAGCTTTTGATACAGTGCCACATGAAAGACTGATTAAAAAAATAGAGTCTCATGGTATTGGGGGTGCTATATTAAGCTGGATTAGGGCATGGCTATACCAAAGGAAACAGAGAGTTAGTATAAATGGAATCAAGTCAGAGTGGGAAAATGTTGTAAGTGGAGTGCCTCAAGGCTCTGTCCTGGGACCTCTGTTGTTATAATATATATAAATGATTTAGATTCAGGTTTGAGTAGCAACATTTGCAAATTTGCCGATGATACGAAAATCGGTAGGGAAATTAATTCGGAGGAGGACTCACTATCACTTCAAGTTGATCTAGATAGGGTTTTGAAATGGTCAAAGGATTGGCAGATGCAGTTTAATGCTGATAAATGTAAAGTTCTGAGGTTAGGTAATGATGATAGAGTTACAAGATACGAGCTAGATGGTGTTGTGATTGCGAAGTCGGATTGCGAAAGGGATCTGGGAGTTATGATTAGTAAGAATTTAAAACAAAAGGATCAATGCATAAATGTTCGTAATAAGGCAAATCGGACACTTGGATTTATTAATCGCAGCGTTAGTAACAAGACACCTCGTGTGGTTCTCAAGCTATATCTTGCTCTAGTTAGGCCCCATTTAGATTATGCAGTTCAGTTTTGGTCGCCATATTATAGAATGGATATAAATTCACTTGAACGTGTCCAGCGTAGGATGACTAAGTTAATTCCCCAAATTAGAAATCTTTCATATGAAGAAAGATTAACAAAGCTTAAGTTGCATTCACTGGAAAGGCGAAGAGTTAGGGGTGACATGATAGAGGTTTACAAGTGGATGAATGGACATAACCGGGGGGATATTAATAGGGTATTAAAAGTATCAACACAGGACAGAACACGAAACAATGGATATAAATTGGATAAGTTTAGATTTAGGAAAGACTTGGGTAAATACTGGTTCAGTAACAGGGTTGTTGATTTGTGGAACCAATTGCCGCGTAACATTGTGGAGGTGGGGTCCCTCGATTGTTTCAAGCACGGGTTGGACAAGTATATGAGTGGGATTGGGTGGTTATAGAATAGGAGCTGCCTCGTATGGGCCAATAGGCCTTCTGCAGTTACCTTTGTTCTTATGTTCTTATGTATAGTGATTATGTCCATATGGTTTACACAGCTCTATGTGCTTGTAATGAGTGTACCAAATCAACCACTCGTCGTTTAAATATAATATTAAAGGACCTGTAGAAGTCCTGTTGTCCCATATGAGGTTTTCATCATTCATTGATACAGTGATTCATCAAAGGTACCTAGTTAGAAAGGTACCTAATAACTAAGGTATCTAGTTAGAAAGGTATCTAATAACTATGGTACCTAATAACTAAGGTATCTAGTTAGAAAGGTATCTAATAACTAAGGTACCTAGTTAGAAAGGTACATAATATCTAAGGAACCTAGTTAGAAAGTTGAAAGATCAGTACTTCAGAGAAGCTACTGAATAACCCCTTTTAAAAGAAACTTGTTTTTTTTTTTAGTCAGTGCTGTATTTTTTTATTTAAAAAGTTCATTCTTTGTTGAATTCTGGTAGCAAAATACTTTTTAATATACACAAATAAATTTTAGCATTTGCTTTAATAAATATAATGAGAGAAGTATTAACAAATGCACTTTGTTCACAGGAACTTCATACAACCCTTCCTACATTGACCATCAAAAGCTATTACAGAAAGCAGTTTCTCAGGAAGCGACGCAGCTAAGGAAAATTGAGCGTATAGAACGTGCAACTACCAGAATGTTCCCCACAGTGGACAAGGCTCCTACAGCAGAAACATGGCTTGAAGAAATGTCGCAAGGTCTTCCGAAGGCTGGAGGCGAAGAGGAAGAGGAGGAGGTTGAGATGGTGGTAAGACGCATTGGCATTAATATCTAATAAACAATGCTTGTGTTTCAGTTCACATCAGCTGTTATATCCGGGTTTTTCTTGCCTAGTAGCAGGCTCACATTACTCCTGCCTCCAGGGCAATCTTCCCAGTAGGGTTCGGGTTTGTTCACAATTGAGTAAGCTGGCCAAGGCTATCTTGTGATTGGGACCAATGCCATACCAATGATGGAACAGTACTCTTCAAAGTACTGATGCTATTCCATTCACATGGGCTGTAGGAATCTCGAACCATAGACTCCGTGCGTGTGCGAGGCCGAAGCTCTATTTGACTGGTGCTATCTTACATGGAATGTTGTTCGGTTTCACTTCCTTTTTCAAGGCAGTTAAGATTGCGTAGCTTAAAAATGTAAAGAGATCCTTTATTGCCTGCATAGAATCTGTGAAGCACTTAAACTACTGGGACCATCTGAAAGCTCTCGTACTGGTACTGTATTTCTTGTAATGGAGACAACAAAGATCTCATTTTATGTCCATGGAAAATGGTGGAAGGTTAAATTCCAAACGTGCGCAATACAATTAAAGCGCTCGAGGGAGAGAGGTTGTAGGGCATATAAATTAAATATGATGAAAAGTCGGGGCGGCATAAGTACAATTAATTAAGAAAACAGCGTAAACATTAGAGGACAATGATTTTCCTTTCTCCTGCCAACATATGTAAAATGTCGATGGAACAACAGTGAAAGTTATAAAGAGGAAACTTCACAAGCTTCTACTGAATTTATCTGATCAGCCCTGATCCCAAGTTACAGCCCCAATCCTGTGCCAGGTAAGTCTACTACAGGCTCACTATAGCCTGTAGCCCATGCAACTTGGAACTTTTTGTTCTGAGTAGCTGAATCTAAAACGACAACAGCCTGGTAGTGGTGGCATTATGGCCCTACACACTAAGCCATCAAACAGCCTCACATACCAGACAGTTACCAGGAAAGTCTGGCACAACCCAAGCTGCAGGAGGGAGGGAATTATCAGGAAAAAACACCAAGCCATTACAACTGTATAGCACTTTGGATGGGACGGGGGGGGGGGAAGGAACGGTACCCAGCCACTTGGACTGTCGGGAATTGAACACCGACCTGCATGAAGCAAGATCGTCACTCTATCATCCAGCCCAAGTGGTTGGGCACCAAGCTGCAGGAGTAGAAAAATTCTTGAAATAAACAGTGGATAATTAACTGATTGTTGTGAATATTTTGGCTGTACAGTATTGTCATGCATGTAATTTCTATTGGAATTTTTATTTAATTATTTTGGAAAATATTAAGCATTTATTATACATTTTTACTAACTGCAGGTTGAAAAAGAAAAGTTGACTGTGACAAGCAAACCAAAGAACGAAAAGAAAACTAAGAAACAACGAAGGAAGGAGCAGAAACTAAAACTTGCTAAATTAAAAAGACTGCAACAAAAGGAACAACGTGTTAGAAGCAGCAATATTTTCAGGTAAAACTTTTTATGGATTATATGACTAAGTATATTTCGTATGTAACATTGTCATCATTACACATTTTCTCAGCATTATGAGGTATGAAAGTATTTGTCCTTAGATAAAAGGAGAGTAAAATAGGGAAGAGGGATTTTAAGATTTTCAAAGTTATATCCATCCATTCACAATACCTTAAACACTAAATAACATCACTAAGAAGCACCACCACTGCACTCCTGTAAAACTTCCAAAGCAGTACTGTACCATTCTGTAAGGGATCAAATGCTCTTTACGAGTTGTATGTTAAATGTCCACTCTTTCTTAACAGATTACTTCCAACTAGTCTTGTTCCATGACTAGCTTCTCTTGCTGTTATAATAACAGTAACATAATATAATAACAGTTCCATGACTGTTCCACTTCTCTTGCTTGGGTCATACCCACCAAACACAACGAAACTATGACGTTCGAACACGGTCTAACACCTAACAATTGTAACAAACCAATATAGCTAGTTGTAACAGTGTTCTAATACATCATAAAATGTTATAACAAGATTATAATCTTCACAATTATAATACAAAACAACTGTATTACAAGTTGTAACAAATGAATCTTGGGGACTGTTACGTTGTGTGTTTGTAGGGTACCCAGACCCTGCTTCATTCATTCATTGAATGAATTTCAGTGTTTCCATTGTTTGGGTTTTCCTTCTCTTCTACTGCCTTCAAATTTTAGGAATATTTTGTCTTTGCAACTCTTGTGTTCGTTGCACATGACCAGGCCGTCTGGGTACATGCTTTTTTTGGGGGTGTAATATTCAGTACCTTTAACTAATTATGATCTAACATTATCAGAAATTTCAGCTTACAGTTATCTATTTTGTAAATGATTAACGCAAGTTGAAATTTTGGAATAGTTATGAGGTCTTGTATATTTTTGATTCAACACGTTCCATAAGCAATTAATAAAGTGGATGACAACTATTTCCTCAGGTTTTGATTTTTAAATTGTCAGACATGCGTGCATACAGGAATAATATATAATTATTAAATATAAATAAATTCATGTGTTCTCAGTTTATTTTGTTGTTTCTAAATTAAAACTACACATACTGTTATTAAATTAACATTTTCCAACTAGATGAAATTTAAGGATAAATTTGTGTCATGTATTATATTTTCAAAGTTGGAAGCATAGTTGCACATTTGTAAGGTTCAGAAAGTCCAAATAACTGATGCTAGAATATGTTGGAAATGTGAAGAATCATTAATTATTTTGTGCTTCATTATTTATGTTCAAGCTTTTGTTTTAGTGTGTGTTATGTCTGGAATGTGTTGTAATGCAATTGCACATTATTCTCAGGGTGAAGACATACCAGAAGGAGATTGACCAGTCTGAAGATTTAACAAAGAAACGCATTCTTGGTCGCAGTGCCAGAAAAGAGCAGCTTAAATCAATGCCTCATCGTCTTGGTAGACTAAGGCAAGTTGATGCACTTTTTGTTCAAATATTTTCTTTAGAATCCCCAGCAGTCAGATGGTGCTGGCAGATTAAAAAATAATAATTTAAGTGGAACTGTTCACTATGTTGATAATGCCTCATTGTCTTGGCTTGACTTACATTGCTTAACTTTGAACCCAAAAGTATAGCTGCAAGTTGAATTGTGAAATTTATCAAAAATATAATGCACCAAATTTGTGTGATATCATTAGGGAAGAAACAAGATCATGTTAAAGCGATGCAGACAGCACTTATATATGAGCATAAGAGAAGTAAAAATGCTAACCTTTCATTACTACAAGTATTGTCTAACATGAGCTGTTTGATTTATTATGTCCATTATTTTGAGAATATTTTATTATATTGACTTGAAACTTATAATACTTAGTGCACAGTATAACTGTTTTATAATCATACAGCTGAGCTTCCTTTTGCTATTGGCATCATAGCTAAATAGCAAGAATTATTGAGTCAATATCCGTATCTTCATTACTCATTATATGACTTTGAACAGACAACAGCTGCACGAGATCATAAAGCCAAGCCTGCTCCTGATATTGGGAAGTGTAGCTCCTATGAAGTCATTTTGTAGTCATTGTGCTATAAAGCATATTGCAGTGCACTCCTGATCATACGTGAGAGTGTTAACCCTTAACTTGAAGCCATCATCAAACCTGCCGCCCACTAGTACTTGATAACATTGCATAGTAAGCAATTGAAAACAATAGCCCACCAGAGACTTAGTGGCCTGTGCCGAGATATCCCTGCAAACAAAAAAACACAAAACTATTGCATCCATATGGATGAATTAAAATGATACTTACATCATTTGTATTGAGACTGGTCAATAGTAACTGCAATCAACATATAAGTGTTGATTGCAGTTACATACAGATTCCTTGGTATCAGTGCAGGATGATAACTGTATTTTAAGGGTTAGAGTACAGTACTATATTAGTAATTTATTTGGAAACTACATTTTTTATTGGCATTTTCATAATTTTTGGGGATGGATGTGAGATTCCCATACAATATTTTGTATGGATGTTTCAGTGAAGGTACCTGCAATCCAATTTGCTCATGTTTCTACTGTAATTTCAGTTTCTTTATCTGAATGTTATATTTCATTGTGGGGTCCATAAAGAAAACAAAGGATACTATGTGTTTTGGTAGGTTTGAAGAGGAGGACATAGCAGTAACCCTTGGAGATGAGCTGCCTGACTGCCTGCGGCGGGCAGCTCCAGCTGTGGATCTCATAGAGGAGCGTTTTAAGAGCCTGCAGCGTAGAAACGTGATTGAACCCAGACTTCCTCACAAGTAAGTACAGTATTGTAAATTTAGTTTTTGTACTTGATGTCAGTTGCAGATACAAAGTAAGAAGTAGGATGCACTATTGAAAATCACATAATTGGATACTGTTCGAATAATAGGATTACAGTAGGTTATTTCATTAGGGTGAGATGACTGATGTGTTCATTAACTTGGAATTAATGGAATTAAAAAAATCTCTGAATCCATATACCTGTATTGCCCAAACATTTGGACACGTTGTAGTTAGTGGTGATGGTAATATGTAAACGTGAGAGATTTGCTATAGTTTGTCCTAAAATATGTAAAATTTACATAATATTATATTCAGTCTCTTTAAAAGTTAACCTTTAAATGCAAGTAACATTGATGTAATTTATTATTGAAGAAGAAAATAACAGATGTAATTGAAACAGTCAAGTTATATTTATGCTCAATTGGTCTGTTGATGGAGTCTTGGGAAATGGTTCAGTATAAGTAATGTAAAATAGTTTACTGTAGAGGACAGTGTCAACCCTCAACATGGGTTCTGTGGCACCCCTAGTTACCGTGGGGTTCTGCAAGAGATAGTGATAAATAGGCTAATTCTAATTATATGCAAATGGATTTTTGAGTCATTTTTGTGTTTAATTTTTTCATGTAACCAGTATCAAGTGCAAAGACAGAAATTCTCTCTCCCCTTTCAGTTGAAAATGAAATTTGTGTTTTTTTATCTAAAGTACGACCCAGAATTATTTGAAGGGTACAAAGATTGAGAAACACAGGATAAATATATAAGATAAAATAAGTTATAATAATATAACCTTTACCTACCCCATTGCAGATTACAGAGGAAATACAAGCTGAAGAAAACTGTGAAACGCAGTTACAAAGAAGAGTTTGCGAAGATTGAAAAAATGGTTGATGAATAAAGGTTCTACATGTATTGTGTACATTTTTCCATATTCAGAGCAGGCAACTACAGTACATTACAAGTACAGTATTTTCTTCTTGCTTTTTGAATGGCTCTACAATGACAAGAATAATAAAGGTTTCTGAATGGTGTGTACTGTATTGGTTTAATTATCATATTATTGATGTATAGATAAACAAAATAAGGTATGTTTTTTGAAAGTTTAAAATAAAAATAAATTTGGTTGAAGGTTATTTTTAAATATTGAGAATTAGAAGCTGTAATCAGAAAATAAGTAAAGAAATCATAGATTCACAAGTCCCATCTAAGTAACCTCTCACACTTTTGAAAAAGGCAGTAGGTGTAGTGTAGTAATGGTATTGTGCACCTCCATTCTTAATTTCATAGTGTCACTCGTCATTGAATAGTTAGCACTGTTGACGACCGGGGAGCCAAAGCTCAACCCCCTTGAAGCACAACTAGGTGAGTACTTAATTGATTCTCTCCCTCCCTAATGTTGGTTTCCACTTGTCAAAGAGAATATAGATTGCATCGGTTATAATTGAATGTACACAACATTCACGATAGAATGGAGTAATTCATATCAGGTCCTATATGGCTCATCAAGAGTTCTGATGCTTCTGGTGTTTGCTCAGCTTTGGCCAATTCTTACAATTACAATACTGTGGAAACTTTACTGTATTGTATTTTTTACAAAAGACAATAAGATATATTGCTAACTATTTGAAAATGAATATCAAATGTGTCATCGTTGAGTGATCAAATGAGGTGGGGTGTCCATGTACTACTGAATGCATTTGCATACTATGTACAGTTTGTTTGGAAAAATGTACATGCACACGATGGGGGGGGGGTATAGTAGTTGATTGACAGTTGAGAGGTGGGCCGAAAGCAGAGCAGGGCAGAGCTCAACCTCCGCCAGCATAACTAGGCGAGTACAATAACATGGTTAAAATTAGACACTGATCCTACAAATGTGAAAATAGACTTGACAATATTTCAGTCCATCCTGGACCATTATCAAGTTGTGTAAAAATAGTTTTGTACTGACATGGAAAATGCTTAGGGTGAATGATGCTTTCAAGTTGTATTATCTGTATTATCAGTGATATTTTCTCCTATTAATTTTGAATTTGCTCTTTATCAGTTGACATTTGAAGAGCTTAATAAAACACAGTATGAATTGAAAAATATAATCAACAAAATTGTACAACAGAAACCTTATGCAACTAACAGATTTTGCAGTAATACAGTATTATAAATATTGGTGAAGTATATTTAAATTGATCACCAGAAAATATATTTATCTATAGTTCAGAATTCACCTGACAGGCTGATTGTAAATGAACTAATATGAGAGCCTAATAAAGGCCACAACAGTTCAACAAAGAGTCCATGACAGGGCACCAATCCTTCGTGTATCTCTCCTCTATTTACACTATAAATGAATTATTACCCAAGTGCCTCTGTTCAATAAATTAGACACACGTCTGTAATAATCTTATCATTATTAATGGCGATTCCTAGAAAATGCAAATTACAGCAGGCTATTTAATATTTCCCCCCTTAAAAAAAAGCCAATTTACGTATTTTATGATTTTTCTAACAAAATCTTAAAATACAAAAAATAGACACTGTATACAGGCACAGTCACCAATATTTGGATACTGTATATTAAACCACCATGATAAAATCACATGCACAATACAGTAGTTTTATTTACTATAAAATTTGTGCTAAAGATTAAAAGCTTGAAGGCAGTACATTCTTACTTGAAATGAAATTAATGAATAAACCTGATAATGATTGTGTCAGTTTGACTGTAGTTCAGGTCTCGAACAATATCTTACCTAAGTGAGCATTAAGCTTCCTGGATTAGATACTTTTTTAGCACAACTTAAGTTATCCAGCAATTTGTGTAAGTGAAACTTTGCATGAAGGAAAATTAACTTTAAATTGTATAGGGGGAAAAAAAGAGACGAAGCTTGTTGGGCTTATTGAGATCCCCGGGTCAACAACAGACCTTTCCCAGGATGTAACCCCACAATAGTTGCCTGACTCCTGAGTACCTGTTTACTGCTAGGTAAATAGAGGCATCAGGTGTATGATAATGTGCCCTGCCCAGAAATTGAACCTGGGACTATTTGGTTCAACCTTTACATGAACATCATTATTAAATATTCCCATCACCTTCCAACCACAAATACAGTACATACTAAAGTGCAGGATATTTGGATAGAAGACTCTCTAGTATGTATGCTCCTCAGGTACCATGATGCAAAATTGTAATTGTAAAAAGGTGCATAAAGCATTATATAATGGTGAGCAATCCAGAGATGAGTGTGGTTTGGGCTTAGCAGCATACCAAGACAATGTGTCAGATACACCACTTTCTCACAAAACTTTTGTATTGTAAATCAACTCCTGCATAGTTAGAATGTGCGTTCAGAATAAAATATTAGCATTATCTTTATAGGGCTTACAATGAGGGGTAAATATGTCAAGAAGTATGGTACTATAGTAGTATATAAAAAAAATAGTTACCCATTTAAAATTGTCCTAACAGTTTTGTAAACAAAAGTCATTAAAAAACACAGAAATGTGCAATTACATAAATAGTTAAATGAATTATTTATTTGTTTACTACAAATCACCTGGATATCTTATTATTTTATGACTACAGCAGTATTGTACGGTCAGATATCATGCAGCTTGTGATATGATTGGCAAAAGTTACATAAAGTATTTGATAATCAAAATATAACTTATGCAGTGATAATAAACAGCACTGTTGAGCATATGCTGCAATGGAATGAGACTTTTTGTGACTCCTTATTTGGCAAGGATCATTTGGGACGTGTCCTTAGATTACCATTCACTTTTCGATGTGTGGAATTCGGGCTAAATCATCAGATCTTGTAAGGTTCCGTAAATGTTTGACACAACTGGTCCCAAAATTGAAATCTTTTATAATGGTTAATTTACATAATTGTCATGTGTATAGTCTGTAGTATCCTGATTATTTATGTGCAAGTTAGGTTTATCTTAATCTCAAAGATAAGATTACAGGACTCTCCCATAGTCAAGTAGTCTTACATTAGCCAATCATTGGTCTCAAAGGACAGCAGAGCGTGAAATATTACATAAGTGCCAGCTGGGTTTATTCCAGTTTTCTGTAGAATGTATTTTATTGTTATTAACTTGCATTATTTATATGGCTTTGAGTTAGTCCATTAGTGTACATAAATCTAAGGAAAAGGCAAATTTACATACTAATGCTCAAATATGAAATGGGGAATATTACTAAACTTGAGGCTATTTCAAATTGTAACCGAGTAATTTAGGTTATCACCTTCGTAAGCTGGCAATAAATATATCAAACATGTTCTTACTGCTGTGCAAAAGCCAATTGAAGTTAACTAATACTTTTGTGTCCTCTATACTTGGCAGATCTCGTCACCCTCTTTTCTCTTATTATTGCCCTTCAGGGTTCTAGAAAGGGTGATCTCTGAGGTTAGGTGTGAAGAGGAACACACTCCTTTTCCTTGCATTGTGATGTCTATAAAATATAGTTTTTAACAGATAAATTAATGTGAGCTACAGTTTAAGTCTAAAGCTAACACGTTTCTAAATTATTCTTTGCTATTATAGGACGAGTTCTTTCTTGGTAGGACAAGAAGGCCAAGCTTAGAACCTAACTTGACAAAGATCAAATATAATTACCATTTTAGAAATCTGGATGAACTTAAAGTAACTTAAAAATCTTAATGTATACATCTTTATTAAAAAAAACTAATTTACATATACAGGTGAGCCAAAATGTGGCTCTTAGTCAAAAGCCGCTGTATCTGGTTTAGCTCTGAGACGACGATGTGCCCGCCACTCAACACTACAGAATGTCAATGTACCGATTGTTGCAAACACCACTAAGATTGCAAGATGCCAATATAGCTCAAATACACTTGAGTAAAAGAAGCAGGCAGCAGCTGAGAGGGACTGAGTGAACTTGAAAAGTGCAAAAGCAGGTCCTGAATTATCTTGATAAACGGTACCAAGAATGGAGTAAATCTGGGTGTTGAAACAAGCATCTCCAAAGCCCAGCATAAAACTGCACAACATGGCAATCACTTGACTGAAATGGAATAAAGGAAATACATTTAAAATTTATATAACTTACAAATTACAGAATTTATATTTAATTTTTTATAATAAAATCTTCTGTATGTAAAAAGAGGATGAGTCCATTGACAACAATTCTCCAGACTGCCTTTGTTAACCTGTAAAGCTAACCATACACACATTTGGACATATATACATTTATACATATATTGGCTGAAGAATGGCTCCTGAATGTATCGGGGGAAATTCCTTATATAAGTGCTTGGGACTCTGTGAGTCATAGTCCTAGAAACATAGAAATCTAGAATATCAAAACAAATAAAAAACCAGGATAGAACATTAAATATTCCATTCACCTGGGCTGTATGGGTCTTGGACCGTGGACCCCACATGTGTGTGAGGCTGCAGCTCTATCGACTGGGCTATGAGCAGTCTTAAAAAGGAAAGTTTCCAGAAGCAGCATCCTGCTGCCAAACTGATGCTTTTAACATTAAGAAATTTGCCACCAATTATATAATGTTGCAACAATTACAGACTTGTTTTGAATGTGTAGGAAATAAGCTCCTAAAAGCTTGCTCGAGCTTAGTTTTGAATCATATATGGGTGATAAGAGAAATAAGTTATAAAGAAATTCTAGGAAACATTAACAATTTGAGCAAAAAAATAAAAATCTGTAAACGAATCACACTGCCGATTGTTTTATTAACACTGTACGGCTGTAATCAGTTGGGTAAATGCTGATAATTGTGATTCAAATTTTGAGGATTCTTCCCAGAATCCTCAAATTCCTAGATTTATACTAAACAAAATCTAGCATTGACTGTAATGAAGCACCCTTTTCTAGATGGTCTAAATAGCTCCCCATCTTGAGGTTATCTTGAGATGATTTCGGGGCTTTTTAGTGTCCCCGCGGCCCGGTCCTCGACCAGGCCTCCACCCCCCAGGAAGCAGCCCGTGACAGCTGACTAACACCCAGGTACCTATTTTTACTGCTAGGTAACAGGGGCATAGGGTGAAAGAAACTCTGCCCATTGTTTCTCGCCGGCGCCTGGGATCGAACCCAGGACCACAGGATCACAAGTCCAGCGTGCTGTCCGCTCGGCCGACCGGCTCCCTGAGTTGGCTTGGAGAGCCCATGAGTTGGCTCTGATACCAAAGACTCAACCAAGCCTACAAAACTTCCAAGCCACTCAATTTTCACAGGCCTACTAAACAGCTGGTGTGCTCATACACGCAAGGATAATGTTACAATCTACTTACTGCAAACTCTAACCTGCCCATCATACATTCCAAAAAAATAAAAATAAAATAATTTTGATATTACCTTTAGAGACCAGACCCTTTATAGTGAAAATCACATAATGGAAAAATATTTAATGTTGCAGTAACTACATTTCAGAACCATATACATTTACTAAACTTTGTTACATCTTGTAAAAATATATATACACTGTACATGTATTTTTTATACTTTACATATATCCATTATACTTTGCATAAAATGCTGCAAATTCTAATTGACAAATGTATAAGCATTATACTGTACCTTGGCTGGCCTTGTGACAAAAATGAGGGGTCTGTTGTATTGCTCAAAGGAGATATTGTTGGCAAATTCAGGAATATGAGGAAGAAGCAGAGCATGTGGACCAGATATCCCAATAACACAATGGGGTCACGACCATACTTAACGGTTTTAGAACCAAAGATGCCAAATACTCCTCCACCTGAAGACAAAAAATTATGATAATAGATTCACTATACTGTGTACAATAATTAGATAAAACAAATTAACAAAATGTTTATCACAGTAAAAAATAATATGCAAACTGAATGTGGAGGCAGACTTGTGTGATGTGTAGGCAGAGTTTGAGCCTGACTGGCCCAATAATTACCAAAATCAGGCCAAGTTGTATAAAAAGCATCTTTCCGAGAGGATCCACTTGGTCATTCACTCTGGTGTTCATATGACAGTATCATGCAAAGGCATTCAGGATAACAAACATATGGCACCACATGGAATTGTTCAACCTGTCTCTGCAGGGTTAGGAAGGTAGGTAGTGTGTCATGGCAAATAAACTAATCTAGCCCAGAATGACTGATAGTGAAACATTATAGATATTTTCAGATATATTTCATCTCTTATGTGGCCCTATGAGTGACAGACTTTACCATTCAGGTCCTTGACCTAGGCTCTATATTTGTATTAAATGTCCCACACGTTATTTCCTTCATACATTATTTTATCTAAGCAATATTAGTGTTTGGTGGATTAATAAGGCTTATTTTTATTATTTTGAAAGTTTCTGAATGTTTTCATGAACCTCTTCCCATGGTGGACATGTCTACAAATAGACATGTATAGAATTACATTAAAAACATGTACAAGAGCTTAATATCTTTCTATATTATGTAGAAGTGTGCTTTTCATTCACATTTTTGTTGAGACCGGTGTACAATTCATATGCAGACATTAAATTAGTTAATCCAAGTTTTGTATACATGTATCCCTTGCATACAAATATAGATGCACTGAGTGAGAGATGTGTCGGGTCATGAATACTTCCCTTGGGGCTCATTGTATGTACTACACTACTATGTACATACAGTATATGATGGGCTGCACAGTACTCTCATAAGCTTTGTATATGTTTACCATTAACACTTCTAATGCCCTTAATGTATTATGTATTATAATTACAAGTTTTAATGTCATAATTTCTAACATCCTCTACTACTGTGGTCTATTTACTTTGTGTGCTAGACATTTAAACTTTGCCTTGTCACACACCTGTGAAAATATTAACACTCTTTACCAATATTTCATATTATCCAATATATATTGAGGTTTCTGTATCTTGAGATTTCTTGTTCTCAAGAGAACTTCTCTTGAGTATTAAATTATTTTTACATACCATATCTGTTTTGCAGAACTTTATTTTTTATTCTAATGCATAAGCATCTTGGATGCAATAAGAATTATTTATTGGGATAGGAATTGAAATGCCATGATTTTAATTGTAATTATAGATCTTTTGTCTCAAGTTTACCAAAAGTCTCAAATTATTCCCGGCTGCAAGCACCAATTACTAATTGTTCAGAATTTTCTTTATTTACTAAAATCAATGCTTCTATTTTCGTATGGAAATTGGAAAATTAACATTTAATGACCGACTGCAGTTTGGCAGAGCTTTACGCTTACCTAATATCTCTCCAATACCAATAAACATTCCTGAAAGTCCAACAAGGCGTTTGGGATCAGGAAATCTTAGGGTTGAGCTTAAGCAAGCACTGTAGACCCCGCTGAAGAACGACAACTCAATTCCTGAAATTCAAAGCAATAATGGTTGGCATCATCTTACAATATTACAACTTAGCCACTACTGTACTAATATACACTTGTATATATGTATATACTATACTAATATATGTACTAGTATACATAATATGAATTTTGTTTATTCTACAAACAAATTCTATTCTAATTCTAATCTTTTGTCTATTCTAATGATTCTAAAATCATTATATTTTCTTGATTCAAAGTTAATATCTTAAATACAGTACCACTAGTCCCTATGAATAGTACTGAGGTCAGTGTGTATTGTGTGTGTATTATCACTGTACTTGTGTTTGCACCATATTTACAGAAGTTGTATTCTCATGCCCCAGAATTTCCACTTTTAAGGTTGCAATATTGTAATGCAATCACAAATTGTGATTAATGTGGACAGTGGTGCTTCACATACAAAGTTCAAATGTGAGGAATGCATGGAAAAAACACTGGCCACTGATATTTCCTCAACCCGCCATTTTAGTTGGTAATGATTATGTCAGTTATGATACTAATGCTGATAATTTTGAAGGATGTGAAAGAGAAGTACGAGAGATTTAAGATAAGAACTTCTTGGCTATGTAAATAAAAGTCTTGGTTAAGCCTTTTAACAACTTCATCTAGAAATTAATATTAATTTTCATGAGAATGCAATAATTAATCCTACCAACATATACAAAATACTACAAGATTCTGAAAGGATAATACTGGGTATTATGCAGGCTCAGAGTTAGACAAGGTGATGCACTAAATTGAGAAGCTGCAGCGGCTATTGTTAAGAGAATATGGCTGTGTAACAACTGAACTTGCCGAGAATAAAGCCAAGATATATAGCAAATCTGCGAGATGAGAGGAAGGGCTTGCTCCTTTAAAACATTTGAAATATAAATTTTATTATGCAATTTCTAAATATTTATTAATAAGAAAATAACACTGGAAATTCGTTCCCAGGAAATAATGAAGTTTTTAATCATTGGATATAATTAATAATTGGTTCATTAGCTTAAATTATTACTAATATGAATTATAATAAAACTGACAAAAAATCTAAGATTTTGAAAGAGATGAAAAACAAATCTTAAGATTTTAAGAGGCCCCTTCAGACTGTAGCTTGTTTAGCTTCTGCTTAAATCCTACCATGGTACCACAGACAGCAAAGTTTGTTTGATACAAATATAATTCACTTAAAAAAATGCTTCTGCACTTGTAAGTTTATCTTCTAGTAATATGAAGGTACTGTATTATACACAGAAATCACAATACAGTAATGTGATGTGTCTTTGGAGAATAGTGTCCGAACACACTAGGAATTTGGAGGCACCGAGCTGGTGCCTAATACCATTACAGTATTTTCATGAAGTGAAAATTTTCACTTTCCTAACTACTGTACTAAGTATGGTTCATTTTCATGAACCATACTTAGTAGTCAGGAATACAGATATTTAAATTACTTTTATTTTTAATGTAGAACATGTTACTACCTGTATTTTAATAAAAAAATAATGTCACTATATTTTATAAATTCGTCTACTCCATTCCAAAGTAATAGTTATTGCTAAATTACTTGTACAGTAGTGTGAAAATCGTTTACTGTACCTGTATAGAAAAATGTTGCAGATAAAAGCAACATGTCTTTGGTTCGGAAGAGACTGAAAGACTTTTTCAGGGCATCAAAAGGACTGCCAAGACTATCATCAGAACGACCACTTCCATCTGCACCAGGTTTTGGCAAGGTACACATAATGCCAATACCTATGAGGCCAACAACAGTCAGTGCTGAAAACACGATTGTCCGTGTGTGCTGGTCAATGATAGTTTTACCCATGAACTGGTAGAATACAAAGAGGTTGCCAAACAACATGCTGAAAGGAAATATAATTAATCTTAATTTTGTTTCAATATTCGTTCACAGATGTATCTAAAAATCAAGCATTGAATGTAATTTTTTTCCAAGTCTTCAGTAACTTCCTAAACTAAGCACTGGAAAAGGTAAGTCTTGGGGAGATGCACAAGATATCTGAGACCCTCCCCTTACCTACAAGGAACCAGGACCAGAATCTTGGTCTCTACAAGGTGAAGGAAGCCTGAGGTCAAAGATCAACTCAAAATTTAGAAAAAACAACAAAGCACAAGTGCATCAAAACAAGCAACTGCTTAAAGAAATTTTTTTGCCTAGAGATAATGTGTTAATGATCAGTGGAATGGGGTATGAACTCTAATTGTGATGCATCTAACTGTCCCCAGGTGGCAGCCCTTCAGCCTTGGAGCTTATCCAGTATTCAGTGTCTTTCTTTTTTTCTTTCTGGAAAGGTACTGGACTTTTGAGCATGCCCTATCTTAAGATGTGGAGTCTTGGCAGCTCCTAGTCTAGGGTCTCTGTGTTTTCCACTCGATTTGGTTGAGATCTTGTCTTCCAGATGTCCTTCACTTTTTATGTGCTAAGGAAATGCTGTATATACCACACAAGTGAATAATGATTACCTTTCTTTTGACGTTGCCTCTTTGTCAACCTTTAGCTCTGTTTCAGTGGCTGCCACAAAACTGCCTAAGTTATTCATTCCAATTCTCTGGGTTTCGGTGATGGATATTCCTATGGCTTGTCTTCGGCAGACGTGCAGTTCTGTGCAATTTCCAGGAGACTACTTCCTTGATAATTTCAATTCTCCCTTCTCCGGAAGCAAATTTTAACCAAGATATAGCAGAAGTGGGAATGACTTTCCAACTACTGTATTATTGATGATGTTTTGGTTCAAGCCCATACTCTTCACCCTCTGTCACGCGCGTGTTCAGTTTCGGAATTCTTGGCCGCCCCCGGAAGGGCAGTGGTTCATTTATCCACAAAGTACAGACCTTCCTACCCCTGACCTCTACATCTCTCCACAAGATGGGAGAGATGATGGCAAGAGGCATGGTTATCGAGGTTCATTGTTGATTTATCAGCGCTCAATGCTTTCACCTACCTAACCTTCTGGACAACCACTCTTCTTGATCCACTTGTTGATTTTAAGTTGATCTTGGTTCATTTTTCTGGATCTCCAGAATATTCATTGGCATATTCCCCATTCATTTGAGGTTCATGGATTGGTTAAGTTTTCAATATACAGTACACTCCATTCCACTTTTTACCAGGTAGACTTGTGTAGTGCAATGGATGCTTGGGCTCTGTAGAGTTCAGGTCCTGCCCTACCATGACAATTGGCAGATATGGGCTTCTAGCAGAATAGCCTGCCTACACTGACCTGTGGAGTAATGGTATTCTCCACAGATACCCCCTCCTTCAGAACACAAAGAAGTCACTAATCACATTACCCACAGGCCAGAGTGTCGGCAAGCTATTCACAAATAACTTGGTTGTGGTACCAGTTGGGACCTCTTAGAGCTTCCTAGTGGATTCAGTAGAGTTCCAGGTTGAATAGCATTTGTCGTATCATGGCCAAGTTTTGATTAAGGCAAGCGTCTGGGAGTCACTAGCACGCTGGTTCAAGTCACTTCATTGTTCCAAATGATTTTTCTCTGATATATCATGCCATTGTGATTACTTTTTGGTAATAATGATGATATTATTATTTATTAATGTTTATTATAAAAGCTATAAAAATTATCCAAATTTATATACATCAAATAGAAAAGAAATACAATACAGTATGTACTGTACATTAAAAGTTGTTATGTACATGAAAATATAGTATAAGAATTAATAAATAATAAATAAGAATTACCTGTACTGTATATCCAAAAATTATTTGGAGGTGACAATAGAAGCCTATAGAAGAAGGTGACAGTATTATATAAAACTATCTTTAAGGCAAACCATATAACATCTTACCTGCTTTGAAGCATGGCCCAGAAGATGCCAGAGTTGCGAGACATTGTCTTCTGCGTAGACATGAGAGTGAGATAATTTCCCTGACCCGTCCAGATTAACGCAGCCCCGGCACCCACCAATACAGATGTTAAGTATAGAATTACTGTTTGCGGCCATAGGAATCCAGCGATGAATATTCTGTGGATGAAGTGCAACGTAGCTTTAAAATTATAATTTAGTACATAGTAAAGGCTCAATAATATTTTTCAAAATTGAGTATGATATATATTTCAGTGTTGGTATTTGCACTGAAAAAGGGAACTCCAAAACATAATCCAAATATAATACTATATTCCCTTCTAGCTGTCTCCTCTCAAATAGTGCCTTACTCCTCATAATAACTTTTTTTTATATGCATTGATATTGTATTCACAGAGGTCATATCCAGAGGTCATATCTGCCCGAAACGCTTTGCGTAATAGTGGCTTTAGGCATTGCATGTACTAGCTCTTATCTATAAAGCCAACAAACTTTGTAAAATCTCTTTATGTATGTACCTTTGCCTAAATAAAAATTATTATTATTATTATTATGTACTCATTTTACCACAAGCTTTACATTACAGGATAGTACTGTGCAGTAATTACACAAAAACATTTATATTGTATTCACAGGGTACAGGGCCAAGACTAAATGGATAATTGACTTTTGTTAATACCTCTTGAAGAGTAGAATTACCTGTACAAAAGAATACTTTATGGTAATTACCCTAATGGTAATTTTTAGCCCACTTAATATGATGGCACAATACTAGAAGTAGGAAGAAGTGTTTCCTAGTGATCTGCTGAAGTACAGTACTAGGAACCTTTTGTACTCAGAGCAGTATTCACGATGCAAATGTCCGGGTTGTAATCACAACACATTATCAGTTACCTAACCTGTCATTTTTCAATGGGCCAATTGTCACCCTCTGATCATCTCTTCTTAATGTTAGAATTAATTCTCTCAGCCTGTCCTCATAACTCATCATTGGTACGTGTCTTGAGGCAAATCTTTGGACCTTCTCAATATTTTTTTTTTTAGTTTATCAGGTGTGGGCTGCATGCTGAAACTGCATCCTCCAAACGGGAGCCGGTCGGCCGAGCGGACAGCACACTGGACTTGTGATCCTGTGGTCCTGGGTTCGATCCCAGGCGCCGGCGAGAAACAATGGGCAGAGTTTCTTTCACCCTATGCCCCTGTTACCTAGCAGTAAAATAGGTACCTGGGTGTTAGTCAGCTGTCACGGGCTGCTTCCTGGGGGTGGAGGCCTGGTCGAGGACCGGGCCGCGGGGACACTAAAAAGCCCCGAAATCATCTCAAGATAACCTCAAGAAGATCCAGAACTGCCATAATATATGCCATGCAGTTACTGTACCTTGCGATGATTTCAGGGCTCAACGTCCCAGCAGCCTATTTCTCTATGCCGTGTACAGAAATTTGAAGGATTCCTTGCTTAGGTTCCTGGAAGTTATCCTTATGTTTGCTTGTTTTGCATATGCTATTGATATTATTCTGTTAATATTTACTTCTAGTTTTCCTGTTCAAAGGACAACAGAACTTATTTTGGATGCAGCAGAATGTGATAGTCCAGGAAAGTGTTTTTCATGTTACTCAGATGCTGCTTTTCAACATCACTCGCTAAAACACCAACATTATTACTACTCTCACCACTTTCCACCCACAAATACTGTACATGATGAAGTGCAGAAATGTACAAATATACCATGATGCAAAAAATGTAATCCATAAAGTATGTAAACTGTAAAATAATCATGAGGAGTCATGAAGTCAGAGCCTTTTTAACAGACACATGTTATGCAGAACAAGAACTACAGTATGTGTAGTTCATCTAGTTGTGAGGCATCTCACAACTACAAGGCTAGCCTTGTAGTTGGCCTTGGTATACTGTTGTAATTACAGTATACTGTACAATAAGTCTACTACAGATGCTCAGGTAATGAAAATTAGAGCTGTATAATGCTGGGTTTGCCCATATACTAGTTAGTGCATGAGATTTGTAATTTATGCAACAAAAATCATTGTTTTAAGTGCAACATCCAAATACATGTAAAGTAGAATGTTGGTGGGACGAACCCTGCTAAAGCCGAACTCCTTTGCTGTAGAATGTTTCCTTGCTATCAAGTGCCCCAGCACAATGGGAAATGTTCCAGACAAGAAGCTCCATTCAGCTAAGCCCTTCGTGTTTAAAAGTAGGAGCAACAGACATGGGTTGGAACCAATTTAAATAATTTAGTTTCATCCCACTATTTACTGCCCTAACCTTGTGATTCCTAATACTGAACTAATTATTTTGTATTTTTACAATCTTTCGGAAACATTCTTGCATCATGACACCTCCCTAGTTTTCTAGCTTCATTATTTAACAATGCTTACACAGGTAGAACACATTCCTAAATTTCCAATACAAAGTTAACTTCGGTCTGGTGATGCTTTACAAAACATATCACTTGTGCAGTTCAAAGGTCGACTGTATAATATTGATTTATACAAATCGACAATACTTTATACACTATAAATGTATATGTAATGTAGTCCTTATTAGGACTACTCAATAGCTCAGTCGATAGAGCTTCGGCCTCTCACACGCGTGGGGTCCGTGGTTCGAGTCTCCTACAGCCCAGGTGAATGGAGTGCATATGTAGTGTTTATTAACAGCAAATCTGGATAAGCTGCACAAATGACTCGTACAATGTTCTTACCAACAGTAATTAATACTATTATTTCCCCATTCAGATGCAATCTATATTAGTTATTAGATCTGGCAAAGATGCAATCATTTATGCAGCACAGCTTTTAATGTAAATTATGAAATAAAGCGAGGGTGGACTGCAGTTCCACCCACCACCCTGGATGTAGCGATACCAACTGTGCTACATACAGCCTATATTAGTTGTATCAGGGGGTCTTCAAACTGCTGACACTAGTCGCAGTTAGATTTGTTTATGACATACTTGAGGGATCAGTGTTATTAATCAATTGATAAAATGCCAACAATTGCATGAATAAAACTAAGAGCATTTGTGCATGCAGAATCTTATAAGCAACTAAGCAGCCCCTCATTGGTTCTTTTATTTAGAAGATCGTGGGGTCATGATATGTGGATTACTGGCGTTCAACTGTACAGTAGTTTAAATGACTCACTTGAGTAAATAACTACATATTGTAATTTCAAACCATGATAACATGAGGTTTGTCTAATTGAAAGACATAATCATAAGACATAAGCATTTAGGCATAAACAGTGCTTATGCCTAAACAAATATGTGAGAATGTATTGAAATTTTAACACAGTACCTGCCGGTCTTTGTTAAAACGAAATTACCAATGAGTAACAATGTATTACTCTTAGCATGTTCCATCAGATTTACATTTTTTTTAATACTGCATCAGCTAGGCTTAAGATAAAAATTCCAGTACAGTAACTGTAAATAATAAGGATTGCAAGCAGCACTAACATTGTTACTCAAAGAGAAATGTAGTAAACCTTCCTGATGATGTCACTGCAAGATGTCCGTTTGTGACAAGGTGAGGATCAGAAATACACATTAACTTACTGCAGTTACACACACCTTAAAGAATGCTTTGCTTGTATGGGTAAACATGAGCGCTGAAATACACAATAAAGCTGGAAGTGTTTTTATAAACGTACGCGTAAGTAATGCCACCGATGATCATCGTGAGCTTGGGACCAAGATAACTGAGGCATGATGGAGATAACCAATTGAAGAAGGCGAAAACTGCATAAATAATTGCCAGCGATGTGTACCCAGAGCCTTCGAAGTTTGGGTTCTCGCTTTTGATACTCTTGATCACAACTTGCTGCAAAGAGTGAAACAAATACAGGTATTACATAACTATATGAAAAACATATGCTAAGCATCATTCATATTTTATTTAATATATAAATATTATTTATTTAATATATATTATGCCTAAAGCCAAAAATGGCTTTAGGCATATTATGTACTAGCTCTATCTAGAAATCCAACATTCTGTTTGTAACTGATTTTGAATGTATGTACTTTTACCTGAATAAACATTATTATTATTATTATTATGACTATGAATATTATTATTATTATGACTAAATGCCTAATCAACCGATTCAGAGTAAACAAGGATTTTTTGAGCACTACTCTTTATAATATGTTGCATTTGGTACACTGATTACCATAACATACCATATAACAGTGCAAGCCTGCAACAGGATAAAGAAGAGGATATACTGACAGATAGATAAACCAAGATGAGGCCTTCCCAAAACAAAACTGTTAAACTTTCACACAAAAATTATGAGTAAGGTATTTGACAAAAGAGCCCCCTCCCCCCTAACTGGACAAAAACAAAATAAGGCAACCAGTATGATGGAAAAGAGCATGAAGCTCACTGACCCAATTGTCTATAGTAAGGAGTCAGGAGAATCAAAACCTTTCACATCAGATCCTTAAATGAGAAGACCAGAAATTAATCCAGGCCGAGAAAATTCAACATGCTATCAATAGATTGGGTGGATGCCAATGGTATATGGGAAGGATGGATGTTGAAGAACTCCATATCAAGTTTCGTACAGGAAGAACTAGAAAGGTTTAGGCCAAAGCCTCGATGATGAGATTTCTCTCCCCCCCCATGAGATTTGCTTTATTTCAGCAAAATAGCTTGGTTTGGTCCTCATTATTTCTGTATTATATGTGATTACAACAAAATACAGTTAAAATGAGCACCAAAGAACTTAACCTAACCTATCAAACTAATGCAACTTAACCTGATAATCATTTGGGGGCTTGTTATTAGACTTTCCATCTCCTTTTTTTTTAATAATTATTAAACATTTCGTTCTTATTTTGATTTATTTTGTTTACATAATTGTTAAAGAATACAAATTTGTTTACATAATTATTAAAGAATAAAATTTTGTTTACATAATTATTAAAGAATAAAATTTTGTTTACATATTAAAGAATAAAATTTTGTTTACATAATTATTAAAGAATAAAAGTTTGTTTACATAATTATTAAAGAATACAATGTTGTTTACATAATTATTAAAGAAAAAAATTTGTTTACATAAAGAAAAATTTTTGTTTACATAATTATAACAAAATAAAATTTGATTTACATAATTATTAAAGAATAAAATTTGGCTTACAAAATTATTAAATAATAAATGTAGATGAAATGACTAGAAAGTGCAACGAGTTAATGTGTACTAACTTGGAACCTGTTAAGTTCCAAGTACTTAACTGGTCCAAGTACTGTACTTAAACTCCAAGTACAACGTTTCAAGAACCTGAACCTTGGACGTGTTAAGTTGTTCCAAGTCGCTCTGGAAAGCACACCATATTGAATAATAGACCATGCTTTTCGAGGAGTAACTTGAAAATCCTCCAAATTAAGACCCGTTGTATAATCTAAGATTTAAGGAAATGTAGCATATGGGCCATACTGGTCAATAGTGCACCATATATTATTATTATTATATTATATTTATATTATATATATATATATTTATATTATATATATATATATATATATATATATATATATATATATATATATATATATATATATATATATATATATATATATATATATATATATTTATTGTAATTCGTTTTCTCAGGGGACAGGCAGCCAGTGTATGTTTATCTGTTAGGCTGGTATCGAGGTCCTCCTTAAGGACGAACTACTGACCCTCTCCAGGATGCAACCCCACAACAGTTGCCTAACTCCTGGGTACCTCTTTATTGCTAGGTGAACAGAGGCATTAGGTGAAAGGAAATGTGCCAAACCAATTCTGTCCAAAGTGTGAGTGAAGAAAAACACAACTATGCAACCGACACAGCATACATTAAAATAAAGTAAATAACTGTAATTACCTAAGTGTAGTTACAGGATGAGAGCTACGCTCATGGTGTCTCGTCTTCCCAGCACTCTTTGTCATATAACGCTTTGAAACTACTGTATAATGAGACAGGAGCCCATCGTTAAAACAAAGGGCCGCTGGATTCACAACATATAACTAACATACAGGTCAAATACTAAATTACTGTATAATCTACAAAAGTCACCAGTTGACCTGTTGCAGCCTGTCCTCAGGCTAGGGGTCGTCCTCACAGCGGCCAACCCCCATTCAACCATTCTATTGTAACATATTTGACCTTTATGGTGTTACACTATCGTGCTGCGTATTCTACATTAGTATTTTCTTAAATATAAATTAATATTCTTACATGCATACTAGAATGTATTAAATAGTTAGACCAAGGTTAGGTTAGGTTCAGTTGGTAATTTTGGGTATTTGAAGTACAGTACAGTACTTGGATGAAGCATTTTGAGAAGTACATATGTCATCAGTTGTATGCCAAGTGTAAATGTTTTTCATTCATGAAGAGTTCGGCAGAAGGCTTAAAAAGCAGCCCGTCCTCCTAAAGTTTCCCAACGTCAAGAAAACGGTCAATTAAAAGTGCCCTTATCCTAACCTACCAAAGGACCCAAAATAGAAAATGGAACAATATGTCAATTTCGCGAGCCGCTTCTATTTTTTAGTACGACAATTTTTGGCCTTATGTAACGCATACGTACAAGATGAGACGTTCTTTGTAAAAGAAGAGGTTGAATAAGTAGCCCATCCTCATCAACAACGAGCCTTTGGTCTTTGTTGATGATGGGCTGCTTATTAAGTCAAATACTTGACTATGTTCGAAGTTATAGCTCGAAACGTGATTCGTTCACCTTGTGAACATCTTTCCCAACTTTGGCGAGAAACTACACATAAAGCCACAATATAATATTTTGTTACATTTTAAATAAACGTTTATTATAATGTATGGAAGATTTACGATGTCAGTTAGTTGTCCCGTGGAAGCCAAATACTGGCTTGTTCAAATCAACTTAAGTCGGCATTTGACTTAAAGCTTGAGATGGGAAGATGGATCAATAGAATTGTTTCCCTGTAAACAACTGGCCTACCATTGGGGCTATATGTAAACAGTGCAGCACTAAAGGTATTTGACGATTAAATGTGACCTCAGAACACTGAAAACAATTACTGAACAAAAAATTGTACCACTTACGGGCTATTCATACCCGTGCCACCTCTTGGGTGGCATAATCTTTATCAATCAATCTAAAGGTATCAAAGTATGGCATCAGACAATCGCTCGGTATCTGGCATATATGATAACGGTTCATTGTTCATGATTCGTTAATTACACTTGAAAGAGCGCTGCACGTTCTCTGATATACCCCTTAACCCGTGAAGCAGAAAGAAGTTTGAATTAGCTTTTATTTTGGACAGTCAATATTTATAAGAGAGAGAATGAATGTGTGTATGAGTTTGTGTCTGTTTGTCCAAAGTCGGAGGCTAAACTCTTAGGGGATAGACTCGCCCAGCTATGCAGGGAAAATGCCCTTGGGTACAGGACGAACATGCTAGTCGGGGTCGGACTAGGTTATAGAAGCTTGTTGTTTTAGATTCCGCTGCTCAGAACAAGAAGTTCCAGTAGCACAGAACTGCTGTATGGTGAGCCCGTAATAGATGGTTGAAGATATGTTAGTATTTCTAGAGACACCCCTCCCCCGTGTGATTTTCATAGTCAAGTGAGGAAATGTTTGGAGTGTTCCTCCTGAAGTTTTTAGTGATCGTAATAATATATTTTCTGAGACCTATACAGTTGTTTCAGTGCTTCTTAATACTACATTTTTAAGAGACGGGGAAGATTGAAAAGAGGGTGGGAGGTAATTATCAGGAGAAAGCACTAAGCAGTTACGACTATATAGCTTAATGTTAAGAAATAACGGAAAGAGACTTTGGGAGATGGGGCAGGAAGGAGAGAGGAGGAAGGGAAGGGAAAAAGGGGTGAAGAGGGGGGAAAGGAATGGGGGATGTGGAAGAAGAGGGATGGAGGGAAAGATCACCATGGACCCCCTCCGAGTACTCTATATCAAATCTGTGTCCATACGACTTTCTTAGTTTCTTTCGCGTATATACACACTGCAGTATAAGAACATTTCTATTCCTTCCATTCTTGTTTTTCGATACAAGCAAGTGGCGAGATATGTTGCTGGACTTATGAAGTCATTGTTGCTGCTTGACTTGGCTTACATGATAAGTCAGAACAAGCATCGGGAATTTTTACCAAAAGCTTCTCCTAATGTCTTTTTTTTTTTTTATTAAGATATGAGGTACATCTGCATTAGTGCAGCTACCCTAGACTATATGAAGTGGAGTACAGTGTGTCAAAAAAGCTAACTAGGTGATGCTAAAAAATCCCCATCACACAGGATGGTTAGTCATACAGAGGCATGTGATAAGCGGTCTGCACTGGCAGACTCCGGATGCATTTTGAGGATATCAACAACACAAGATTGAATAAGGTAGCAGTGGTAATCCTAATGTCTTGAACACCAGAAAGCTGTTAATGTCTTGGGGAAAATTCTTCCATCTTTCGGTGAGAAAGATGCAATTTAGTGTCACCTTGAGTGAAGACCAGGGAAGAAATTTTTTTTTTGAGAGAAGATGGATTTGTTTTGCTGATTATTCTATCGACATCTTGAAACAAGGGCGTGTGATATCAATGAAGAGCACAGATAACCAAGGCAGGAGTGGCTCCCAGACTCACTGGGGATGCCACACTATTCCGGAGAGGTGATGTGTGGTGATGAGACTGGGAGATAGATGGAGAATGTATAAAAGATAGGGAGTGTGTTTGTGGGGGAACCTATAAGCGTGTGAAATGTATATGTTTATCTCTCAGAATGTTCGGTAATACGTTTATTGCTTGTGATGTGTGTCTATGTATGTATTAACACGATGTACTGAACGGGGTGAGAATAGCTTGAGCTACCTCATCCCTTTGTGTGTATTTTACCTCAATAAACTTATTTCAATTTCAATTTCTATAAGCGTGTGTGGGAGAGCGGCCCTGGGAACAAGATCCACCCAAGCGCCATCGGCATCGTCTGTCATACTAGATTGATTGATTGATGAAGATTAAGCCATCCAAAAGGTGGCACGGGCATGAATAGCCCGTAAGTGGTGGCCCTTTTGAGCCATTACCAGTATCAAGAGCTGATACTGGAGATCTGTGGAGGTGCGACTGCACCCTTCGTGCCGGGAGATGTCTTCTGTGTGTCATACTAATGTAGAAGAGCGTTTCATTGTTTACTATAGTCACGTCTCAGATAATCCAGATATCCATTTTTTTTTAAGTCATGTAACAAGCACTGACTGCTTGCGTACACACAGCTTACTATGCTTACCACTAAGCTTAAGTGTCCCATCATATTAGAGACATTGTAAGTACTCTACAATAGTGATGCAGGCAATTGTACGCTATTTAGTGATGCAGCAGGCCATTGTAAGTAGGCTACATAGTGATGCAGGGACCACTATAGACAGGCTACATATAGTGAGGCAGCAGGCCATGACTGGAGCTTACCTGCATGTTGCCCTGCGTCTGGAAGGAGGTGAAGACGAACATGTAGGCCAGACCCAGGATGCCCACGTTAATCGTTGCCTGATCTATAGGCACCTTCATCCTGCTGGCTGAGAACGGCTTCAGGTGACGCTAATGGTGGTTGAAGAGCTGGTGGTGGTGATTAGCACGTCTTGTAGGTGTGTCGGCAGTAGGTGGTTAAAGTTGCTGCTAGTGGTAGAGCAGTAGGGAGGGTTCCAATAGGTGGTAGTCACTACCAGAAGACTTTAAAACGTACGCGGTGATCCCCTACGTGGGTAACTCCTGGTTTGTCCTAGTCGGAAGCAAAACATAAGGCTAGATAAATAAGGGAGAATGCAAACACTATACAGAGTTAAGGACTAACTATTAAAACATACACGAAGCTCAGCTTTAAAATACTTATGAACTGCTGTTACAATTGCAAAATAGCCGACTAAGCTTCTGCAACATAGTTACAAGTACAGACTACATTATTGCTGTAATTCCCAATTACCGGCCACACTGCTACCTAGATTGACACGTATAACAGGCCAAATTGGTTATTACAATTACTTAAAGATAAAGTTGTAACTGAACTAATATGTCAAATTACTATTTTCGTTACGAAATATTTATAAATATCGAATCGTTTCTTGGGCAACTTGAGATCAATTTTTTTGGTAATACACAAGGAAAAATACTAATGATGTGTTAACAAATTCACAAGGGGCTTGATGCGGATTCGAACCTACGCACGGAGTGTGACTGTAGATGCGCTCTAAAGTCATATCGTTTCATATATGTGTAGTTTCATACATAAATGTTTCACACACAGATGTGTTTCACAACGCGCTCTCAACTGAAGACATTTGATCCTCACAGTTAGGTTCGTTTTAATATTGAAATGTACAATTCATTTTTGGGTCTACACAAGGAATACATTCCCCCAGGAGCCGTCAGTATTGGCTCTACTGCCTAAGCCTAGCCTGCTCCTCAGGTGTTATACACCAGAACACGCCAATTGGTGAACACGTGAACATATTCACTAGTTATACATGGTGTGTTATGAAGGAGAGCTGTGAAGGAACACCAGGGTCTTCCAAAGCACTCACAAGTAAAATATAACACCATCACAAAAGTCTAGAACAATCATCTATGACTTTAAAAATTGGCTGAAGGCAGGTTACTCATTTCGCAACGTTAACGAACACACACAAACCCCGTTCCAGCCACAGTAAACCACATTAGTAATATATTTACAACGGCGCAATGTTGCAATACGGCGCAATGTTGCAATACGGCGCAATGTTGCAATACGGCGCAATGTTGCTATACGGCGCAATGTTGCTATACGGCGCAATGTTGCAATACGGCGCAATGTTGCTATACGGCGCAATGTTGCTATACGGCGCAATGTTGCTATACGGCGCAATGTTGCAATACGGCGCAATGTTGCTATACGGCGCAATGTTGCAATACGGCGCAATGTTGCTATACGGCGCAATGTTGCAATACGGCGCAATGCTGCAATACGGCGCAATGTTGCTATACGGCGCAATGTTGCAATACGGCGCAATGTTGCAATACGGCACAATGTTGCTATACGGCGCAATGTTGCAATACGGCGCAATGTTGCTATACGGCGCAATGTTGCAATACGGCGCAATGTTGCTATACGGCGCAATGTTGCTATACGGCGCAATGTTGCAATACGGCGCAAAATGTCCAGGAGGCTGTGAGGGGCCGCGGAGGTGCCGTTCACCTGATAATATCACCACAGTCACCTGACACGGCCGGCACGGTAACGTCTCTCTCACCTACGTGGCTACACGACCACTGCCCATTGTGGTGCTCCGGTACATCATACCGCCACCTGCGTGAACCCAGGGACACAATCACTCTCAAGTTTACATCGACCCCCCCCCTCTACCCACCCATCCCCATCCTGATAAAACAGTTATCTCCAACATACACACACATGATAACCAGGTGATGAAATTGAGAACGGGTGAGGTCAGGTACACTGAGAACGACAAGGTGTGTGTGTGTGTGTGTGTGTGTGTGTGTGTGTGTGTGAAGAACTCAAGAGATTCCAGGTCTTCACAATAGAGCGAGGAAAAGTCCCTGAACTAGAACAGGTGGCAGTAAACCAAGCAGCCTTGGAAGAGTACGGGGTAACCTGTACACCGGTTGATTGACAGTTGCGAGGCGGGACAAAAGAACCGAAGCTCAATCCCCGCATGCGCGTGGGTGAGTACAACTATGTGAGTGCGCGCACACACAAACCATGACTCCCCCCCCCCCACACACACAAACAAAAATCCCGAGTACACATTTTTCGACGGGAGATGATCGCCTAATGGATCTCCGAGCTCCGCGGGGCATGTCTTACAAAAAACTGTATAAACTGTTGTATTCTTGCAAGCACACTGGATAGTTTGTGTGGGTGGGTTCAGGATGCGAACGACGCGTTTCTGGTGGGAACAGGGGATTGGGTTGTTGGCTGGTATGAGTATACCTGGAGTATACCTGGAGAAGGTTTCACGAGTTCTTCGACTCCCCGAGCCCGGCCAGGTGCCAGGGCTCGACCTAGGATGTACTCCATGGGAGTGGGTATAATGGGTGCCGATGTGGGTGGAGTGTTTGAGGATGTGTTGTGGGCCGTGAGTGGGTGAGAGTTGTAAATATGGTGGGTAGTGGGGGGAGGGCAGGGTGGGCCAGGTTGTGGGTGTGTGTGTGGGTGTTGCACGTGAGTGTGGGTTGTGGGTGAAGGGAACAGGTTGTGGGTGTAAACCATAGATAACGGCCCGGGTACGTGTTATCAGCGAGCACCACGACTGACGGAGATAGCCTAGAGTCTCATGGTAGTGGATGCTAGATAACAACCATTACACCCAACTAACAAAGCCAGTATGTGGACCATCTGACCACAGACATCCCACCTCGCTGATTAGGTCTGGTGTTCGGCATATCAACTACAGTTTTGTTTTTTTGACATTTAGACCACCAGGGCGGATGATAAGGGGCCTGGTCGAGGACCGGGCCGCGGGGACGTTGAGCCCTGAAAGGGAAGCCGAGGCCGGTGCCTAATCGGCCACAATACCGGCCTGCTTGCACGAGGCCGGTATTCTTGTAAACCATACTAGACATTTGTAGTCTCCCACGCAAACCAATTCTACGTTCCAATTAGGGAGTTGTGTTCACGCGTCAGACCCTGCCAAGCAGAGGCTTTCTGACCTACCATTGAAGGATACCATTCAATGTCATAGTTCTTGGCGCGCTCTTCTGATAATGACCCGACCCTGAGTCACAGTTCAATACTGTTGTGTCATGCTATTGAGGACGTGTTGTGCCACTTCGAGGCCCTGTTCTTCACACGCTGCGAGGACGAGGTCGTCTGCGTAGCTCAAGACTTTTTTTTTGCGAATAACCGAATTCAATTACGGGCTCGCTATAGCCCGTGCTACATGGGCAATTCGTCCTGAGCTGGATATTCTGCCTTTGGTCGGGGATATCTAAAAGTAAACTGGCTTGGGGGATAGATCCAACTGGATAGTTGGATAAGTGTGTTTGATATCTAGTGCTTTGTCTATGTTTTGTCTTTAATTGTCATTGTATCTGTCGATTATTTCGATGCTGTTGGTCAGGATATCTTAGGTAATGGTCTGATTGTGTGTATATTGTTAGGCGCCATGAGAGAGAGATGTTGTCTTGCCAATAAGTTGAGATCGTTGGGGGTTGACAGTTTCTAAGTGGACACATCAAGACAGACGACATTCGTCTCTTTCAAGACATTTCGTGTGGCGTCGGGCGAGCTCTTCACAAGCAAGTTAGCGGTCTTCTTGCTCTTGCAGTAGTGTGTGAAGTGAACCATCTTGCTAGTGCAGGGTAACGTCTCTGTTAATGAGGGTTTTCATTATGATCTTGCATTTTGTGTACCTGCTTGATGGAGTTCTGGGAGTTCTACTCCCTCAAGCCCGGCCCGAGGCCAGGCTTGACTTGTGCGAGCTTGTTCCAACAGGCTGTAGCTTGGAGCGGCCCGCAAGCCCACATATCCACCACAGCCCCGGTTAGTCCGGCACTTCTTGAAGAAAACGATCTAGTTTTGTCTTGAAGATGTCCACGGTTGTTCCGGCAACCGTTAAAAAGACGTTCCCGAGGAAGAGTTTAACAGGTGAGAGTCTGCCAGTGATGGTGGTCCCATCATCGCCACACCCATCACTCCTCCGGATAACAAGAAGCCTTCAAATACTTAATCAGTTTACCGTCAGCTGGAGGCCACGCTGGAGGTCTCAGACGAGGTCACTCAAGCTACAGATATTATTGTTTTTGACTCTACTTGACGTGATTACGAGCACCAGGGTCACCAACCAGTGTCAACATTGACCATCAAGGCAGTCGCTAACACTCCCGTGGAAATGTATTGACTCCTATATAGCTACTCGATATTAACCCTATGATAGCTCCGTGGAGGATTCAATCGTCCCAGCGAAAATAGCGATGCTCATATGTGACATCAACAAGGACGTTATTTATGTTTCTAGCACCTTCCTGAATCACTGAGCGGGTCAAGCACCAAGAAACTGTCGAGCTAAAGTGTCCGTACCCTAACCAGAGGACCCAAAACAGAAAACGGGACAATAAGTCACTTTCGCCAGCCGCTATCACTTTTCTAGTACGAAATGCGTTGGCCTTAGGTATAGTACCTTATCTTGCGATGATTTCGGGGTTCAACGTCCCCGCGGGCCGGTCCCCGACCAGGCCTTCTGTATGCGTCTAGTGTACGTCCCACGGCGACGCCGTGATGAGGAGGACTGGGTTGTAGAGTCGCCCCACACTGAACACTGTCGCAATATTGAAGGCTAACTCAATTATATTACCTTGTTAATGATACACCTGCCAATTAACACCTTTGTTTTCGTCGACTTAATAAATACTTGTACTAACATCTTTGTAGGTTTTATTGAACGAACGCGTCATACACGGTACATACACTGTGGTATAATATATATATATATATATATATATATATATGTCGTACCTAGTAGCCAGAACGCACTTCTCAGCCTACTATGCAAGGCCCGATTTGCCTAATAAGCCAAGTTTTCATGAATTAATTGTTTTTCGACTACCTAACCTACCTAACCTAACCTAACTTTTTCGGCTACCTAATCTAACCTATAAGAATAGGTTAGGTTAGGTTGGGTTAGTTAGGTTCGGTCATATAATGGGTAGCTTTATCATTTCATAAGAAAAAAATTAGAGAAAATATATTAATTCAGGAAAACTTGGCTTATTAGGCAAATCGGGCCT